TAATTTTATTGAAACCACGCTTTTTCAACATTTTATTTACATGCCTTTTCAGACAACTGAGGGCGCTGTTGCTGTGATGTCATTTCAGGAAGACACTGTTCAGTTTAGGGGTTTTCTGTTCATTGTGAACCCAAAATTTGCTGATTGAAAACATTTGTGAGAAAGAGTTGCTCACTGGCTTACTACCATGTACTTGCACAAGAACAAATAACCAAAGAAAAAGTTATGACAGCAAAATACCCAAAATTTTAGCAACTTTTGTGCTGCAATAGCTGTAACAATGAGGTTTCTGCATGCCTGGAATGACATCACAGTTTTTTTCGCATTAGCCTTAAAAACAAAAAGGCACCAAAATACCCTTCAAAATGGCAAAATAAAAATTAAAAAAAAACGAGGTTACTTGGGAAACAAAGGTGCATTTCTACGGATAGCATTAAATAAAAGTACATTGCATGAGCCGTTTAAGGCCTTCAGGTATTTTCTTTCTTTGTGATGATCGTTTATTTTGATACTCTTGGTATGTGCCTTCCACATTCACTTGACGTAACCAGTGTCAAAAACGCGGAGGTCTTAGAATGCGAGAGTATGTTATTATAAATTCTGCTGACGCAATTTTGTTGAATTTCTCTGTTTATTTACTTTAACATAAAAAGGGTAAATTTTAAAACCGTGTGACGTGATTTATTTGACCTGTGAAAATTAGGCCAATGTGTACAAATAAATTGGAAAATTTAATATTGCCACTGCTATTAACCAGTGACATTTAATTTTACCAAATAATTCTTGCAATAACAGAGTTGTAGGCCTACTGCATTTGATTATGCATATACGGCTATTTTGGTCTCCTTATCCGGCCTTCTATTTTTGATGTTTGCCCTAGTTTTTTTCAATTTGTGTCCCAAGATGACGTCTGTACCAATATTATGCAGCAGTACATGCGGTAAAAAAGGGCGGGAAATTAAAATAGCCGGTTCGCGCCATTTCCACGAGGGTATGTGAACAAAACTTGCCCGTGTATTCTAAGTGTTTATTGTAACGAGCCATCTCAGAAATTAATACACGGAGCAATAGTCAGGAGTGCATGGGAGGGAATAGAGTGACATCGTAAAAGGCCCTGGGTTCCATGATGGTTATCGTCCACTGTGTAAATCTTTCATTGTTTTGATGATTTACAAATTGCTGCTGCCCTGGGCGGGTCATTGTGTCCATCTTGGGGGTATTGATGACGTCACATCGCTGTCTAAAAACAGCACTTTATGAAAATACACGACTGGTTGAAGTCTAGTTCAGCAACCTCGTGTTGCCCTGATCCGTTCGTGTTTGCTTAATGGTGCTTTTTGTGTGTCTCGGGGTGCCATTTTAAAATGATATATGTGGTAGAAATTAGTTTAATTTTAAAAGATATGACAACTCCACGGGTTAAACATGACTTGCGAAAAGGTCAATTTGTGAATCCTGCCTTGTTTAGAAGAAAAATAATAATTGAAACAGACAGCATCTTCGATAACTTACCAGTATTTTACCCGAACCACACTGAAATCTGTCTCCAAAAAAAGCTTGGGGCAAACAAGACACAAAACAACTTGTTTTGATTAATAAAGTCACATCGGGTGTGCCTTGGTGGAGTTTAATTTACTTTATTCAAGCCTTACTATACTTCCTGAAACTTACGAAAAAATCAATAGTTCATGTGACAGAACCATCTGTCTTGTCTTGTCCCCGAAACAACTTATATAAATTCAGGGTGAAAAAAAAAACTCCGAACCGTCCAGCGGTTCCCCGTGACGGGGAGCAGCTGCGGAAAGTGTCCCTATCGGGCCGACAGAATTTCAAACTTGCAAATAAACACACGCCAGGCCAACATTCATGTCACATTGTAATCGGAGCGCTTGAGCTGGCCAGGTGTGCACTTTTAGGCGGAGATCGTTGGCTCCCTAGCCTCCCGTTTTCATGAAAGTGCAAGTATCGAAGTACAGTCTCTAGCAAAATACAAGTTACTTCTCACCTAATACTTCTACTCGTGTTATGGTAAGTTATCAAATGTTGATAGCTCCGTTGCAAGCCAGAAAGCAAGGAAGACAATCCTGTTTTCATAGGCTCAAGTCCTGGATAGGTCAAATTTCCGTGCTCATTGAAGTACAGGTTATTCCTGTACAACAGTATGTGAAATACAATAGAAGTTGCCTTATTCATAACACAACATGGAGGCAGTTACTGTAATTCAAGTCCCGATGTGGTTTGAGTGTAGCCCTTACCTAGTTTACACTTCTCTTCATCAAAAATCTCACATTTGAATACCTGACCTGATTCCTCCGCACGTCAAACAGAGCGGGAAGCACCACTTACTAAAACAAAAAAATGCCCCAACTTCCAATTTTCATGTAGGTCAGCTCTGCGTATGATGCGACTGCGCCCCGCGGCAGGATTTGAAATCATTGTTCGATCAGGCTGCACACTGACCCAATTTAGGCGTCGATCCCATAATAGCATTACTGTTACGTATTTTGGTGAGGTCTGTGAACTTAAATAGAGCATGCATGGAGGTATCATATGCTTGATATGACTGAGAAGAATTTTCTCTACCTCTTGTCAATCTGAGGTCAAGCACCTCAGCCTCTGTATAAGAAATGAAACTTTAACTGAGCTGGCATTATAATTCTCATCGATTGGTTGAATCCTCGGTGGAAATCAAAGAAGGAATATAATTGGCTTATTGTGGGCCGCTGACGTCATATGTTTACATCAAGCGTCCAATCAGCTTTCTCTCTCTTCCGTAAACGTTACTTGAAGTTTTTCATTTCTGTGTATTTTAATCTGCCATCTCTGAGGAGCTCTGACCCAAATCTGGCGTCAAATGAGATTGTCTTGTCTTATCGGCCTGCCTTGTGTGATTAAAACTGAGTTGGCTTGGAATTGCCAGGTGAATGGCGTATGTAACCTCAGTAGGTCAAACTCTACACCTATTCTACAAACGCTCTGTCCATTAGGATTTCTATTGGGCAAATTGTACCATTTGTGAGCCAACTCAATATGTTTAAATCAAATGGTATACAACTCATCAATGAAGATTTCTTTCACTCGAAATGCTCTAAATTAATAGGCCTACAATTTCATCTTGTGAATTGTGGTTCAGCTCTGGGTAGATATATTTGTTGCAAATTAACGAATCGTTCCAATGTTCGACATTTTGTTGGTTGATCAATGTCCGCGGTGCATTTATGGCAATGGCGCCACCAAGAGTATGTAAACGCAAACATCCTAGATCAAACAAATTCGCACCGCGTTACAGCAGGATTTCAGGTCCATACATCCGTTTGAGAGGCTATCAGATGTGCCATGTTGAGAGATCAAAAACGATTGGGTAACTCGCCTGTTCTACCCTAAAAACCGTTTAGTATTCATGAAGAAAACGAACAGACTTAAAGCATTCTAATTAACAGTTGAATACAATGATGAGATCGGATTTCTTAAAGTCCCTCTTGCAATTTATGCATTGCTTCTGGTTTTTTGTTTAACCGTGTGAAGACTTTATTTTGGATGATTGAGAATGGCCTCATTTTTTCCGACTCCGCCACGATTCTTACCGAAGCCTAATGACTGTGTAATCAGCCCTCATCCATATCCTAGTCACTTCAGACTGGCATTTATGTATAGCCGCATCACCCTCGTAAGCATCATCATCAAGTCCTTGGACATGGTCGTTTATCTATGCCATCTTCTACTGAGTGCAGTCCCTAGGGCATCAAGACCTGGTGTTAGGCACTTGTCCAAGGGCCCTGGGAATGAGTGCGTGAGTTTGCAGTGCACCCTGGGACGGTCCTTATACTAACAGTGAATAGGAAGTGACGAATGCCGGAGATAAAAAGTGAAAGTGGAAAGTAAAGTTTAAATGATTTCAGAGAAATTGAAGTCAAACATTATTGATGGAGGAGTTGCATTAGGAGGAACACAGATATCATGGGGCATGCATTAAACATCAACTTCAAAACTTCAATGGTGTAAAATACAAACTTGGTTTGAATACTGAACCACATGCAGTATAATGACCACTGTCACAGCCAGCCAGAAAGTGGATTTGTAAGGACATTGGCGCTCGTTCATTGATTGTTCCACTTTCCTTCTGGTAATAGAATTCTACTATCAAGCCTGAACGCAAATTAATGGCACACGTCGTGAACAGTGATAGTCCAAGCCTTCAAAGTCACACTGCGTGCAGATCATCAAGCACTGTATTTATGAACAATTTGTATATAAAACATATGGGCAATGCATCAGTATTGTTAGCTGAAGGTTCCTGCTCTAATTGCTAATCTAATGCCAATTCAAAAAAACATATGTCTACACATAATGAAAGACCTTTCCGGGCCTGATGTACATCTTGTGTCATAATATCTAACTATTGTCATATTAAAGGGCATCCTACTGCTCGAGTTGATTACGCACGTGGTAAAATGATTGCGATCTTGATGTCCGTTGCACATAACTGATCAAGTTTGTAAAAATATAATTTGAACTGACATCGATGATCGTAAAGTCAAATTCCACCTGCGAAAACTCGGCACAGTTCAGAAACCTTTTTTAATCTTTGATTTCCGATCGGTAATTTGTTAATAAAACTCTATAGTGATAGAATAGCAAGTTAATAGGAAATGAAACCTAACATTGTTATATTGTTTTAATAATTATTAAGGCATCTTGTTATTCCCCTTTTAGGAAGTATTTATCTCAACTCGGTTGAGACCATTTACACTAAATGGGTCGAACAAAAACAGGGGACCTGGGCAATTGTGCTTTAGCAAACATAAGATAGATTTCGACCCAGTTTAATGGTTACAAAATTACTTAAGTACGATCCATATCAAATGTATAACTATAGTTCTTGTGACCAGCAACATATCCAAATGAAGCACAAAACTTCTTGTGGAACATGTAGTTGGGTAAGCCCAATACGGGTTGTGAATTAATACATTTTTTCCTTTCTTTCCATTTTCTTAGAGTGACCTAGAAAGGATCTAATGGATCGTTGCCAACAGCTTTGAAAGACATCATCGGTAGATGCTTCTAAATACGGCTCATGCACGCCCGATGGGACGATACCATTACCTGTGAGTATTTGCGGTATTGCTGGCTTATCGTCGGGAATTATCGGGAGAAAAAAAAGATCGTCCGAATCATGACGTATCTAACACCATTCTGAAACCGTAAAAATACCGGTATCAGTGATATTAATAAAAACCACGGCAGGTGATAATATAATGACACCCTTTACATTTGCACCTGATCACAAGGTTCGTGGTACTACGGTAGTGGATCAAGGTGTAAAAAAAACCGGATGTCAGGCTGTATATGTAGTATCTTTATCTGTTTTCATTTTTGAGGTTGATTAATATGTTTGACTGTTTATTATTCATGATAACTGATGCAAGTGCATTTTTCTTTAATGTCTAGACCATTTGTAACAGGTTAGCTTAATATTTTATGGCATCGTAGGGACACTTTCAGAGGCGACTAGACGGCCTTTGTTAGTGTGCGCAGCTCTTTTTCTTTTCTTTTTTTCATCCTGAGGATAACATTTGATTACTTTAGCACAACTCTTGACGTGTGGAATTATAATGTCTAACTGTAACTTTTGCAGTAAAATAGTAATTCATAATTTTCTCTTTGCGTGTGTGTTCATATTCAGGAGATTGAGGTCTAGGAAGTCACCCCATCTACCTTGTAGTTTAAGCTCTTCAGCCCACCGCTATTGAGATGCATACCAAGACCTGAGTATACCCGTCTAGATCCGCTTCAAAGCCAAGCAAATATACACATCCATCGATATAGGCCGTCTACGGGTAAGGAACTGTTCCCAGAGTAAATACAGCATCAGGCCTGAGGTTTCTGTCCACATCTTTCAGTCAGATTTACAAGAGGATGGAGGGTAGGCAGGGAGGAAGCAAGCATCTTGCTAGACTCTTGGGGTTATTTTAGGTGATATGAATGGCTAGGGAACTGATTAGGGGGTTGCAACACGCGTTACAATCTCACCGTCCTTGATCATTTGATTAAGAAACCCGATCGGAGAGTCACTAGCTGCCTTCCTCCTCGTCTCGCCCCACGGTGTGGATCATTCTAGCGTCTTTCACGGAGATGGTGTGGGGTCGAATACTCGGAATACACGGGGAATTAGATGTGGTTAGGCGCGCCATACCTCAAAACTAGGTCCCATGTCTTTATAAGGTGAATGTCGGTATACAGCCTTCCACGCTCAATCATTACTCACGCTCATGCTCGCTGTCAAATCATATCCATTTCTATAAAAAAAAAATTCTGTCACCGTTGTAAAATGATACCACATGTCCTTCAAAACTGACATTCCGTCATGGCGGGTATCCCCAGATGCCTTGATTAGCATCATTTTTCATTTCCCGCTAAAAGTGCAGAGGTGCATGTGTGTAAGTGCTCGACTGATATGCGTTCATTTAGAGGCGCGCACGTATTGGTGTGACGGTCGTGAGATGACATTTTTAATAATCAACGCGAGGCCGCCATCATGGCCACACGATTGCGTTTTGACGAGGGGGGAAATGGAGTCATTTAGCCCGGGTCGTTTCGTGTCTGGTCCGCTGAAGTTTAATTTGGACAATCAGTTGGATGACGTGTTACGACCACATCGATATGTGCTTGCAGACTAAATTACAAAATCTCTCTTTACCAGAACTGCGTGTTCTACTTTGTCGAATTGATGCGAAACACTGTGGCATAATTAACAACGGACATTACATGTTTCCCGAGTCCCAGGGCGCCTTAACAATTTATTTTCAGTTATTTCTGAATTCCGTTCTCGCTGTGAGGGTTGTTAATTACAAAGTGTGACCGTACCACGCATGACCTTGTATTTGTAATAGCAGGAAGCAAGAGCGGAGGGGAGGGCTTCTAACTTTCTTCTACAGTTTGTTCAACAATAAAGTGACAAATTTATGCAGATATTCTCCGAGTATTGTTCAACTGTCGCGAGATGAGGAAAAAGCAGTCTTTCAAAGATGTTATACTACCTGAGATGGCAAAATATAACGTGACCAAAACCGAGGTCAAGGGTCGAGCAGAGATTGACCCCTTCCTGTTCAACAACTTCAAAGCCACTATTCACTTTGACATACAAAATCAATCAATGTAATAGATGGATAAACACGGTTATATTTACAATCCTTCTTTAAAAAGTGTCAACAATATCATTGACAGGTTGTTCAAAACGGTAAATCCCCTTTCCATTTCAAGTGAAAGACTTCCACCCCTAACCTCGTCTAATCCTTTTCTAGTTTCAAGGGGTCAAGGGGTACTTTTGGATTGATGAGACTTGTATAAGACATACTTACCGATGGGAAGATGAGTGCTGCCACTCCCTCGCTCAAGCTCCTCAGATCCATCTTCCTCCTGCTGACCGGCTCATCTCTCTCATCCAGCTCACTCATGGACATGAAGGAAGCCGAAGACATGTCCGGAGACAGGGACGTTTTGGGATGCATTCCCTCTGGGAGCTGGTCCTCCGGGGTCGTCTCAAAGAGACCCGAACATTTGACCTTACTTCCCATCCCTGATAACTTGGCCTTGCTCTCGTTCCCTGGCAACTTGGCCTTACCTCCCATGAAGCTACACATCTTTGCAGAGTTACAGGCTTAAGCTTTTAGAGAACCAAATGTTGACTTCCCTGAGTCCAAGATAGCAAAGGCTGTACCGTTTGCCTCCTCCTTGATTTTAGTCTGGTGCTGTTCTACCAACGTCCTCTCCTGGATGTGATCTGGAGATTTTTGGCTTGTGTTGCTCGCCTCTACCCGGTTCACGGAATCTTGATAAGATTAAAGGATATCTTTAATTTAATTGTAGGAGTCACGAGTGCCAATGTCACTTCCATTCAGAGCAATAACAAACGGGGTGATTGAAAAATGTTGCACTGTGCACATAAGTGAGAAAAGCTGGCTATAGTAAAGACCTTACGTGCTTGAGTTAAGCGTATAACTTTGTTCCTGTTAATCTATCAATCTTAGTGTGCCTCATTAGTTCGCCTACGATGGTGTACTGTGAGGGTGAGTTCACGCGTTGTTTTCTACTTAGCTTTGAAGTCCAAGCCATTCATCCATACACGGGGAGGACACCGCTAGCGGGCAAGATAAGTACAGCACGTTGTCCGCGCCATCATCACAGACTCAACGTCTTACTGATGCGGATTGGTAGTACACTAACCATCACATCATATCCTTCCTATACCAAGTCAATGTACCCAGTATGCTATATATACCTCTAGTGGTATCATACACGTGCATTGCTTGGAGTATTACATATCATAATAAGCAATAAATATGGTCTTACGATTGAGGCATCCAATATAGCTGTCGGGCTGGCTCGACTGCGTAACGCACACGGTTCCATAAAACACGTACAAGACCGACCGAGTCCACACATGAGCACCGGGAGATTGCCGGGTATATGGGTCAGAATTATGCGCTGGTAGTCCGAGTGAAATGCGAGCGTGAGTAGGCTCAGTCCTTCCACCGTCAGATCAGGCAATCTTGAGGCCTATCCGTCATGTCGTTCAGCAGCATGGTGTCCGGGATGCAAACACCGAGAGGGATTCAGCGCGCACGGCAATTTTCTCTTTCTTCTCCTTGGTAGCGCACATGAAGCAAGGATCATCATATATCCCGCTGTGGACACATAGCTGCATCACAACCCAAGGCCGCATCATACGAACTACGCATATTGTACGGATAAACAAAACTGGTCACCCATGCCAGAGAGGGCGGGCTTCAGAATATAGGCGGGAAGAGTGACGAAGATGAAATTGGCGCAACAAGGGAGGCGGTAATGCATTACTGTCATGCCATACCTATCATCGGTGACATATTATTGTCATTTAACTGTGATATGGCCTGCACGCAAACACAAGCACATACATAATCATTTTTGCAAACCCTATTTTTTTTCGTTATTGTGCATTTTACTAATTACATCTTCAAGTTGAAATTAAGGGAACTCAATTATTCAAAGCTAATGAACCAAAGCAGAATGATGCAGCAGGCCATAATGTCTCGCTTGCGTGCCAACGATATTGACCTATAGCGAGTACAGAGTGCTTTTAATGACTGTGATTCTAAGCGTTCCGTACAGTGCCCATTAATAACAACTTGACTTGGAAATTAAAGTGTTATAGTGCGGCTCCCTGGGGCAATAAAATGCTTGGACAATAAACTCGCCGCTTGCTCCAAAGTATACAAGTTTGGTTCTAAAAAGAAAAGAAAAGTCGCAGCTGTGCGTAAGGTTAAGAGCCAAAGTGACCACACTTTACCCCTTTGTCCAGTTATTGATAACAGTTTCGGAACAATAGATTTTTGGTGGCATGTTTCCATAACGAGCGGCCAGTAGTTGAACATTATTTTGGAAAATGTAATATCGCATTGGTGAATGGGGCCATTAGGTGCACTTGGGCAATTTAATGAGATGAGTTTTCTTTCTAACAAGCACATCTCGAGGTTTGGGATCTGTTTGTTTGGTAGCGAGCAGATGGTTAGAATGACTTCCCCTTTTATTTTGATATATGTACATTAATTGCGAGTATTTGAAGAAACTACAGTTTCATTTGGAGTGGATTTTTGGCGCCTTCGTTTTCACAACTTCAATTGCTGTCTACATAGGCCCACTCCAGATTAGTGTATATTTAATTGTCGTTGTTTTACATTCTACATTTACCACGAGACATTAAACGTGCTTGATTGTGTCAAATGAATATTTTTCCTCAAGTGTTTGTTTTAACCCTTAAACAAAGATTCCTACATATCCAAGATTCAGTACCCTACTAATAAAGTCCAATGAATAGGGCACAACATAAAACCTATCCACCGTATCTGACCGGGCTATGAACCTCAAGGACCCCCATCCAAGATGCTCATTTTATTGGCTTCGCGTGCTGGGCAATAATTACTCAACTTGACAATCTCGTGGTACACTGATTTTATTATTTGAGGTCGATACGAGTTTTACTCCAGGTTACGGTCTGTCATAGCAAATAATCTAAGTGAACTCTTCATGAGTTGCATAGTGCATGGTCCTCTCGTCACATTGACGACTGGCATTGCAATGTTACCACGTTTCACAGACTGATGGCCCTGTTGCCCGTCTAGGTTATTCTGTCTAACACTAGTAACAGACACAGGCTGACAACCTTTCACAAGCTCGTTGAAGAAATACCTTCAGTGTGAAAGATATATTCTAAATTAAAAAGTAGAAAAATTGATTCACATTTCGAGTTTCTAAGTAGCGTTTACGAAGTCGCCAGACAAAGTGGCCGAAGTGATTTCTGTGTCAACAGTGGGACCGCACTCTGCGTGTGTTCCAGGACTTTTGGATGGGCGAGTTACTGAAGCCAGGGACTGAAAAGAAAAACATTCTTCCGTGACGAGAAAACAAATGTAGCTTTTAAGAGCCATCTTGGACAAGTCTTGCACCGTACCAGTAAGTGGGAGGTCGTAAGTGCGAGTAAAACAGGCTTTCAGAATTCACTCAGTGCGCAGCATGAACTCGGGCAAAGGGGTAAAGCATTGTTTGGAAAAAGTAATCGAGATTTCTTCATGAAACCAAGATAGTTTTATTTATCTCAAGTTTTCTTTTATTTTAAAACTGAGGTAAAATATCTTGAAAGACGTTGGCCACATATTCTTCGCCATCGCAAAATAGCAAGACACCAAGGTGTTGGAATAATACAAAATAATAGTCACTGTCGGGTGAAGGAGAAACCAAAGTAAAAGTACTGATAGTCTATGAGCAACACGCGGTATCAGATGTGTTTGGTATATTACAGATGGAAAGACTGGCTGGTTGCGTGCAGAGAGGTCGGTATAATCTAGGTCATCAACGACTCACGTCGTCTACCTCTGGCAAAGACACAATCTTCCCTGCCTACTTGAAAGACACCGCGCTAAACTATCCGTGCACAACCTACAAGTTTTGAGACAAGTTTTCCTCCATTTGCGACTTGACATTATCTGTGCTTCGGGCCAGATGCAACTCAAGACATTTTTGAGGCGCCGCCATCCTTTACTTTTGCCTGTTCACTACAAGTGAATGACTTCATCTATACTTTAGTTTATGTATAATGGCGGTTGTTTCTGTGTATTCTTCAAGTGAAGTGTCCTTTACAATTCTACTCTTGCATTGTCTGTGGTTTTTGAGTTTCACGATCAGCCCGTGGACTCATGTTATTTGAGTTTTGAGACGCTGTATCAAGCGTTCAATGTAAATAACGTGCACGAACTCTTAAAGTCTCGTTTACACAGTCACCACACGTGTGCACACGTCCTATTCTCTTTTACCACCAAAGTTGCACATTTGTGAATATTTCATGAACATTACATTGAAGAGACGGGTATGCTCCCTCAAATTACAAACTTTTTCCTGCTAAGCCAACACACACTTCTACCTACTGGACTTCCATTTCGACTTTCTCTGAATACACTCCCAGCATGTCAAGTCACACCTTAGTAGTATGTCTTATTGGATCCTCTTACTTGGATTCATTTGACCATCTCAGGAGTGAAACCTGGGAACCTCTTTATGCAGCCAAGCCAATAATTACACACACCGCTATGCAAACACCACAACTCGATCAGCCAGGCAAGCTCCCTTAATTCCATCACCGCGACTGTTGTCCAACTTTTCCACCGTCCGGCTTGTGTTATTATTATTTTGTCGTGTCGATTTACTCTCGCTAAAACCTTTTATCTTTATTGTCAATTTGTTCAGATCTTAGCTGGGGCTGCCGGTTTCTCCTCGCTGGAAATCCAATTTAGACTTGGTCGTCGGGAGCAGGTACGTAGTTGAAGTAGAGACTGCTCCGAGTGCCTCGACCAGAGAGGTAACCCTGGTAAGTAAAGTGGCATCTTAAAGAAAAGTGCACTTTTATACATTTTCTCTCCACTTGTGTTTGCTGATATGTGCTAAAATTGTTCAGTCGGGCGTTATTAAGGAAATTGTAACACAGTTACTGAAATTGACGGTATGCTACTCCAAGAATCGAATGAAAAAAAAAACTTCTAGCACTTTGAATGAACGGGTTTTTTTTGCCTTTCAGAAAGGTTCTGCTATTAAAGAAGGAAACATTAGGCCCTTTAGATTTGTTAATTTACATTTCTTGCTATCAACCACTCTGTTTTACCTTTCGTTCAGAGGTCTTAATATAAAATAATAAAAGCCAGCGGGGCCAATCAAGTAATAATTAGACCCAGAATTAGTCGATACCTTTACTAGAGTCTGTTGAGTTTTCAGTGCTTCTGGTCTACGAAATATTTTCGAAATTATGGCAAGACAAATGGGAAAAGCAAAACATCATTTGCTTTTGCTGTAATTTTCAGAAATGGATTGAATTGGAGGGTTGGAAATATATAGCAAATATAGTTACATTGACTTTTTTGAGGTTTTGGGTTAAAAAATGCTATAAAAACCAAGAAAAACAATCATTTTCCTGTAGTCTGGTTCCCTGACTCCATTTAAGAAGAAACAGAGCAGTTTACATATATTGGGAAATTGTAAGGTCAGTGAACCAGTCTAGCTGGCTTGTACCCGTTCATAGGTGTGTAATCGATTGCAAACAAGTGCGATGGTCAACTGGGGCCAGTATTTGAAAAAAAGCCAGTTTTTTTCCAACGCTGATCGGCCGATCAGCGTTGGAAATTGATACAAAAATACCACTTTTCTTGAAAATGACAGTATACCAGGTGCCATGATTTTACAGGATGCTTTACACTGTCATTCACTAACAGTCCAGCAAGGTATTTCAAAATGATTTGGTAGTTTTATTTTTTGATGTTTGCAAATGTTGTATTTTCCCTTTAATAAATTTATATCTAGAAGATTTCAAATACTTTGATGAAAACACGTTCCAATTACAACTATCATCACTTGCAAGTAACACTTCCTTCGAAGACGCACAATCCTTTCACCAACCTCACCTAAATCACATCCATCCTCATCTCGACCAGAAGGGGGGGGGGGGGGTTGAGACTCTCGCGAGAAATATCTCTTTTGCATCAGGAATCTAGGCAATAAATTACTGTTGCAAAGTGAATGAATCTGAAGCTGAAGTTTCAATTAAAAGATTTGGCCGTACCCCGCGCATCCAGCACGGCAAGTCTCAGTGTTGCTAATTTCCCCGGCGTTGATGCAACACCAGGGTGTCAGCTGCGTGATATGTACGGGGCGATGACAGCCTCTTAACGGCAGGATTCTTGTTTAATGACTGCACCTTTCTACGGGTCTCCCGTAACAGATCACCTGTTCATTCCTATCATCTGCACAAAAGTTGTTTGAAGAAGTAATAACTCTATACCAATACTAATCATATCAACAGTCTGCCTTTATACATCTTTATATTTTGATAAAGGGATTAGCTTACTACCTCCCCTTATTATGGGGTCTTTATTAATTTAAACGCCCTCAATATCAAATACACGTTCCAGCATTGATCCAAATTAGTAATCATTTACTTCTGGAAAGAGACTAACTTTATTGGAGCAGAGTATCCTGCTAATGAACATTAGAACTGACATTCGCTGGTTAAGATATAAATATCATCCAAGAACTATTGCATCGATTGGGCATGCAGACATAATTTCAGTCAATTATACAATTTTACTGGTTGAACAGGCCCTACAATGTAAAGCGAAAAAAAGGACAACAAATAATTGTTAGATATGAACGTCAAGATAAAGCTCTAGAGAAGTATTACGAGATATTTTGGAGGGGGAACAATTGGATTTATCCGGCTAGCCATTGAAAAATCGAAAAGCGTGGCGAGGAACATCATTTGACGCTAGTGGGCGCTCTAGGTATGTGTAATTAGCGCAGCCATGTTTTCGGACCCTTTCCGATTTTCTGATTTCAAATTACTCTATTACTTTTCCGGTCCTTTTCTTTTTCGTATATCCACCTGCCTATTGGTGAGCTGGGTTTAGCCCCCAACCCCATCCCTTCCGGTTGCTAAGCCATTGAAAAGCAATATGATGGTTCGAAACTTCTAAAACTAAGTGTTACCCGTCGAAACACCGGAATCGGGTAGGTGCATGAGAAGGAGGGAAGGGCCTACGGTTGGATCGCACGGATGATTTGTAGAAGGCGCGTGAGTGATATAATTATACCATCGCTGTGCTCTTTTCGTTTTACACAGCAAGGAGTCCCACATCTGTCCTATAATTTAATCTTAGCCATACCTTATCTTCGCCAATGTCTTAAGATACCAAGGAATGCGTGCACGCGCGCTGGCCCTATGACGCACAACTTCAATTAATTACATTCGACTTGGGTTACACATAGGACACGCTTGGTTGGGCTGCAGATCATTGAGATCTGTAAAGAAACATGATCGTCATGATCTAAACAAAAAATAAATAAAAATTAAATAAAACATATTTTTAACAAAATGTGATGGAGCTCTGATACGCACATGCGATGCTAAATGCTTTGAACATTCACCGGACATAGCCCTACGTGATGGCCACAAGATTCTTTTTTTGGCTAATCTTCCAAACTTTCCTCCAATAAATGGGCGACATGTCCGTAGTGCAAAGGATGATCTTAATGGATGAGTATAGCCGAACGTTTATAAAACCCTTAAAATCGTCTAGAGTATTCATTTTTCGTGCGTGAATTTTATAGTATCTGATTAGAAAAAATAAAGCTATTATTGAACAACTTGGAAGTTTTTTTGTAACGAAATGCTTTTAATCCATTCTACGCATGCGACTCTGTAGCTTACAAAACAATCTGCCTTACCATAAATAACTGGAAAGTTATAAATAAATTATTCTCACACTAAACTTAGGCGGATTTCTTTTCGTCCGCTGACTCAATAAAAAAACTGAATATTTTTTTTGGTTCGCTAGGGAGACAGCACTTGAAAAATAAAACAAAAACACGCTTTTCTTGCTGGCAATCGAAAATATCACGGACAGTTTTTCTTTTAACTCAGTTTAGTCATCCGAAATGGTCGAGTGTTCAGTTTTTGTTGCCAGGATCTGAATATCATCCAAATCAGAACTGCTTAGCTACTTTCTTACCCGTCAGAATCCCAAGTGTTTTTGTGTTTGTATTTTCCCTAATACAGAATATCATTTCTCTTTTAATCCCTTTTTTATTTACACAGAAGTAGAACCCAGCCGGGCCACTACCGGGGGCCGCGATGAGTCGGTGCCTAGGCCCCCATTTTTTTTAAATAAAAACATCCTCATAAATGGTTTCCAGATGATAACTTGACTCCGGCTGAGGGGTTTCAACAGTAACGCTGTTATTTTTCTTTTTAATCTCGTAGTATTATAATTTTTATTTTGTCGTTTTTTGAAACCTTTTATCGCAGGTAACGTGTAAGACATGCTATCATTATAGAGTGAATGTGCATATATTTGCATGTACTCATGTATTTTAATGTTTTTATTGATGAACAAATGTGAGTGTTTGTTTGTATCATCAAGGCCTGCAATGGAGACAAAATATCCAAGAATACTTGTATAATGAATCGTTTAGAATATTACCGGCCTCCTGAGTAAGATGTTATTAACATTGTATAATTCATTCGTTTTAACATATTTAAAGTACTCAATCTTGACTTGGAGCAGTTTGTCCTCTAAATCTAACAAATTACTCACTTTACATAAACGAGCGGTTCGTGTAATTTCGAAAACTGGCTACCGTTACTATTCTGCTCCATTATTTGCTAAATAAAATATATTACAGTGTAATGACTTATACAACCTTAATCTGGGAAAATTCATGTATAAATGTATGCATAAATTACTTCCTCCCTGTTTTAATTCTGCATTACCTAAAGCCCCTGTCACACCTTTGCGTTTCCTAATGCCTTATGAGTACCTTATCAAAAATGTTTAATACGCAGCCGTACGCTCAATTAACGTCGAAATGTTTTGATCACTTTGACTTATGTGCGACGCACATCTAGCGTACAAGTAACGAATTCAGCGCATCCATTGCGTATGAGATGCGTATGAGTTCCGTATGCAGTGCACAACATTATTTTTCGGGCTGCGAATAGGTCAGTATGCAGTGCGCATGCCGAGCGTATTCCCGCCGCATTTCCTCCGCTGCAAGTACGCTATGTATACGTCCAATACAGGCGGCTCATATGCTGACGGGGTGCGTCACGAACACATAGCGTACTCGTAACACACTCGACCGATGCGGGACCATTGATCTCCATACTGTGTATATGGAGATCAATGTGCGGGACCGATGCGCTGCGTATTTATAACTTATGACCTGCGCAACAGCGTACGCAGCGTAGTTTTGTGCATGCCCAAAATCATCCTGCGTACTGGGCCGTACCATGCGTATATCTGCGTACATAAAACCTACACAAAACGATAGAGATGCCTTTGAGGTGCGTATTGTGCGTACGATTGCGTATGAAAAAAATGTCAATGCGCAACTCATAAAGAATTAGGATACGCAGAAGTGTGACAGGGCCCTAACATTCATACATTTACATGTAGCGATAGCTAGGGGATATTTGTTCGTCCAATTTAACAGAACGTCAATGTCTAAAAATTGTGTTGTTTATCGAGGCATCTCACACTGGAATAGTTTAGATGAATCTTGCAAATCCTTACCCTCACTTTTTGTCTTTGTGAAAAACTTTTAAAAAAAGTCAGTTCCTCTTATCATATTCATAAATGAATATGTGTTTGTGAACTAGTAATTAGGGCTTGTCTCACACTTGTCTTATCTGTCTCACGTTGTGTTTTGTTTGTCTTATGTCCATGTGGCGGTGCCTTGGTTGTATGTTTGTCTGTCGGCCCTGTCACACTTATGCGTATCCTAATTCCTTATGAGTTGCGCATTGACATGTTTTTCATACGCAGTCGTACGCACTATACGCACCTCATATGCATCTCTATCGTTTTGTGTAAGTTTTATGTACGCAGGCATACGCATGGTACGGCCCAGTACGCCGGATAGTTTTGGGCATGCACAAAACTACGCTGCGTACGCTGTTACGCAAGTCATAAGTTATAAATACGCAGCGCATCGGTCCCGCATCGGTCGAGCACGGTACGAGTGCGCTATATGTTCGTGGGGGATAAGCCTTTTCATACGCAGTAATACGCTGACCTCCCGGCACGCACCCCGTCAGCATATGAGCCGCCTATATTGGACGTATACATAGCGTACTTGCAGCGCAGATACAACGCACGCTGAACGAACTCATAGCGAATGCCGACGTATTGCGTCAGGCATGCGGTCGGCATAAGTCGGGTGCAGTCCGGAATACGCTCAGAATGCGCACTGCATACTGACCTATTCGCAGCCCGAAAAATAATGTTGTGCACTGCATACGCAACTCATACGCATCTTAACGCAATGGATGCGCTGAATTCGTTACTTGTACGCTAGATGTGCGTCGCACATAAGTCAAAGTATTCAAAAAATTTCGACGTTTTGAGCGTACGGCTGCGTATTGACAATTTTTGATAAGGAACTCATAAGGAATTAGGATACGCGAAAGTGTGACAGGAGCTTTAGGGCGCAAAAGCGTTTTGCTTAAGTCGTTGAATTTGCTACTTTATTATTTAATAATCACCGTGTACATATCAAACTTCATATTATTGTACTCCTTATGTACTTAAAACACGTTTATACCAGAATGGCATCATTGAAATAAATTTTACAGAATTTACAAAATAGTTACAGAATTTACGAAGTTATCAAAAGATAAATATCGTTATAATAAATACACATGTACTATTGTTTTCTTGTTACATATAGTTTCTGTGCGATTGTTATTGATCCTTATTTAATTATTCACGGAATGTGAATATCTACTTATCTAAATTTGAAAAAAAATTAATATCTAAATTTGAAAAATATATGTGCTTGAAAAATTTAACATTAAATATGAATCACTTAAAAAAAAACATAAAAATGTAAGGCTAACTCCTTGCAACAACAAACAAAATGGTTGATTTTTTTTTTTTTTACGTTGTGTCGGGTAGTTCCTCTCATCAAAAACTTCCCCGAATAGCATTTGTCTGAAATGCCTTTAAAACAGTCATCTTATTCAGAAACGCTTTTAACTCGCCCCTAGAGATACTGATGGCGATAGAAACGCGCGAACCTCTAGGGGCGACCAAGAAACGCGCGTACCTCTAGGGGCGACCATAAATAGATCGCTCCTAAAGGTACTGATGACGATTCCTCTAGAGACGAGTGGAGCTCCAATCAATATTCAAACGCCCGAATTATGGCAGATTTAGACAAAAATCATCCTTTTGGGGATGAAATAAGTAAGAAATAATTGTTGACTGTTTTTACCCTAAATTTTTGGCCACAAGTTCTTTTCAAAGGCACATCTGTTCCCGAATCGAATTGGTCATTTTTTTGGCCAAAATTGAAAAATAATGCAAGGGGTAAGCCTTACATTTTTAACAAAATTTGTCTAAAAATTGATTTTTCTCCAAACAACGCAGAAATTTCTCTAGAAACGAGTGGAGCACCAATCAATATTGAAACGCCCGAATTTTAGTAGATTTAGACAAAAGCGTCCTTTTGGGGGGAGGAAATAGTAAGAAATAATTGTTTACTGTTTTTACCCTACATTTTCTGCCACAATTTCTTTTCAAAGGCACATCTGTTCCCAAATCGAATTGAAATGTGTTCAGGGTTACCTTGGGCATCTTTCCTGCAAGTTTCAAGGAATTTCATTTTTTGGCCAAAATTGAAAAAAAATGCAAGGGGTTAGCCCTACATTTTTAAACAAAATTTGGCCCCCCCCCCCCAAAAAAAAAAAATCATTTTTTTTGTATTCATCAATACAATAAGATCGCCCCCAGAGGTACAGAATGGCGATAGAAACGCACGTACCGCTAGGGGCGACCATAAATACAATGAGATCGGCCCCAGAGGTACAGAATGGCGATAGAAGCGCGCGTACCGCTCGCTAGAGGCGACCATAAATACAATTAGATCGCCCCCAGAGGTACAGAATGGAGATAGAAACGCGCGTACCGCTAGAGGCGACCATAAATACAATAAGATCGCCTCCAGAGATACAGAATGGAGATACAAACGCGCGTACCGCTAGAGGCGACCATACTGATACAATAAGATCGCCCCCAGAGGTAAAGAATGGAGATAGAAACGCCCGTACCTCTAGGGGCGACCATAAATACAATAAGATCGCCTCCAGAGGTACAGAATGGAGATAGAAACGCGCGTACCGCTAGAGGCGACCATCAATACAATAAGATCGCCCCTAGAGGTACAGAATGGAGATAGAAACGCCCGTATCTCTAGGGGCGACCATAAATACAATAAGATCGCCCCCAGAGGTACAGAATGGAGATAGAAACGCGCGTACCTCTGGGGGCGACCATAAATACAATAAGATCGCCCCCAGAGGTACAGAATGGAGATAGAAACGCGCGTACCGCTAGAGGCGACCGTTATTGCTCGCCCCTAGAGGTACATACCTCCACAGGGACCTTTATTGATCGCCCCTAGAGGTATCTGTGGTCATATGTACCTCTAGGGGCGATCTATAACGGTCGCCCGTAGAGGTATGTACCTCTAGGGGCGATCTATAACGGTCGCCCGTAGAGGTAAAGATGATTATCTAAACGCGCTTACCTCTAGGGGCGACCGTAATTGCCATAAGATCGCCCCTAGAGATACTGATATAACGAAACGCGCGTACCTCTAGGGGCGACTGTAATTGCATAAAATTGTTTGGGGTACAATATCTTTATTGTTTTACAAATTCTCACAACAATCAACAGCCTTGTGTTATATATCACAAACAGAATAACCAGACCGAATTTTTAACTCAGTACTCCAAAATGTGCTCAACTTATCGTTCGGAAAACGAGTCAATTGTAAATTCCCCATAAAACTTATAATTTCTACAAATCCATTATTTAGTCTCCATAAACTGACTCCAATTAGTGTTCAAAGTTATCAGAAAATTCATGTTTCACATTATACACCAGCTTGTAGTTCTTCTATTTTGTTTAATTACAATTTATTCGACTAAAAAAAATCTTTCCTCCCTTTTTCGCGAGCAACTTGACTCAAAGATCCTACGACAAGCACCAAAAAAACACACTGTAACTGGTTCCCTGCTCTCAAACGTAAACCTTACGTAAAAACCGTAGACCAGCTTTTTGGACCGTAGCAAAAATCCCATTTGAACCGCGTATATGGCTGTTTTTGTACACGGCCGATTGTGCACACGTGTATTGGCAATAGCGAGCTAGAAAATCGGCCATTTCGGCGTTTCCACCGATCATGCGCAGTGTGCACGCCTATATACAGTGCATGGAGCTAGAAAATCGGCCGATACGGCGTATCCCATGGACATGCGCATTGTGCACGACCATGTGGTGAGTACAATTTTTGTTGTTGCTAGGAGAATTGAACTTAACTCCCCAATTGGTGTATCACTAAACTCAAAATCAAACCAAAATTGGTGAAGTTAAAGAGCATTGGGGCATAAACCCCGGGGTTGGGGAAGGGGTAGGGAAATAATACACCCCCACCCCCACAAAAAAATACTTAACCCACTTTTTTGACCAGATGGATTTGACATTGGATCATCCCTCCCGGCGCCCCATATTTTCCTGGCGAACATCCAAAAAACTTGTAGCCAATAATATGCACTAGTTATACAAAATGCCATTGCTTGTAATAATTCAGGTAGTAAAGCCCCCCCCCCCCTTGTCGACAAGGATATATACATGCCACTTTTTAGAGTTGTTGATACAACTTACACAAAAATAAACCAGATTGTGACAATCAGCAAAAAATGTGTTTTCTCTCATTTTTATTACAGTCCACAGTTTAAAGTTTGAACAAGAAACTGACACACGTGGATATTTGAAAATAATTAAGGCACCTTGGATTAATACTTATCCAGTTATTGCATTATATTTCCTACTTTACACAGCAAAGTCTCAGACATTTTTTACATTATTTATACCTTCCTCAACATTTATCTACACTTCACTTACATTCGTCTACGTACAGTCCTCTCTTTGAAATAGTTTGAATTTCAAAAATCAAACACTTCCAGTTACCAAAAGCAAATGTGTGTCCCAATTTCAAGGCTTTCCATGCTTTATCTGTCATCAATATCACATACACTGACATTTAATGCTTTGAAATGACCTTAATTTCATCCGTAATTACTCCATACTCAGTGGTTTTCTTATTAGGATTGCCAAGGTTTCGCTTTCTATCATGCAATAACTTTCAACACTTATACATTGTTTTACTCTGTTTCCTCGGAATGGTTTCATGTTCGTGTCAAATAACGACGGATAATGCATGTGCAGTCTATGGAACATTATAGGCACATGTGGTAAACAGTTTAGTTACCAACCACATCCACAACCACGACCTCATTTTACATTAATTTCGAAACATGCCCTGAATAAGTGTACAAGTTTGTAACCGTCCAAATGCGGCAAAAACAGATTGCGTAGAATCTAAAGCTGTCCATGGTTCGATACAACATATCAATCACATCAGCTAAATCTAATCTAAATCAATCTAAATCAGCCATCAAACATGCACAGATGTTCCCAATTAAACCACTCAGAGTACAAGTCTATCTTTACAAAATACTTTTTTACAGACACACACATGCTTTCACCATTTTTTCTTAAATTATTGTACAGAAATTTATGCGAAACTCAGTAATTTCAAAGCACTTTTGCACAAGACTAAGCTTGTGCACACTGCATGATTTAAAACCGCAAGAATACGTAGGTCGTTATAGTCTTTGAAAGCATAAAAACAAAACAATTAAAGAAAGTTGCAACACTGTTAAAAAGATTTATCGCTTTTGCAAAACAAACATATTGCTTAGCATCTCCTGGCTTTACATGCAAATGCATCTGACATAAAATATTAGTTATCAATTAATGTGAATCATTATTACTGTGACATGAAGGAAATATTCTGCAAAATAAATATATTATGTGGTAAGAGAAGACGCTTGGAAATTGCAAAGGTGTTTTACAGTATTTAGGGACTATCATTTTGATTAAAAAAAGAGTCCAGAACTTTTGTTTTCATGCATTTAAGTGAGTTTGAATATTTCAACAGTGTGATTACATGTATTTGGCTTCTGGTTACACATAAATTGTCGACACTACTTGTTATCATAATTTCCCAATTGTTTATGTTTAAAATAACGCAATAAATTGAAATATTTCATCAGTCACCCTGAATACACGGTCAATACCCTGAAATTGAATATGAAATACAAATCGTGGACTTTCTGAGAAAGAGCAGAGGAGTTTTTAAGGAATTTGACAAAAAAAATGGAACTGATGGTAAATCTGATATTAACCTGTCATGCATATCAAGCTCCTAACCATTGCTTTCAAATAAATACAATAATTACTGCATCTACCACTCGTCAGCTGCCGATACAACCGACTTGCTTCGACTAGACGTGCTAGATGTTGGTGAGCCCGACCTTTTGAACCTTGACCCTAAGCTTGACCTTGAGCTGATGCTAGAAGCTGATGCAGGTCGTGACCTTGGTGGCGTTGGTTGTAGAGGTGCAGGTTGGATGGCTGGCACCTCAACATTTTGTCGCATGTGGAAGATTCGACTATTTTCATAGTAGCCTTCCGACAGCCAGAAACACTGGATTGCGTCAACGTCATTGGAACTGCAGAGAGAAAAAGAAAGGTGAAATTCAGTATGTCAATTGTGAATAAGCAGAATAATTTTTGCCAAAATATCTCCAATGTCAATTCAAAAAACTGCTACATAGAAAAGGACTAATAGACACTCTAAACATTCTGTTTAACTTCACAAACTTGTAGTAGTTGGTTCAAACCACTCTCCAGTCAATTTCTATGTCCAATTTCATGTACTTCTAGCCAGCGAGATGGGAACCTCTTGATTAATAATGCAAACATTTTTACTACTCATTAAAAAATCACTAACAGCTTAGAATTTTGTGATTTTTTTCTCACCTCGTTCCGTCACAGAATTCCACCACCAACTTATCGCCATCAGTAGCGGTGATTTTACTGGGCAGATACGTCATCTTGACAGCACTGGCCATGGCTAAGACATAGTCACCCAGAGCAAACCGCTGACGACGTGAGAAGGCACCAAAGATGTGCTTGCAATGTTGCTGACTTGTGGCGTCGTCTGGCCATTCCACAACAAAATAGCGCCCTCGGTTGATGCGTTCTGTGACGGTGGCTGTGTGAACAAGTCAAGAAAATCAAAACCATCTGTTTAATTCTCAATGTCAAATAAAGCATAGAATTTTTGGCTATTTCAAGAGTTACTCTAGTTTGAATCAATCCTCAGAATTCCCAATTGAATATTGCAATACTTGATTGCAATTTACTCTTCAATCATTCGTATTGGCCTACAGAGCCCTAAATGGACATTCAGGAATTAATCTCAACCAAAACCAAGTTTTTCAATTCCTTCCTTCAAGAAGTCAACATCATTTCATGAACTGAAAACAATTTTTTTCATGTGCTTGAAATATAGTAAATATTTTTTTTATTGAGCACAAAACTTATTTTCAAGATCACAAAATGTTTTTGAAGGCAGTAAAATATTTGTTTTGATTAAAACTATTTTTAATGATCCTTAATTAATGTGTTCCTTATTCTTGAGTAAAAGAAATAATGTTTTGTGACTAGTTTCATCATGAATTTACCACTCTCTCTTTTGCTACGAGGTTACACCCCAACTCACCTAAGTAGTAGACTCCATCCTCATCTCTCCTAGCAACAGCAGGATGCCCCACCCACCGATCCTCTCCAACCAAGATAGCTTCCTTGACCTCATCATGACACTCTGGGGTCACGTAGTACATCTCCTCCCTGGGTACGTCAGCAATCTCCTCATCGTAGAACTCCACCTGACACCAGAGATCTTGGAGGAGTTTGATGACGGTGGCTGGTCCATAGCGGAAAGGATGGCCAGGATGCAAGGCTATTACTGTGTCTCCTTGCTGATAGGTGACAACAAGAAATCAAATCAAATCAAATCAAATATGCTAATAAATAGATTTATGAAAAGAAGATGTTCCTTTTAATCTTAGGTTTTCTGATTCATCAAGTTTTTGTTTACAATTTACAGTGTGCCAATACAAACAAAACAATTTACATCTCCTTCCATGCAAGAAATGCCTTAATTCAACAAAACTTTTGGGGTTGGTTTGCTTTATTTCATAAATGTATTCTTTTTTATTTTTATTTTTAAAATTTTTGAAAAACTTTTTTGAATACTTAAGAGAGCGAATGGTCAAAATCCACCATAATTTTTTTTTGAAAATTTGTGGCAAAACAGTCCAGTGTTTTGGAGTCGATGGCATTAGAAGGAAAGGAAGGCAATAAAGATAGCCTAGGGCTAATATTATGATGTATCTAGTGTCTTACCTGTATCATCCGATTTCCATCCTCCTTGTCTGTCAAGATGTACTTTGTAGACACCTTCTGGATGGTACCGTTGCTGTCTTCAACGTAAAACTCAGAGTCTTCACTCTTAGAATTCACAGTTCCTAATGACAAAAAGGAAATAGAAAAAAACAAATGACATACAAATATTTGGATTGACCCTTAAACAAAATGCAAAATATCTTTATAACGGCTCAAATAAAAGTTTAGATTCACCAATCAGATAAAAAATGTTTTATCACACATTTAATTGTGTTTTCATATAAAAAAAACGGTAATTATACACTGTATTTTAAACGGTCCAAACGTTATAGTTATGCTATTCCACAACTGTATTTTTACAATTTTTTTTTTTTAATTAAATTTTTTTGAGTTTCTGTTAATTGGCAAACATTTGCCAACTAAAAAGAATTGCTGGAATATAATGAAACTTTGTCTTTTCTCCCTTCTTATTGGTAGTTTAATTTATAAACAGATACATTTAAGAATTAATTTACAGAACAATCCATCAAGTATTAAGTAACATAATTTCATAAAGGGACTTTCATGGTTCATACTCGCTTTTCTTTCATAAAGAAAACCATTAATTATTGCTTTCAAATTGAGACATTGAACATGGAATACATCATGACAGCAGCAGCCTATTAATGACACGAGCGACAAACGAGTAGCAGAACCATCAATAGTTAATGAGACTGATTTGTTGGCTTGAATAAATAAAATACTGGGATGAATAATTGCCCTGCAAAGGAACGACTATTAATAGCAGAACCCAAGAACCTGACGACGTCACGTCAGTTTCAAATTGGCATGCGCTTCCATTTCACAACTTAGCTGTGAACAGAACCAACTGGGCGATATATACTAATGCTTGAATGATTTTCGTTTAGGTAGGGGAATAATACCTCATCAATAACAACTTAAGTTGTTTTCATTTTTTGGGGGGAACTAAAACGCCTCTGAGGTATTTCAATAAGACTGGGACTGCTCGGAGGTATAGCGGTCATTGACTTGGGCATGTTTGTGACCAACGGAACAACGACACCTTTTTGCTCCACCTTTGCAAGTGTCAAAATTGTCCTTATAAATAAGACAGGAGCCGTACGGGTGAAAAATAAATGATGAAGGGGGAATATATTACATCGGGGCTAGAGTGAGTTGTATGTGCATGGAACACAGAGATACAGAAACTTTATGTATTCTGGGGACAAATCGCTCAGGAGGGTGAGTGACCGATTTCTAACGTTCATGTACTGTACACGATCAAGGGACGCTGGTTAAAGAGGAGCTGTAAAATGACGCTTGTTTGTGTTTTGGTTTGTTTGTTTATAGTTCAGTTTTTCTTGTAATTTGCAAATTTCTACTTATCCTCTTTGTTAATTGTCTTTAATAAAGCACTCAATAGATTATTTATTGAAACAAAATGTATTGTTTACCTTAATTTACTTTTTCTATTGCACTTATTCAGATTAAACATTCATGAGAAACAAATCTATGTTAACTCTTGCGTTCTGTTGAAATTATTTGGGCAAATCCAATACAGGCTTAAAATTCGAAGAATGATGCTGCTTTGATAAACTTTTCATACATTTTGACATTAAATGGGAAGATAGTCTTACTAGAGTATAATTGTAAATTTTGGTTTAAAATCAAAGTATGAGAGACTTACCACGGTAGAACCAGCCATCTTCAGGAGACTGCGCCAAGACTTCATCTCGGATGTCAATCTGTCTCTTGTAGTCGGCTTCATCTACTCCATCATCACCGTTGACTGCTGCAATCGCCGTGGCAACATCTGCCTCCTCATCCATAGCCTCATCTACAACCTTGTCTTTCTCATGCTCTTCCTCCTCCTTGGTGTTGTCATTATTTTCATCCTCAATGTCTTCCCCATCTTGAGCTATATCCCCCTCCTGGCCTGTGAAATACACAGATATCATATATTCCTATTTGAATAATTGAAACTCGTTATTTAAACATTACAACCTAGTTTAGGATCGACTTAATATTAGTTACATCGGTGCAAAACCATAGGAAAAAAAGACTGTTCAAAACACTTTTCTAATATTTTCCACTTTAATGTCTACCTGATTCAATACAATTTCCAGTCTTAAGAAGAACAATGTCGTGACATAATATGAAAATAAACTAGGCTGGAGTTTCATGAAGGCAATTTACGGCATGCACACATGGTGCATGCATTTCAAGCACCATGTGTGCACACTAAAAGTTCAACATATTCAAGGAAGTTTTTCTCATATACTGTGGAAATAATTTTCCGTGCACGGATGACAAATGACTCATCTTGTGAACAAATTCCTACTTTCTCACTTTGCCTGATGTTCTTAGTATATCAAATTGATGACTGTTTAAGTCATTTAACAAGTCACGGCTTGCAGACCATGCATGAATATTAAGATCGATGCAAAAAACATACTGTCTTTAAGTATGTCTTTAAAAACCCATAGACTGTCAGGAAGTGAAACAAGATAAATTGCTACGGAACAAATAGAAACCGTGGCATAGTTTAGCGATCAATCTCCTGCAAATCTCTTGCACTATGAGTTTACAGTCTGCTGGGGCGTACTCAGGGCATTTCTGTCTTATTCCTGTGATCTTTCCGCTGATTACACTTCAGTCATCACAGAGTTATTACGGTCTATCCATCATGTCAGTCCCATACATAGTTCCTACTACATTCATTTAAATGTCTGGAATGTAGCATTTATCAAAGGACTATTATACAAACAAACCAGGAATGTCCAAATACAAATCCATGTTATGAAAAAACATCTCTTATTTGGGGGGTACATATGGAATTTCTTTTCATTTGTAATGAATTCTTTTATAACATCTGAAAAGCTGTATTTATCAAACAAGTATTTCACAAACAGGCCAGGAATGTACAAAAAAAAAATAATAAAAATGTTTCTATATTTTGGGTACTTGAGGAATTTCTGCTTTTATATTTTCTGAAATGCAACCTTTGTCAAAGCTGTTTTCCAAAAAGGCCTAGAATGTACAAATAAAAAAAATCCATGCTGTAAATTAAAAGAAATTACACAAATGTGTGCACTGAACTCTCACCTCCTGTCTGAAGTCTTGACCTTTCTTCTTCCCATTCTTCTTGCATCTTCAACTTTTCTTGGAGTTCTTTTTCCAGATCATCCTGTTTCTCCTTCAGAGATGTGTAGTCGTTCTCCAGTGATCCATGCTTATTTGACATGTCATGCAACCTGTATCAGAAAATGTGAAAAAAAATAGTACAATCTTTGACAATGTGAGGCAAAGGCTCAATCAATTCAAGCATTAAAACTGCAGGATCACAATAAAATATACGCTCAAAAAATTGTTGATAAGTGTATTGTCTGGGTTTTTTTTAATGATGAAGCAAATGCACAATGAGATTAGGGGTTAATAAGGAAGAAATTTAAAAGATGAGTTAAACAGAATTCTCTTGAAGCCGAGAGCATAGCATTGGATAAAGCATGCAGCATACTAGCACATTTCAGCAATTTTGCCTTACATTGAGTAAAAGTGAACACCGAATCAACAAATCATTAAATGCTCAAGTATGATTTATTATGGAACAAATATTTAAACTAAATAATAAGTCACACAATTTCTTCATATTATCATCCCAGTGGTGAGACTGTCATTCTAATAAAAAGTCTGAAAATTGGATGAAAGGTCTGAAAGATGCTTTTCTTTCTACACTAATAATGTCTTTATCTCAGATTCAAAAAGTCTGATTTCAGACAAAAGTCTGAAAAATCTCATGCATGTCAGCCCGAACTATTTGACAGCTCTAGATGTAATTTAAAAAAAAGGTCTTTGACATGCCCTTCCCATCTTTCCCTTATTCCTCCCAACACCTCAGACCCTGGAGAGATCATTCATGATTCATGAAGCAACGATGGCCTAGTTTAGTCCAGGATGTCCTCCGAGACTTACACTTAGGCCCTCACTGCTCTGTATCGTCTGGTTTGCAGGGCAGACACGACTGCATGTGACGATTAACACATTATCAGGTCTTTACTGCTCATCATTGAGAGTTAATTGACCTAACTTGGGAAGGACCAAGGGGTAGCTGTGTAGTATCTGTTTGGGTCATGATTATTTTATGTGGAGTGGAAGGTGTTAAGAGGAGGGGGAGTTTGAGTGTCTGTAACGTATGACGTGTAGCTAGTGGTTAGGACGGGTCTGGAACAGGACTGTTTTTTCCTCAAATAATTTTGTTATTTGAATTGTCTGGTTGAATTCGATATTTTTAATATACTGGTTCAATATTTTATTGCATTAGAATCAAAATATTAGTTTCCTTAATTTGTTTTCCTGCGTCAGTTCCTTAAGTTAAGAATGAAGTTAGACAGCTTTTTTTTATTTAGCTCTCTGTGGAGAAAAGGCAAATATTGTGTGACTGCATCAGTTATAAGATCTAACACTGTCAAACTCTCTGCATAAATAAGTCACAGTCATTGTTTCACAGAATCAATTTTAATCTGTAACAATTGGGCCAATTGTGCTCTCAATATCCCTTGAACCAGACTAAGTTTCAAACATGATGACCTGACCTGTCGTCTAGTTCCCTGTGCGTACTCTCCAGCACACCATGCTCCTCTTTCAGTAGACTGTGTTTGCCCTTCAGTTTAGAGTGACGTTTCTGCAGTTTCTGGTGTTGCCTTGCTGTAGCGTCATATTCCCGCTGTAGCTCTGAGTGTTTGTGCAGCAGGTCGTCATGTTTCTGCAGCAATTGATTCTGGTGTTCGTCTAACAGTTTCTGCTGCTTGAAACTCTCCTTCAGTTCCTCTTGCAATCCCTGTCAATAACACGACAATATTTGATAATTGCTGTTCGACTCAATAGTTGGGGCTGCATCTGAGAAAACTGCAAACTAACTTTGTAGAAATCAACAAAATTAAAGGGCCTAACATTTTGAACCTAAGCAGGACTTTTCTCAAATGCAAAAAAACCTAGAAATTGACAAAGTCTCAAACTGTAATCAAAAGAGCCTAGACTTTGTAATCAAAAGAGTTAAGAGTTTTAAAAAGATTTTCTAATTTTTTTATTTGACAGATTTTTGCCTGGTGTTGTCAGACTTGGACACGTGATGACTGTAAGACACATGTTTAAAATCCCCCCCCCCAAAAAAAACACCCCAAATATGGAGTATGATGTGATACAGAAATGGTACAATTTCAATACTTTTCTGCTATATTTACCAAGAAAAAACAGTGGTGGCAGGCCTGAGAATCTTTCTGAAAATATGTCTAAATTTTTAAAGTAATGTTGACATAACAGGCTATAATTGGATCGACGCTGAGAGCGTTCTCTCTCTACACATATTTGTCAAGCTCTCCTAGACAATTCAGGCTTTTTTGTCATCTTCAAAAGCCTGTAACGTGTTACTAAGAAAACACTGAGCAATTGAAGTGGCCATCTGATGCTAGGGGTAATCCACACTGCTTGGCCTCCCTAGGGATACAAGATGCCTGAAAACTGATTCCTGGCTTGAATGTTAACGCTTGCTGCAATTCTGTTTGGTTTTACACCAGGCAGCGGCGACGTGGGAACACATCCGATACTGGTATTTGTGTTTATGATTGGCGAATCTCTGTCTGGCAGGAATCCATCGAGGAAGAGCTGGTCCTGAATTATCTCAAGCACAGTTTCAGGTGTCCCTCTTAATGATTTCTTGTTATTTTGCTCTTTATTTCTTTCTCCGCCCGAGGATGTCGAGAAATTGTTCTGTGGTCACGTTTTTCAGGAGTGCCTTCAAGTACAAACAAGGGTGGTATTGTATGACAACAACACCACCTCCCACCTTCATGAGCTTGCCTGGTGCTGAGAGATAAACACTCCTGATCAGGAAACCAGTTTCATGACCAAAAAAAAACCAAAAGCACGATTCACAAGATCGGATGGCGTACTTGAAGGCATAAAAATCAAGGAGTAATATGTCTGGCATGCCTAGGAATCGTTATATTAAGAAGTGGATTTTCCGGATGAAATTAATGTCGTAATTTAGCGTGACCACAGCTGTTATTATTTGATAAGGTCATGCAGGGTGTGTATTACAATTCTTCAAGAATTTTTTTTTTGTGACGCTGGGATATTAGACTACATTTGATGACGACACAAATATTCCCAGCGGTATGCAATGGCTGCATCACTTTGACACCAACAAATCAGTCCAACTATTATGAATCCAATTGCAAAACACTTGAAAGTCAAGAAACAGTTCAATTTGGCCCAAAATCAAGATAAAATGGAGGACCAAGACAATTCACCGCCTTGCCAAACAAATCCTTGATTACCTCCATACTAACCACAATCATTTGTTAAAACATTTTAAAAATGACATCAGATCAAGAAGTAACAGTTTAAAATGTTTTGAGGGAATTTCTTAACTTTTTCAGAAATTTGGTGGAGTCACTATCGATATATATGTGCAACGCAGGCAAAACTTACTTGATTATGACTCATCTGATAAATGAGAAAATCACTTGTGCATTAAGAACACGTCATAAAAGCAGCCCATTGAAGATTCTATGGTTCCATTTCGTTTCATTAACTCACAGACCATGCATATACATGACTGAATGGAAGTCATAAAACCCCTTCACGTTAATGTAAATCACCGTCTCTGCACTTTTTATAGTTGCACGGACTACTTCCGAAGAGCAGATTAATAAAAAAAGCCATAATTGAGATCGGTTAAGACTTGGAAACTAGCTCAAAATGGAAAGATAATGTGCTTCAATAACATCAAGTCCTATAATAGTAGATTAAGCTAAAGTTCGTTTTCATTTGATTCGATAATAAAATCTTCTTAATGATTATGATGCTAAATACATAACTGAAGCTGGAGTTGATCCCGAAGATTGAAAAAAGCCCCTATGACTGACAATAATGACAACAGCGCCCTCTTTAGGTTGTGCTTCAGAGTGAATTACAATGTGATGTTTACCTGTTGTGTTTGTATATGCTCCTCGTGATGCTGTCTCATCTGTTGCTGTAATTCTGACAATGTCTCTCGGATGTCTTCAGGAGCTGTGTCATCCGCTTGCTGTTAAGAACAAAATGATGAAGGGTAGTACAGCCACTCTTATAGATAATATATTTACTGACAGTTCTTGATCCATGAATACTGAATCAAAAGATACTTATAAGCTCAGAAATCAGGAGTAAATTCAGACATTACAGTAAAATTTTTTTAATACTCCATTAAATGTAATTTACAGTCGACTCTCGTTAATACATACTCGTTCGGACCTAGCCAAATGGTTTGTTATATCACAATTTTGTATTAAGAGGAACATCAGTCCCATTCATTGTGCACATAAATGCACAGTCAGAACCAAGGCTTTATGTTTGTTATAACCAGAATTTGTATTAACAGAGTTTGAACTAATGAGAGTCAACTGTATATAGGTTCATAAAAGCTTTGCTTGAACTATTGTCAATTTGGCATTTAAAATTAATTTAAAATTAAATTTAAAATTAACTTTGTGGCTGTCTTTTCTATATACACTATTGTGTACATTTGGCTTATTAGAATTGCAACCAGAGAAAACAGTGTTTCATTGACTGAATATTCAACGTGATGGGCTGTTCCTTGTGCATTACAATGCGGGCAGTAAGCTTAGTTTCTAGCGATCTCCCACAGCAAAGCCTGGTGCTCATGGGGAAAGCTTCTTCATGGAGAAGAACTCCATCAATGATCCCGCCATCGCTTGAAATCCACATAAGCAGAATTCTTCAAGAAAATCAGTATTCACATACAGGAATGGGAGATCTCTTGCTTCAAACGAGAAATGCAAGATGCAAGGCTTGATTTTCACATCTGCAAAGATCGGCGGGAAAAAATCTCCAAGAAAGGATGAGCTTAAGAGATAAGAGGCAGGACGGGGTAACCGATCTGGCGCCACTCCCTGGAGTCAAGAAGATGATAAGGATGCAAGACACTTTCTCTCTCATGCTGTTTTCGGATAAAGTTGAAAACTCCAGGGACTAGCAGGGGTTTTAAAGGTAGAGTCCATCATTTGCAGCCATCCGAAAAGTAACTGGCGTAATTATTGTTGAAAATTTAACTTGGTTGAAAGATAGTAAGGAGACTAAACTCCCTGTGAAATTATTCTTTCTGGGAAGCTGTCATTTTGAAGTAATCAACGAAAGAAGGCATTTCCAACGGTGATTCTTAAGAAGCACCGTAGGAAAATTTAAATTAGTAGTTCGTTTTGTTATTCAGCGAAGCGCGCACAAGTATTCGAACGACGCACACGCGCGCGCGGTTGTTATAATTCGTCGGATCAGTGCGCGACGTCGCGTATAGTTGCAATTCAAAACAATTCAAAACATGATTCAGCAACTTTTGATTTGAAATTGAGATCTTAGAATGCTGTTTTTCTCAGAATGTACAGCTGAAGCTTAGCTGAAACTTCATCAGGTTAGTTGCTCAGTATCCTTCATTAGATTTTGAACTCTTTTGTTACTTCAAACGAACAAAATGCACAAATTACAAATGATGGACTCTACCTTTAAGGGAAGGATCGCATTGCATTCAGATGCATTAGCAGGCTTTGCACTGAACAGAATCTACAGTAGTATGCAGTGGAACAAACTGCACTGCAGCTTCACTTAGGATGTTTATTGGGAAAAGGTGGAGTTGTGTATTATTATTATTATTATTATTATTATTATTTATTCGGCCAACAAATGAACAAAAGTACAATGACAAAGCAAATATTAAAATTAAAAAGTAAACAAAAATTGGAAATTGAAAAGTAAGACCAGACAAGACTGAAGAATGCGAGTAGGAATGGGTCGTGGGAGGGGGAGGGAAGGAAGGGTGGACAGTTTAGCCCTAACACTGTAGCCCTAAGGCCTGCCAACCCATGCTCGAAATGTCTACACAAAAAATTATTGTATTCTCTAATGAAATTTTAATTTTATTTTTAATACTTTTTAATGTAACATACAGCAACAACAAAAAAAGTCTGTCAATTTTTTTATTAGTATTAACTCATTATTACCTGTATAACATTGTGTTACATTTTTTTATTCACTGAAGAATTAATAAAACCATTGAGTGCTTGGGCAGTTTGGAGGGATATAGTGAGTACACATTGGGCGATATCGGGCGCGACCGTGATTAAAGGGTTAATAGGACATAATTTGCTATACTGTCTAATACTGATCAATGGCATGCTGTGCACATTCCAACTTGGCTGTTTCTGGCAACCACATGTTTTGGCATAGCGGTATTTCTTTACGGCAACGTTCAACTATATACTTACCACTTCTTCACTGGCCGTTTGCGGCTGTTCGGTTTGAGCTTCTTGTTCAACAGAGGGCGTCCTTTGAAGCAGTGATAGGTGCATACCAGACTCATCCTCAAGATCTTGGATTACCTGCTCGTTATCTTCATTATCGCTGTGTGCACCAAAAAAATTACATTAGTAAGTTAAGACATTTGGCCAAGGTGCAAAGGAACAATTTTCAACACCAATTTTCAAAACTTTTGAATAAAGGTGATTAATATTCATGTGTTCAAGGAAAGAAATCTAAGCTTATAGAGGGAACAGACCAACATTTGAGGGCGAGAGCTACCCTAAAACTCCCCTAAATCTTCCAGAATTGTCCCTGGTTTAGGAGGATAAAGAAAGAGAAGCAACCATTTCAATTAATAGGTGCAAGAAGTTCTTTTGAAGATTTGGGTTAGAATGTAGCTCTAAACTGACTTTTCAAATGGACATGTATGTCCCAAGGATGTAGGCTAACTCTCTAAATGGTTTCTGATCACCCTAATGAGCTGCATGCAGTTTCATGATCTACTTACCCTGACACCAACCAGACAGCATTGGGCACCCTAGAAGACTTGCGTAATGACCAGATGTAACGAACCATGAAATTGTAACGAGCCTGGGCTATCTTGATTAGACTTTTCCTAGGAACATCCATCTGAAACAATAGAGGAAAATAAAACCAACATGAAAACTAAAGGAAAACTAAAACAGTCTTTGCAATTAATGTTAAAAGTGTCGCTTAATTTTTGGTTCACTTTGAAAGAAGATACACAGTTGATATCCCTTGGCTCTAAGAAAAGGTTTCATTGAAAAACAGTGTGGGGTGGGGCGGGCAGTGCAGGGTGGGGCGGGCAGTGCGGGGTGGGGCAGGACGGGGCGGGGCATACTAATTAAGAGCTTAAGACAACACATGGAGAAATTAGAACAACAACCAATTTTGATTAGTCAGTAATGGTTAGCTGGTACCCACCGATCTGTGGTCATATGTTATGACTGTGTAATGCTTGGCTTGTCTGCTTTCATCTCTAGGACCAAACTGCAGGATACCAGGCATCCAGACTTCAGACCCAGCTGATAGGCAACAAACCATCACAAAGTCACCGGTCTGCAAAGAGAAATAGAATTTACAAATAGAGAAGTCAAGAGCAGGGATAACCACGCACTGTCAATGTTCATTTACTGAAGAGAATTTATGAATTACAATTTGAACTCTAGAACTGTTAAGAATGGCAAAAGTATTGTCAAGACAAAATGCAGATTTTGAAACAAGAACGTACCATCCTTGTGTAAATCACATGGATTTATTTAAATATACAAATTGTACCTCAAATTTTTGAATGCCGAAAGAAAACTGAAAACAACAACAAGTGACAGCAACTGTCAAATAACTTTTTGATGTTTTAATTTCTATTTTTAATAACCTCCTTCTATTCCAATAGTTGCTCTACTTGCAGCTGGAACCATAACAAAAATCCTCTATCATCCCAACACCAATCCTGCCTGCAGCAAAACTACTCACACCTTAAAAAAACCCTCAATTGTATCAAATTTCAGAGAACTGTTTTTCCAAAATCAACAACCAGGTCAAAAATATCATCCAGAAGAGTACCAGGAGAGACAACTAGTACAACAAGAATTGTGTGTTTAAGGGAAGAGGAGAGATTTTTCCAATCCATTGAACAAATGTCAGACATCTAGGGTTTGAATCCCATCGCAAGTACATATTGACATTTTAACGTAGCGCAGACGTATTTCCTGCAGGCACTTTTTTCCCCCAGACACAAAAAAAAACGAACTGAAATTCCTCAGCACAAAGCCTGATCCACACTGCCCGGAGGACTTTCAATATACATGTAGATAATCAACAGTGCAGAGACCGAAACTAGACCCTAACCCAAATAACCTGCTACAATGAGCTTCCCTTGTTGATCAAAGTTGGCGTGAGGGATTATTTTTTTACAGGGGGGGGGGGGTTGGATAATTCATCATGTACTTTTTGGATCAAGGTATTGCAATAACCCGGAGGCAATCGCGAGTCACAAATAAGGAAAGGCACTTCTACCTCGATGTACCCTAGGACATCTTTTCTGCAACTTGTAATCTAACAACAACAATGTCTTCTTGTCAATAATATAGAGTGATGGTCACAAAAGTACATTTCCAACTTTTTTTTAAATCTGGCACAAAGAAATAATATCTGTCGTAAACAAGAAATAGTTTGAGGGCAAACTCCACATTCAATACAAAAGTGTTTGGCATAAAGTCACCTGTCATTAAAAGGTAAACCAGGACTAGTGTTGCCTAAAAAGATTTTCTCTTCAAAGTTCTGAGGACTTCCACAATTAAAAGGAAAAAAAAATGAGTCATAATAAACTTTAAATGATGAGACTGTAAACTGCAGTCTTTTTTATTTCCCCCCCCCCAAAAAAAGATGAATGATGGAATTGATCATTTAAAGGCATATAGGATCATTTGCATTTATCCAAAAATTAACCTACAAAATTATTATCAAAAAGCTTAGTGGATTAAAGATGGCAGTGGTAATGAACACCCCATGAAACTATTCCGTCTGGCTCGCTGTCATTTAGAAGAAATTAAGAACAATAGGTGACTTCCAACGATCAGCCAAATGACTGATCTTTGGAATAAAGGGTGCTATTGATGCCTTGTGTTTCGTGATCAATAGGTTGTGCATGGTATTTCACTGTTTCCTCGAAAAGTGTCATATCCACTGAGCTGAAACTTAAACAGGTTAGGTTTCGAACTTTTTATTTGGATTTTGAGTGGTATTATTATTGGAATGAGAAAAAAAATGCATGAAAATCAAATGCTCCTATATGCCTTTAAAGAAACACTATCCTCCTTACCCTCAATATAGGAGATGGTCTAGCTCCTTGAGTCTCGATGACAAATCTACTTGGGATGACTTCCTTATCCTCATCAGCTGCAAAGCGAATCTCAACATGCCGTGCATCAGTGATACCACTTACAATGCCTGGGCAAATTGGTAGAGATAATAATCGATGATAGGACGTTTGAAAAAGTAATTTTCATAAAGGTGGGCTGGCTTACTGTAAATATTCAGTACAGTTGCAGGAAGAAAAAAATGGCCAGTGGGCAATATTACTTGACCATTTAATTGACAAAAGTGTGAAAAACTATCAATACAATGTATATAGCTGAATCACATTGTACAGCACTCATAATATCCAAGATGCAGGTTAGAATCCTGTTTCAGTCGATTTTCTTTGCTTAAAAAAGTTATTGAAGTTAAAGTATGTAAACTGTTTGCCAATTTTAATATTTGTTGTTTGCTGGTTTCCTGTTACTTGTGATCTGAAACATTTTCCCTTAAGTAGCTCAAAAAATAAACTTGATCTTTCTAAAGCTTCTTCATTCGAAGAAGGCTTTTGGTTTTAGTGTGTACAGCAACTGTCTTTAGAAAGATAATACAATGACTCATGTAATTTGGTTGAATGTTTTTACAATTATTAAACTTTATTTATGAAACATGCAAACTTGTAAATCAGCCCAAAGTACATTATCCAATTTGTTAATAAATTTTCATGGTCTCCAAGAACCTTAAAGAGTCAATTTTTATCCATTTGATTAATTGTACATGTACATTGTATTTGTTGTTTCTCAGCCTTTCCTTATTTACTAACTCACCTGGGTAATACAGTCCATTGACGCTGCTCCTAGCAATAACCTTTGACCTTATCGGCAACCTAGCTGGGTAGGTTTGTTTTATCGTCTTTGTTGTGGCCGTTCTTCCTGGGGGTTTCTTCTTCGGTTTTGTCTTTGTATCTCGTCCACCCTTCACAACCACTCTGGGTTTTCTGATCTGTAACGATTCACAAGTTGACCAAAGAGTTTAGAGATTGCACATTCAAGACAGATACTCTTCACAAAATACGTTACAGAGTGGTTGAGGGTGGATCGTAACAAAGACAAAACTTCCCAGCTTCCAGAATACTGGAGTTTTCAGGAGGTCTTTCTGGCATTTGAAGTGGGAATTTCACCATTTCAAAATAATGTCTCCAGTGTTTTGGTAACAAGGTTAGCCAAAGCTTAGTAGACAATGGCAAGATATTTGGCTTTGGGGGACTTTGCAAAGAGGAATCTTTTATTGGAGCCATCCACAACCACTTGTGGCAAACAAAACACACAGAACAATACGAGAAATATGGCTAATTCTAAGTTCAAATATTCATCAATCTATGAACAAAATTTGTTTATTTGCTAAAGATTTTTATTGCATTTGACAAGCACCGACGTACGAAAGCACACACATAAAAGACAAAAATCGCCGTATTGTAAACATTTACAAAGTAATGCTGAGTGGCAAATTTGACATATATTTACACAAAATGCCCTGTATCATTTAATTTTGTTTTAAAAAATTGAGAACTCTGTCAACAATTTCTTCAATATACGCCTTTAAAACAATTTGTGCAACTTGAGAACCAGATTATTTGTAACCCTGTTCAGTAATCTTTTTAATTTTGTTTAAGGCTTGAGAAAATTTATGGACATTTAAACAAACAGAATCACATTTGTATACTCCAGAAATGCTTCTTTAAGTCCTTCTTCACAACTATGACTAAACCTAAAATGTTACTATTTGTGCAATTTTGCATCTATACAGTTTCATAAAAACTGGATTTCAATTTAAAAAGAAAAAGAAAAGGGAAATATACTCAATATAACTATATAATTTTTTTTCAGCAGTAAAATTACATAATAATTGAAAGACACTTAATCAAGGTATTTTGTGAAGAAAATATCAAGTGAATTATTTTTTCCACTAATGTGCATAACTAGACACTGAATTGCAACTGTTAATATTAACAGAATCTTACCCAAATTATTAAATGCATGTTGCTAATAAAAATCTTATTGCAAAATCAAAGACAGTCTTATGACCAAAAATATCTACACTCAGAATTCAAACACGAAAGCCTCTTTAACATAATGCTGCTTGTTCACTTTAATAAAAGGGGAGTGTGTGGCCTAGTGGTTAGGGTTCGTGACTCATGATCAGAGGGTCCGGGGTTCAAATCCAGCCGCTGGTCATATATTGTGTCCTTGGGCAAGGCACTTCACCCCCACTTGCCCCTCTCCACCCAGGAGTATAAATGGGTACCGGCATTAGCTGGGGAGTAACCTGCGATGGACTAGCATCCCATCCAGGGGGAGTAGAAATATTCTCAGTCGTTTCATGCTACTGAAACCGGAGATAAACGCCGGCCTGATGAGCCACATTGGCTCGGGACAGACTTTACTTACTTACTTTACTTCACTTTAATAAAAGATATTGCGCGATAAATCAGCAAATTCAATAATGCCACAAAACAAAACACAAACAAAAATGTGAAACCAATTTTTTTTTAAAGCTTTGTACAAACTCATTGCAAAATCAATTTCAAAGCTGTCTAAGACAGTAAAAGCAATCACAAGCACAATTCTGTCCTACAATCTTTGAAAATTAAGAAGTAGAAGTTACATTTCCTCTTCAATTTAGAAAAAGTGGAAACGGATTACCATCTTTCAAATGAACCATACGAACGCATGCATGGAAAATTAACATATCTTAAGATTCAAATGGCTAGATCCTTCATACGTGATTGGAAATGTACCTCATCATCATTGGAGGAATCGTCACTGTCACGGACGTTCTTCAACTCCTCATCACTGGAATCGCTGCTGTCCTCCGATCGGCTTCTCCTATCATCATGCTCCTCATCCTCATCATCACTGTGATAGCTTCTCTCAGATGTATCCTCTGATGCCTTCCTTCTTCTAGTACCAGCCTCTGAAGCATCATCCATGGCATCCTCTGATGTCTTGCGCGGCCTCCTCCTATCACCTTCCTTCCGTCTTGGTGTCTCCTCTCTAAGACTTCTTGCCGTAGATCCACCTGACTGAGACCCATTCAGCTTCTGCTTGAGAGCTCTCTGGATGGCATGGCTGTGTCTCAGATACCTGTTGCCCATCTCAATCTCATCTTCAAGGAGGAGGATGTCTTTCTCCGGGAGGGGCCAGCCGAGCCGATCCAGAGCATCCAGGCAGTCCTTACGATTGTCCAGGAAGGAGATTGGACCTTCGCAGTCAAACCTGGAACAAGAAAATAATCAAGGTATACTATTATGATACTAAGTACTAAATGATTAAGCTACTTCTCAGAGAATTGGAAAATCATTTTTTGCACACCCGTTATTCCCAACATGGATCATCAGTTTTGTTTGACAAACTAAAGTCTAAAGTGAATTAAATTAGGCAACCATAAGGGGAGGTTTTATGTAAATTGAAGAGTTGTCTTGTCAGAAATCCACTCATGTGGTTACATCCAGGTTTACAGCATTTCTAAATGTAAATCATCATGTCTCTGGGTAGGATCCCTGGCTACATGCCATATACGGGTTTATGGCTTCTGACTAGCTCCCTTTGAACAAAGACATTGACGAAATGGGAAACTGCCAACGTAGGGCTCGATAGCTCAGTTGGTAGAGCACCGGAACGGCATTCCGAAGATCGTAGGTTCAAACCCCAATCACGTCAATTTCTTAGTTCAACTTTTAGTGAAAACCAAATCTGTTATCAATCAGATGGTTGGTCAAGACACTTACTGGTCTTGTTCCTCTGGTGTCAGAGCCTCCCATACAATCCTATCCAGTCTCTTGTTGAATCCACTGATTGCTCTCTCTAGTTTCTCATCATAAGCTTTCAGGTTGATGCCGTAGGGGTTGACCAGGCTGATCTCTTGCTTGTTGTCTGTCACGTGAGCCAGAGGCAGGATCTGGCAAATAAGAAACAAGTTACTTGTTATAACTGAAACAGCAGTGGAAGTAAAACCAGATGGAACTGTGATCTGTGCCTGATTCCATGGCATTGGAGGTTGTGATTTGGTCTTGTAACTGTTAGATCATTTTGCAGTCCACTAAACACAACCAAAGCCATACTTACTGTGTATGAAATTGGTCATTAAAACAGCAATGCACATATAGAAATTTCTTAGCAAGTAAAAACAGTTGCCAGGTAAAGCCACACATCCTGATGCTTAAAGTATGGAAATATTTAGGCTAACTATTAGGCAACACATTTATATAGGGCCCAGGTGTTGATAAAGACATATTTTTCACTTCAACTCCAAGTTCCAACCTCAAAAAGACTCTTTCTTATTCAGTACAATTGGTCTGCATCACTGAAGCCACTCTTACCTCATTGAAGACTTGTGAGATGATGTGTTTGTCCAAGATGGGTACATATTTAGACCGCTGCTTGACCGCTGCCTTTCCCAAGGCGTCATAGATGGTCAGCTTCCGAGCCTTCAGACCGTGTTTCTGCAGCCAGCGTTTGGAGGACATCTTCAATGGACTGTTGGAAAAATCAAGTCATTGGTGGTGAAATCCGTTAATAGAAATTCCAGTGACATTTTCTGAGTTTGATTTTGCAATACGAATGCGTTAACACAGTTCATGAAACAATAACTAATTATCTCAACTATAGTAAACACACAAAGAAAACTCAAACAAACTCAGACTGATGTACAGACACCCATAAGTCGTCTAAGCAGCATGGCTGACAAACTAATGACTTTGAAATAAAGTTACTCACTTTACATAATTTCTCAATATGACGTGAATTAAATTGGATTTTTTGAAAATGACTAAAACTGCTGCAAACTGCTTGCTGACAGAAATATACCAATTGAACAAACTTATAGAGGGCCTAACGTTTCAATCCTAACAGAATCTTTCTCAAAGGCAAAGATTCTTTTAGGATTGAAACATTAGGTCGCCTAAATTTGTTTGATTTTCCATTCAATTGTCCTATACTATCATCTGAACTTGGCACTTACTCCACAACTTTCTTCTTCTTTAGTGCTTTAGGTTTTTGTTGTGCATTTGCAAGACCTGTGAGAAAAAGAAATCACACCATTTATCACATTATTCTAACACTTCAAGAGACTGATTCAGCATAATGCCTAACACTGGATCTGCACTGTTTCCTAGTTCTTCAATTTTGTAGATTACTGCAGAACATCAAACGTGGTACATCTAGAACATCAAAATCTTCTACTCTAACATTACCAAGCTCAATTCAACTTCGGATTTTTTTAAAGATAAGTCCTGGTTAAGAATGAGTAGAAATATACCGCTTTCCATCTCTAGTAAGTGCCATTCTTGCTAACCATAGATAAATATGGAGTCCATTCACAACTACCCCCTCAACGGTTACAACGGGAGAGTTGGGGCAGACCACTGGGAGAGACATTCAAACGCATTGCTAATGGTGCCTGACGCTCACGTGAAGACGCTACAGGATTATGCAGATTCAGAATAAAAGTTGTCGTGTGAACGCACGCAGTACACGCACGCGGTGTGTCCTGCCTACTGAGGCTTTCCAAGGTGATAACAATGAACCATCTACTGTCAGTAGAGAGCTTCGTTTCTATCTTGGTAATTGCTTGTACATACCTTGGAGTGCTGTGCTGACCCTGTCCTGCTGTTTAAGGAGCATACCTCTAGTCTCAGGGACCACCCAACCATCAAGGCTGCCACGTAATCTCAACCAACTTGTCTTGTTGTGATCTAAACAAAGTAAACAAATAAAATTGTTAAACCAGGGTCATTCTTGTGATGTAATCAAGAAGAAAAACTGAGGCTTTCATAAAAAGGGCGAGAAATGTTCAGATATTGATGAATTAATGAGTGAACCTTATCAAATTGGAAGGAGGTTCTCATTTAAGAAATTCAGCCGTGATGCATATAAACAAAAAATACTCCATTTTGAAAATTAATTTCAAAAAAGTATTTTGAACTTACAGGTGACATTTGGCTTGTTCTTCCTGGAAATGGCCGAGTTTGGTCGAGGGGGATACGTTGCCGTTCTAGACCTTGATGGCTTGCATTTCTCGTGGGTTGTTGAGCTCATACTCAATGATGACATTGGGCGGCGTATTGTTGTGTGGTAACCATGGGCACTGGCGGGTCGGGAGTTGTGAGGAGGGGCGGGGCTTGCTGAGTCCCGGCTGAGGATCTGGGAGGCCGAGCGTAGACCTGTGGCTGACGATGGCCGCTTCCTGAAAATAGACGATTCGGGGAAATATGCCAATATGGATTAATAGAAATTCAAATGTATTTTAAATGACTCCAAATGTTACAAGAAAGGAACTTTGGTATTAAAACTGCAGTGGATGCCTGGCCAGTTTGGTAGAATGTTTGATCTATTCGAAGGAAAAAAAACATACTACAGCCGAATCAAAACCAAGGTACCAAGTATCCATTGAGGCAAAAAATATTTGAAAAATCCATTAAAATTGGGAGAATTAATCCAGAGTTATAGAGTGGTTATTCCACTGATCAACTCTAAAGAAGTCATTCAACCATGTGTAGTTGAATTGAACACATATTGCTAGAAAACAGAATCAGATCCACAGAAAATATCTGGTAAAAGAGATTTAAAGAAGCCGTATGGCAAGTTATTTGTATCACAACATTCTACAGTTACGTTTGTTACAGATGAAAGATCGCCAAACTGACCTGATACCATGATCTCGTCCACATCCCAGCTCGTCACTCCTAGAGTTCCCCCAGTCCAGCAAGGCACACTGTGCTCTCAGATCAGCCAGTTTCTTCAAGTCATCTTTTCCTTTCTTCATCTCCTCCTTCAGCAATCTCACATCCTCGCTCTCGTAGGGCTGCGGGCCTGAAATGTCTGGAGAGATGCCAAGGAGCTCGTCTGAGTAGTAGTGATAGCGCCCCCCAGAGTCAGCAGCCAGCAATGCTAGGAAGTCGTTGGCTTCGCGGTCATTGCAGTTAAAGGAGATTGTGTGGATAGGGATGGCCTTCTGAAGCTGAACTTGAGCCAGGATGGTTTTGGATGGCTGTAATCGGGCAAAAAAACATTAAAGGAATAATGAACAATTATTTTGCACTGACTGAGAATGGAATGATAATCAATGATTTGCTGCTAATCACTATCCTGCAAATTTGTAAAACTTTACAGCTGCCATATAATTGTTTTACAGAATGTGCAAAATAATTAGGAAGAAAACAAACGAACTAGCTATTTGCACCAACATCAACAATTTCTCAAAGTCAATGGCACAAAAATGAAATATGTGAACTTCACAGATTCCAGCACCGACACATTTTGCAAATATTTCTGCGTTACTTCTTTTAATGAAGCACTGTACTGCCATTAATAAATACTCTTCACCAAATACCCCAAAATGTTTCAACTTCAAATTGAACACTCACATGATCAGGTCTGCCATCGGTCAGTAGATACACAGCCTGTGTGTTGACATCACCCAGCGCAGTCTTCAACGCAGCAAGCGTGTTTGTTGATCCACTAATGGACAGGTTCCGGACCCACTGCCATGCGCTCTGTAAGCTGGACTCATTGACTTCCACCATACGATCCCGCCATGACATGCTCCGGCTACCAAACTTCACCAGGTTGAAACGAGACTTGTGGCGAAGTTGTTCCTAATGTCAAGAGCAAGACGAGGCAATTTAATGTTGTAATCATTTTGACTGTTTATTCGAAAAATATGAACAGTGTTGTTTGGCCACTAGAATTTCTTGTGGCAGTTGCTAAGTTTGTCTGTGCACTTATAACACATGAATTCATGCTGAACCTTGATGAAACAAGTTCACACAGCCTGCCATTTATCGCTATTTGCTGTGGTATGTCAATCGTATCAAATATAATGCCAAAAAGACATTTTGTACCTAGAGCAAAAGTTTGCGTTGATTGTTTGTCTCTTTGACTGACCTGCATGAGCTTGTAGAGTTTTTCTTTGACCAGTCCTAGGTGGTTCTCCATTGAGTTAGACGTGTCTATCAGGATGTAGACTTCATCCTCAATAATCGTCCCAAACAACTCACGGCTACCCTGCTGCAACCAGTCAACCCTAAAAAAAAACCCAAAACAAGGATGATTACTTATTGTTGTTTTCAGTCAATAATACACTCAGATGTCAGATTTAATTCTGTAAGTTAGGGTGGGGCAGTGAGATTTTTATGCTTGACTTTCAGTGGGCTAGGATTGAAATATAAAATATTACATTCCCAATTCCATCCTGCAAAATTTCTGATAACTATTTACTTAGCCACGCCAGGACTAGTTCAAAGCAACGAAACAATGACGTCAAGGTAAATTTCAGACCAGGCTCCCCTAAATGAGGTTGGAGTGTTCTGTCTCTGTAACATTATTTTCAATTTTTTTTCCCCCACAAAACTGATACAACTTTCCTTATTTCCAAACAAAGTCTGAGCTGAAGTCTGATTAACCAAACTGCTAATAAGGATGCATGAACAGTTCAGAAATCAATAATTGTGAGAAATCTGGAAAATAAGATTTGTTTACCTTCTTTGGAAGTCTTCAAGTGCAACAAGTGTTTTCCTCTCATAGTTCCTATGGATGTCTGCCGTGACGTGCACATGCTTGAGAGAACCATCCTTCCATGTCACATGGCAGAACTTATCACAATACTTGGCATTCACTAGCTTGTTTCTGGAGGCCTGAATAAAATTAATGAATAAATTCACATAATTAATACATTCACAGTTATTCAAAGCAGGTTTGAGTTTTCACTGATATGATTTCTTCTTTTTAAATTGTTAAAATAATTTCTTTTTATGTGAACGTGCAAATACATGATTCACAAATTTGGACCTCATTTGGAAAACTAAATTACAGAAGTTACCATCATCAATTTGTTATACAAGGAAAATGATGAATCTGGAAGGACATACTGTGGATTCCTTATTAGACCAAAGTTCTTACAATTGTTAACATATTCTTTAGGGACTTCATAAACAAGACACGACAGAACTCACCGCATCTGTATACTCATCATCTGGTGGTCTCTTGACATCCACAATGCCATCGCAATGCTTGAAGGAGCATAGACCCAATGCATCATACAGGTCCAGCTTACGAGACTTCAGACCATGTCTGTACAGCCATTCCTTAGAGCCCATGTATTGCTCACTACGCTCACCAGTAGCTGGCACCTCACCATTCTGTATGGCCAGACGAGCTGCAATTAGGAAATGTTTTCAGAGGATAATTGAGCACTTGCTATTCCTGGTAACAACATATATTCCCCGTTTCAAAAAAGCTGGCTGATATGAGTAAGTTTACGGTTGTACCATGTAACAACTCTCTTTTGTGAGTTTGTGAGGCTGTGGAGAAACTCAAAATTTTGGAAGAATGCTCTGCCCGTGCTCAAATTTAATATTACTACAAATTCAGCCAAGACCAAACCAGTACATTCATAGATTTTGTTACACTAATTGAGAGAACATATTCATTATTAATATGAACGAAGCATAGCTATTTTGGGGCACAAAATGAACTAAAGGGTAAAATAGTGTTCTTACAAATACAAAAAATGTTTGATTGTCAAAAAGGCGAGCTAGCAGCTTTAAAATCCAAATAGAATATCCTGCATGCTAAAGACTCTATGAAGATTTGTGCTTAGCACACAATTGATAAGGATTTTGTTTTTGCTTGGTGCTCCATGACATTAAGTCCAGACGATACATCCTCCTCCTGCACATAAGGTATCAGGAATATTTACTGACCCATCGAATGGTGCTAAAACGAAGTCTTTTACAATTTCTTAAAGAAAAAGTGTAATAAATTTGTCATTACCACTTTCTGGTTTGCCATCCGGCACCGTGTTCTCCAGCAACACCTGCACATCAGACAGAGCATGTCTAGCCTCCTCCAGCTCAGCAAACATCGCTACTACATCCTCCCTGGCTCCTGCACCGGGGGGAACTCCACCCATCAAGATCTTGTTGTCTAGAGAGAAGCCACTGGTACCGCTCACGTCTGAGTCGAGCTTGTTGAAGGCAAAGGCGTGGAATCTATGCAAGAAAAAAACATCAATAATTAATAGATGACTACAGGGAGCTGTGGAACAACTATGAGACTTGTTTGCATTCTTGCAATTGATGCTTTAAGGAAGTGGTTGCCAATTCTGGTGATTCACAATGCAGTGTACCACCAAGAGTTTGCCACAGAGAGTTCATTTTTCCCAGTGCATTGTTGGAGATGGTCGACAAATTCGCAGTGCGGAACATTTGACATTGTTAGTTTTTCCGGTCAGGAGTTTCATAAGCGTATGATTCAAGGATCAATTTGCCCTTTTCTTTTCTTTTCATCAATATGGTGTTTTTTATAAGGCAGCAGAACGCTATGCCCCAATCTGTAACAAATTAGCTCAAGTTGTCTGCTGACACTCATTCAAATGGGCCATGTTTTGTCGACCGTAAACTTGAAAAATGGAGTCTCCATGGCAAACTCTTGGGTGCACTGCATTGTGAATCGCCCGAATTCCATAATTACACACAGTGCTTGCACCTTATACTTGCTTTAACCGAAGTTTTATTTTATAAAAAATAAAATGAAAACGTACCTTCCCCCAGTCAACCTCGATACATCTTTGAGATATTTGATGGTGATGGAGTCCGTATTGTTGAAAGCCACGACGTGTACAGGTAGAGGGGCATCTCGGACCTTCTGTAACATCAACTCCATGTTGGTACTGGCTGAACTACCCTCCGAGAATAGATATACAGCCTCAATCTGTTGAAAAAGATGCACAACGAGTTCAACATTACTCATGAAATACTCAATGACAGATTATCATCAGATATTATCGGGTAGTTCATCATTGCAATTAAGACAATGTACAATAGATGAGAAGTAAATCAAACATTCTAAAAAGGTCTTTTCTTTGGTATGTTAGCTGGGCACCAACTTTATCATATAATTAAAAATAGTCAAAATTATTAGGAGAAAATCTTAAGATGAATTAGCAAAACACTTATTAATTTCTCTCTAGATCAAAACTGAAAGTCATTGCACGCATACAAAACAGGACTCTGTTAGAGAGCAGTCAGTTATTCAACAAGTCAAAAAGCGGAAGATAAACACTTACATTCTTGTCTTCAAAGGCTTTTCTGATGCCTTCACAGCCACTGGTCTTGGTTGTTGCAGCCACACTATCCAAGTTATGAAGCCAGTCAATAGCATTCTGAAGACTGTCTCTGGATACGGGGACAGCATTGGGCTGGAACATCACCATGTCCTCTGCAGCTCTGCAAAACAAAAATCAAATCATCAATCATTAAAATTCTGACAGTTGAGCAACTGAAGCCAAAATGTTACAGATAACTTGGTAGAAAACTGGTGTGGTAAACTAGATGACAAAGGTTCAGACTCCGTTGTAGTCAATTTATAATTCACTCTAAAACCACAAAACTTGATGGTATTATGTACTTATGACAAAAAATAAGAATTGAATTTCAAGTTAAGAAATAACAAATTTAACTTCATAATAAAACAATTAAAGGAATTTTAAAACAAGTCTCTATGGGATTCAAATATATTTATAAGGATTAAAAAATCAACTTTTCATCTTTGTAATGTTTTTTTAATTTCACTGACAATATCCCTCACCTGATAAGATTAAACTTTGCGATCTGTGAGACCTGTTCCTGCAGGACCCTAATGATAGCATTACGGCAATGATCAAACTGGATAGGAGAGCTAGTCTTGACATCCAGAACAATGGTGATGCAGTGATCTTCAATCACACCAAACAGCCGTCGTGCTTCACTCGTCAACCACTCAATGCGTCTCTTGTATAGATTAATGGCTGCAAGCAGGCTGTTCTCTAGCTGCTTGATTTTCTCCCTACCAACCTTGACCTAAAAGGATGGGAACAATGGAAGGAGGGGCTTAATGACGGGGAGAATACAATTTTGATCAAGATTGTACTTATCTTATTAAAGTAAATTGTAAAACTGCTTAAAGTTCAGTCTGTTTTCGTTTTCTCTTCACTGCCCTTGAGCTTTGCATAATGAATGAAGCAATGTAGCATCTTGGAGTCAATTTTCAGTTGTCAAGGCAACTTCACATTTATATTTCACATGATTGAAATGCAAGTTGACCCTTTGTGCATCATCTTAAAATATTTATGTTTATCAATTTTTGACAACTGTAAAGGCACATAGAGGTTTTCATGCTATGCTCACATTAACATTGTAGACTTTTCCATTTCTTGCCGGATATCTGGTGAACAATCCTTCTCCGTACCTTGAGCAGATTGGTTTCTTAAGTGCTCGGTCATATTCTGGGAAGAATAAACAAATTCTGCAATGTCAATTTCAAGTTAATTTATTCATTGCAAACGGGAAATAAAAAACACGAACCAATTTTTAATTGAACAAATGAAAAAATGTTGGTTTTATTGTGTTTTAGGAAATAATAAAAAAAATGTCATGAACCATTTTGTCTAAATATTCCCACTCAATATAAACTATAATTTAGGATGCTTCTTCAGAAGTCTGCCCCATTTAAAATATGCTGTTTTTAATATTCAAGATTTACATTTTCATTGCTCAAAAAATTATTGACTTTCCATAATGAAAATATTTTGATTTTCATATGATTACACACAATGTATTGTGTAACATGCAGTACACGCCTGTGAAATATTACACTCATTTACAAGTGTCAAACCCATTACATTATGGCCACTTTTAAAATTATTATCAGATACCTGATCTTCAGTTTCATTTTGTGATATTTTAGTTTATTCAAATGACAAGACAGCCCACACTTTATGCATTAATCATTGATGAACAAGCAATCAATGACGATACACAGCACTTCAGGAAATGAGTGTAATTGAATACGTACACGGGTGACGCACAATAAAGAGTAAGGTCCAAATTATGAATGAGTAACCTAGTAACAAGCTGATTACAACATGATAATAGACTCTGGTAGTGTAGCGTGCTTTTCGGAACTGAAACATCTTCAATTTGAAAAAAATTAAATAAAAATTTGAGCAAAACTTTGAATTTTTTTTAAAAAGATATCCACACAATTTCTGATGATATGTCTGAAAAATATAACATTGTCAAAAATGGCCACAACACCATATTTAAAAAAATGATTCACTATTGGTTGAGAAGACAAATCAAGTGTTTACTGAAAAAAATGAAATAAGGTGTTCTGCTTGAGTTAGAGAGAGAAGCAGAAATTCTTTGTTGTGCTCTGAAGGGCAAAACCTAATTTGATGTTGTGCTCTGGTTGTAGAAAAGCTGCATTGGTAATCCTTTTCAACATCCTTCCTCGAGCAATAGCCCCAGTTTTTTTCATATGTGTGGTTTGCTAAAAGAAATTGAAGGCCATGCTTCCCCAGGTAAAGACTTCACACGCTTTTAACCAAAACCACTTTTTTTTAATGTTGATAATCAAAAGCTCTGTTTGAAGTTGCACTGATGGGTTTCTCTTGGACCCAACAGCCCGATCACCACTTAACGCTGAAGCCGCCATTTGTCAAGATAAGTATTTAATTTTTTAGTCATCCTGAACAGGAGTTTGCTTTTAAGTAGGGACAGGTGCGTGTATTGTCAATCTGTTGTTATTCAAATGTTATGAGGTGGGGTGTTTTGTACACTGTTGCCTTGACACTTAATCGGTTTGGTAAAAGTGTACCTGGGGATTTGAAATTTAATCTCAGAAAGCCACAGTATCAATAGACTGAACTAAAAAAATATTGTACATGAAAAGGTGTGTCTCGTCAGTTCACACCAGTGTCACGCTGGGCGCCAGACAATGTGATCTGAACTGTGACCTCCCAACACACCTCCAATAAGCTGGCAAAGAAAGCAACTACATGTACATAATGTACAAAATACCAGATGGAATACAAATTGAATCAGAAAATATTAAACATTCCACGTGGAACATAGCTTATCGTACATGCAGGAAGAAATCCAGGAAAAAACGTTTAGTTTGAATGTACTGCAACATCTTTCTATGGAAAAATGCCTTTTAATTGAATGTGTACTTAAGATATTTTTAATCTTTTTTTTTTTGAAAGATGCATAATTGCAATAAAAAAGATTAGTTACCAACCGAATTCCTTCAAGAAAAAAAATCAAACAGATTTCAATAAATAATGCTATTTTATCACTCATGTTTTTCTTCTCCATGACAACATGTACACAACTTTTTGTGCCGGCACAAAGTTTAATGTACAAAGATAATGGTGTACAAAGATAATGGTGGCCCACAAACACACAATGGAACACCCTGTTAATCTCCATATTTTGACCAAAGTTCACCAAGTTTAGATGAATCGCAGAGTCCAATGTAAAAACAAAGTTGGGTAATATTGAACGATAACAAAAATAAGATTATTAAAATGAGACACATCCAAGATATTTCAAACAGAAATGACAAAAGGTAAAAATGACATGATATCTGTGATAGGGTCTACTACAAAGTAGCACGTAGAGTAAGTCTAAATTAAGGGTATGAGATACATTAGAATTACAAAGACAGATTTTGGGAGATAGATATAGACAAGTTTTTGAAGGCTGTTTTACAGGATTGCTATTGTGCAATAGCCTTGTCATGCACAAATAACTCTATTGTTAGCTGTTGACTACCCCAGCAATATGTATGAAAACTAATGCTCAATTTCTCAAACGCATGGTTGGAGAATTCAGATAACCTCCAAATCTTTCTGCCAGGGAGGGTGGGTTTTGTACAATTTGTTAACAATGGCACTCGACCTCCTGTTAAAACTCCCACGCGGAGTATTTAGGAGAAGAACCAACCAAGAACCAAGAACCTACCATCACTATGCTTGAATCCAACAGTAGCCAAGATCTGATCTACAGTCAAACGGTTCTTCTTGAGTCCGTAGGTGCTCAGCCATTTCTTGGTGGAAATCAACGCTTTCACGTCTGGCTCCCATGTCTTCTTAGCAGGTGGTTTCAGTTTAATGACAGACGCTATGTCCTCTTTGCTGATGTCAGGTGGTTGATTGTTGTTGTTGTTTTTATGTCGCGGGCCGAGGTCAAACTTTGGGTCTGTAAAAAAAAAAGGAAATTATATCAGTTTTAATAAAATTAAACTTAAATATATTTGCATTTAAAGACATAGTATAATCTTTTTTTAATTTTTGGCTTCTAAAATAGTGTTTGTAATACCAAATGTTGAAAATAAATTGTGTACAGTACATCATATACTGAAGTACTGAATTATCGTCTGCAACCCCCCCCCCCCCCCCCAAAAAAAAGAATTCAGGATGGAGAAACATGTCAAATCTATTAAAATTAATAGAAAATACATTTAAATTATTTTTAAAATAAAACGTTTGGAATTGCCATAATAAACAACAAATAAAATGACATAACATGACAAAAGGAGTAAAACTGTGATGTGAATTTCTAAAACTTCAATTATCACCTGTAAACATTTTTCAATAAGGTAAAAAAAAAAACACACACACGGCATGACACACAATGACACATTCAATTTTATCACATTATTTCTGTCATTCATTTCAAATTCAATTCCCAGATTTTTTTAGAGAAAACTTTTTTAAAATTTGTCAACTTACTCTCCATCTCTGTTGAAGACCTCACATTTCCAGAGTCAATCTCGTACATGGTAAGCACTGGATATTACGGCAAAACCTTCCATTCGCTATTTGTATGTAAACTGCACACAATCAACAATACACCTGTTGACCTGTACAAATCAATGAGCAGGTGGCCGTGAGCAGACGAAAACACAAGACACGATCCGACAAATTTTCCTTTCTTTCAACTCGTATATCTTGCGTTAACGTGCACAAAACTATCAAATGTCTGATACAGAATTATCTCTTCTAAATGAACAGCATAATTTTTTTGTGCGCTAATCCTAAGAATATTCGGTGAAAAGGTTGAATTTTCCAGGCGACAAGACTTCCATTCAGACACGTCTGTTGTCATGCGCCGCCAGACAGTTGCCTAGCTCTATGGTACACAAATTCAGCCAATCAATCAAAGGTTAAATTACATCCTCGTTCACTATTTTAAAAACATTCTTTAACGCGTTTACGAAAGTAAAATCTTATAATGACTAATAAGCTTAGTTGCATATTATAAATTTATTATTTGATTTGTTTACATAGTTTGAAGATAATAATTGTATTTATAAACAAACAGAACGGCAAATAATAAGATATTTTATTGCCCACCACAGGGGCTGTTGATTTTCCAGTGGGGGATCATGGAGCGGGCGGCGCGGGGGGGGGGGGGGCAAGGGATGAACACGCTTCACTGCGCTTCACTGATCTTGTTGACAAATCGATATTTAACAGATTACATACAACTTTTAAAAGTGTAGAAAGTAGTTCAGTAGAAACGGATAAGACCAACTTTAGAAATAATAAGGCAGAAAGAGAGGAATGAATGAATATTCAGTGAAACTGCAGCAGCATCAAAAACATTATCAAAATAATTTTTTTGTGGGCGGGACTTGTTCGACATATTAAGTGGGTATCATTTTCTTCCAGATGTTTCGAGCTCGAGTATTTTGCCATTCTCATTTTAAGTAATAAAATTGCAGTTCGATGAAGACTTCCAATGAAAAGAAATAGTCAATGTACAGCACACATCTCAAAAACAAGTCATTTATTTTGAGGATCTCCACTGATTAAGTGTTAAATTATCTAGAGAAAACTGCATATAATTTGAAGGGAAAAAACTTATATTCGAAAGTAAAATATATTATAATGTTATTTTCAATTCATAATATGTTAATACTGAAAGTCTAGCTAATGCCAATATAGGTTTCAAGTATAAAGAATAAAGGATATCTTTGGTATATAGAGTGGAAAAATATCTAGAAGTACAATTCTTTGCAGACATATACAATTTATTGTAAAAAACCAGGTTGTTTGAAATAGGTACCGTGAAAAATTAAACAAAGTCAAATTATCAAATCAAACTTGCATAACATTTTGCTGACATTGTACAAAAATATCGAAATTTTCATTTCATAACAATCAGCCTTGGCCAAGTTCGCGCAAGGACTATAGTTGACCAATGGTTAACTAACGTTTGCCCGAACTCTGTCTAGTCAACGGTGGTTGACTACGCTAGTCGACTATTTGGAACCAGCCTACTGGGGTTGGTTGCTTCGCTGGTAACCAATTGCCGCGCGCATTCATAACGCTAGCAGAGAGCCAGGATCCAGAAGTTTTGCGATGACATTTTGACCAGCGTTTGACTAGAGACGTTCGCACATTGCTATCAGTGCGCAGGCGTAAGGTACGTCACAAATCAACCACTAGTCGACTAATGGTCCTTGCCCGAACTTGGCCCATATTCATCCCTTATTATGCAAGAAAATATGAAGAAATATTGCCTTCAGCTGCCTTACAAAAAAAACCCACCCAATTGTTGCATGTGTACTACGGGTGTATACGCATCATCAAAGCACCAGTTGCAGGTATTGTGTATTTATACTTTTTCGATGAATCTCTGTACCCTATATCACTATGTGTAATGATATCCCGCAAATTATAACCAGATAGTGACTTCAGACCCAGCTGTTGGAGGGACAAGGACACCGTCTGTGGTGATGGGTACCGGTTGAGGAACACAACGGCCCATTCCTGCGGTTTGGAAAGCTGCTTGACCCATAGATTCACTCTGTCGCTGAACTGTGAATTAAAAGAAAACAAATATTAACTTTATAATAATGAACACAGCGATGTCCTCTGTTGTGGTTGGAGCTAGCTGTTCCTTGAATAAACAAAATCCTCGTGATATTTTAACAGCTCTGAATTTTCTAGGAGTGGTGTTCAAGAAATCACAAAGTGAAAACAACATTTAATTTATTCTCCCTGTAACTATTAGGTGCTGAAAGCAGTATGCGATAAATTGCATCGATTAACCATAAGAACTTGGTTACTTGCTTTCTTTTACTGGAATACAGCAGAATCTCAAATTCCTACGTAGGATAGCTATACACTCTATCATGTCTATGCTTGGAGTTTCTCAATGGTTATAATACCTCCAATCATATGATAGGTACAATTCAGACCAAGTTGATTTCTACTAGGACTATCACGGCAGTTACCTGAAGTACGAGTCTTCCCATAATGCCAAGGGGGTCCTGGTTGACAGCAATGACCTCTTTGTTCAGCAGGATATTACGACGAGGGATGGAGATATTCCGTAGGTCGTTGGCCATCAGGAGGGGTGCTGCCAAGATGGACCACATGGCAAAGTGTGCCTGGGCTTGGTCCACTGTCAAGCCATTATCTCCTACAACAAGCTGAGGGGGAAATGACCAAAAATTAAATTAGACGTTACTCTGTAAGTTTCAAAGGAAATGTGAAAGAGGCAAAATAAAATAAAATAATACAATACAAGTAAAAATAAAACTAGCCACACGAATTTCTTAAATATTGAAAAACTGAACAAGTTTTGATGAAGAACACAGAGACTTCAGAATTTAACAAAGATAATACCAGCATCTTGTTTATGTTATTAAATATTCAAATCTTGAGCAGGGTATGAATCCCGCTGGGCCAACATGTGGATTGGGTTTTCAGTTCCTGCCTGATTCCGTGGGATTTCCCCACAATATTCTTCTGGGGTTTTCTCTAAAACCTCTAAAACTGTAACTTCTTCTCATTGTCTTCTCTCTACAGGTTTCTTCAGGCTTGCGAGCTACAATGCCTAGGGCACTTTTGAGGAATCCTTGGTTCATTACCAGAAATAATTAATAATTTAACAACAACATGCAGTGACTGAGTCATAAAAAAGCCCCACAGCAGAATTCAAACCCCAGTAAAAGTTAAAAGCAAGCAAGACAGTTTCACACTAATTGTCCTTGCAGTTGACAAGGTAAATCATCATGCGCCTACCATGTCTGGGTCATTGAAATGACCAGGACCAGAGGCTGGTATCAAGACATCTTGATTGAGAGCGTAGTAGTCCACTATCATCAGGACAAGGGACCACTTCTCACGAATATCCCAGAAGTTTCTCCAGGTGTTGCAGTATTCGGCGATCAAGGTGTAGTTTATCTGCAGTGCAAAAGCAAAATAAACCAATGAATTACACTCTGAACACAGTACAAAATCTTTCATTATTCACTTTTATGGCTTACCTTTCTTAAGAATGGGTAATTGTTGATTGTTGAAACACTTAACATACCGCTGAAGAATTAACTCGAGTTCTTTATTTGAAAGAGTGACAGAAGATTGTCATTTTGGGATATATCATTTTTCACAATTACAGTTTGGTGACTAAAATGATTGGAAAACTTCTCTTCACAGAGGGAAAGCATTTCCCAAATAATGCATGCTCTTACCTTCATACCATAGTGGGGCAATACAAAAGGCCATTTACAGTTGAATAAAATGGGTCGTCCGGTAGCATTCAGAGCATGTGCCATCTCAGGATAACCTGCAAGTGATCAGGCAAAGATTTATGTTTTTAACATAACTCAGAAAGTGGAAAGCCACTAAAACTACTAAATGGTCAATTATCCTGAACAGGAGGTTTGCTGCTCGAAACTTCATTTAGCAAAGTGTTCATGTAATTTCAGATCAAAATAACTTTTTAATAAAGTCAAGATTTGAGTAGGCAAGTAAATTGGACCTTCAACAGCAAGAGGGCCGTGACGCATGCATGCATTACCTTTACTGTATGTGGTTACATTGGAGCTACAGCTGTCTAGCTTCATCATGTCGACTCCCCAGTCAGCAAACGTCTGGGCATCCAGCTCAAAATGTCCCCAGCTGCCTGGGAAACCAGAGCAGGTCTTGGTGCCGTAGTCTGCATAGATGCCAAACTTCAGGCCCCGACTGTGAATCTGAGGGGAAGACAAGGTAAATATTAACATATCGGAAGACACTAATTCATGACAAAGGTTTAGCTTTTGTATTCAATCCAACAAAGTCTAAGGTGCAATATTTGGGGAAAAACCAATGTAAGAATTTTTTCTAGAACAACTTTCAAATTTTCTTTTTCTGAACTCAATTAAAGATTGAAGCTGCTGTGATGAACAATGTGGGATCCACAGAAATGTTTGACACGAGGGCTGTTGGGTACAATATCTGTGGCACTTGCTGTGTTAATAAGAAGTAGAGCATTAACACCCAACTTTTCAGTAAACCAGCGAGCATTAACTAACTTTCATAGTTTACACTAACATAATTGCCCAGAGCTTTCATTCCGCTAGGGAAGCGCTCAGGATCCCCCTGCAATCTCTCCTGTGCATCACGTTCCTTAGCACTCCAACAATCATCCAGATTGACGTACTCATACCCAGCATCCTTGTAGCCATCCTCTGCCATGCGGTCTGCCATTTCCATCATCAAGTTCTCACTATAACACAAACAAAATGTCCTCCAAAACATATTATTAAGAAAACTGATACCAGCTAGGCAAGACAAATCAATAAAATGAGGTAAATTTCATACCAAAAACAAAAGAAATATAGCCGTGATTCCTATGAATCGCAAATTTGTATGAAATACCTGATACAGTTTTTGGGGTTCTTTTTGCAGTTGGTGTCACATCTGAAGCGTTCCCATGTCAACCAGCCCATGGGAGGTGTCCTCGCGAGACCATTGTCCAGAGCCTCAAGGATGGGATAAAATGCTCCAAGAAGAAACAGAGCCAATGCTAGCTTGAGTGACATTCTGAAAACGACCACTAAGTAAAAATAGATGTCAATAGAGTATAAACATAATAAATTTGACACAATACATTTTGTCCCCCTAATATTTATAATGTGGTACACTAAACGAAAGCTCATGACTTCAACAGATGCAAGTTAAAAAACAATTTAACGGAAAGAACGTCGCATCCTGTTCCATCATATCTCAATGAAGGTCAGTCATAACAAAAATGTTGAAAAGGCACGAATCTCGGACTGAGAAACATTTCTTATTTTGTTAGAAAATACTTTGAAAGGAAAGAAAAAAATTTCTAAGTATTTCTTAACAAAATTGGAAATGTTTCTCAGCCCCAGATTCATGTCTTATCGTCATTTTTGCAATGACTGACGGTTTCATTGAGATGATAACAATTAACATATGAAGGAAAAATGTGGCGTCAGGTTGCAAAATTCTTTCCCTTTGAAAATGCACTTGACTCTATAGACTTAGTTTGTACGCAACAAAAGAAGTGGCGTCTGGATACTCCATTCTTTTCCACAAAACAAACTCATGAAATGAGTAGCAGCAAATAAGGGAAAGATTGCCATATCTGGCCATCACATGTCACCCTGTGCACAGACCCTATGAGTATGAGACTGGTCTGGAAATGTTTAAGTGTTTTCTCAGTATTTACTGCAATATTTTCCCTGCTAAATTTGACTTTTTAGGACGTATTGTCACTTTTTGATGGTTAATAGGTCGATCACTGAAGGGAAAATAAGTGATGGCCAGATATGGGAATCTTTCCCAAATAAGAATTAATATTGTTGTCAAAAAAATGTCAACATTGTGAAGGAAATGATGTCTTCAAAGAAAAATGCATGTCAATTGATTTGTAAAAAAAAACCGCAGTGGCTATCGTTACGGCAGCCGTAACGCATTTCCCATTTTCTATCGTTACGGTAGAACTGCAACTTTTATAAAAACATGAGAAGAAAATATAAAATTAGAAGGAAAAAAGTGAATTTGAACGTTATGAAATTCGGACTTTATTTCCCTTTAAAAAAAAATCCTCCAAAGCCTCAGTCAGGTTAGAAAAGGAAAAAAATTCGAGTGCAAAACTGAGATGCGAACCCGCAACCTCGCGGTACAAAATCCTACCCTCTATCTACTGAGCTGTCGCACTGCTCACTAGAACGCGGGGAAACAATTAATTATATACCTGCGTGCGTATCAAAAAAGTATCGTAGAGGGCGCTAAACAACGGCTGCCGTAACGATAGCCACTTCGACAAAAAAATCATTTGCCGCATATTTTCTTTGCGAAAACGATGGTAACAAAATACAATAAACAGATTTGCAAACTAAGTTGCAATTTTGTTTTCACTCTGTTATTCGTGAGTATTCGTGGGCTTCCTCGCCGACTTTGGCAGTGGTTGCTAACGAGACGATACGCTACTACTGTGCTACTGCTAGTGCTACTGGAATAAATTACAGACAGGTTTCGGAATATTTTCGTGTGCGCTAATCACTGGTAACGTCAGGGAACCATCCTTTTCAACCAAAATGCAAAAGTCATGTGATCGATCATGTGATTTAAATTCCTATCCACGTGACCCTAAGCGCGACTGATGAACACAACAAACTTTTGCTAGATCGTCGGACCTTGGTCGATCTTTATCACGATGTCAAATATGTTTTATCTCATGTTTTTATCGCCACGCCAGTTTGCATTTGACACAGTTCGGGGTGACTGGGCTGCTCAACCAAACGAAGGTAAGGACACATCTCGATTTTTGTCAAGAAAATACAACTTTTTGTAGCTGGCAGGCAAAAACGGCTGCTTGTTCACACAAAGACGGTACCGCGGTGTGCTTTCATTGAGTTTCAACTTTTTAATGGGGCGGAGGGGGGGGGGTTACGACAAGTAGTATTTCAGAGAATTTTCGAGTTTTCTCCCTATTTTTTCCTTGTCAGCTTATAAAATAATTAATGAAGGTTTGACATTTAAGAAAAGTAAGTTTTGTTTTTATTTTCACATCATCGAAGTAACATTCTCATTCGGATCTTTGAATAACACACAAGATCTTGGCATTCAATGTGTTGGTGATTCTCCTCTCCTTTTTCCATTTTTCTTTTTCGTTATTCTTGTGTTTCATTCCTTCATCTTCAGAGATTCAACAATGTTGGCCATAACCCTGCTAGTACTGTGTGCTGTGGGCACCCAGGCATTGGACAATGGCCTGGCAAGAACGCCCCCTATGGGCTGGCTCATCTGGGAGCGATTCCGCTGCAACACCAACTGCAAACTCGACCCTAATAACTGTGTCAGGTATCAGTCCTAATTTGCTCCAGCCTTTTAGACTTTGCAGAGCTTTCATATACTAAGTAGCATTCTTCTGTTAGGGCTCATCTGAAAAATCTCTTACTGATGCAAAATGAGTTGTTAACTCATGATACTGGGTATAAAATCAAAACATTTTACAAACTTCAGAGGACTTGTGTTGGTTCATAATATAAATACTGTATTTCGATTCAGATGATCACTAATGCATAGATATTTTTTTTCTTCTAGAAAACAGTTTATTTTGACATTTTTTTCTGACAGTAAGAAAGTGTGATGTTTCCCTTAGAAGCAGTATGGTCTAAAAGATAAAAGTAGGTGTGTCGTTAGCCTTGACCAAGGCTATCAGCTTGTTCCCATACGAACTTGTTCCCGCTACCGCACACCGCGCGCGCCGCGACACAATCACTAGTTGTACTATACCGTTAGCCTCAACGACCCTTGCGTGTGCTTTGTGTGCATGTACGTACGCCCCACACACACTTCCGCAAACAGCCGTACGTACAGCAAGTCGAGGCGGAAGATAGCCTTGACGCAACCGTGGCGAATACTTATGTGTTTCTTTATAGTTTCGACCGAAATCGGCCGAAAATTTCTGATGCGCATATATTACACGATATCCAATCAAAGCCCGTAAACTTTGACCCGCGATATAATATTCATGACCCGGAAATTACTGTATACACCACGTACATGTATGTTCACTCAAACCATGGTCCCATTTTAAACCATTTCTCCAGTTTTATTACAAACCGTATGCCGCTATATGAGTGAACAATTGTTCAAAATGATATTATTTCCAATGTATTGCGAATTGGACAGTTCAAGACAGTCCGCCGACGTTTTGTAGGTGCAACAGCGTACATTATCACGCCGCTACCTGCCCGTGCTATTCTGACAGCGAATGTAGGGAACAGGTCAACTCGGACCCAGGTCAAATCGTACCCATTTAATCGAATGCAGGTTAACTCGTATCTATAAGCACCCGTATGAATTAAGTGCAAGAAACGAGCTATTGACTTTGTGATGGAAATATACGAAACTGTCAGGTACATGATGAAAAAAAAACTCTCCCTGAATTCGTACCATGTGCAACATACATGTACATCTCATACGTACGACACATGTATTTTAACGCGTACGTATGAATCGTGTGTCGTACCTACGACATACGTACGACATATGTAAGTCGTAGATGTAAATCGCACGAAATACAAGTCGTTCTCACAAGATATGTTGTATGTACGACATAATCGACAAACAAGTCGAACATACGAGTTACAATTCATATTTAGTACACACGAGATATTAAGTCGTACGTATATATACGACTTTGTCGTATGCGACATATATCGTACCCTGTCGACTCGACTTATGCACGACATATATGTCGTACCGGCACCTGTCGACATTATGTCATATGTTTGATATGTCATACCCTGTCGACATATATGTCGTACCCTGTCGATGATATTAGTCGTACCCTGTCGAAATATGTTGTACCCTGTCGATAGTCGTACATACGACATATAACTTATAAGTTGTTCATACAAGTTAAAGTCAGTCTTACAGAATAAGTTTGCTGAAGGAGAGATACCCCCCCCCCCCAAAAGTCAGCGGTAGATATTTTCTCAATAGTGTGAGCGCTTTTTTGGCCGCTGAACGTGAAAGCGCAGCGTGTCTCACTGCATGGCGCCAGCCGGGCCGGTGCCTACAGTGGACGGCCCCAACGTGGCCTCTGTGCATGGTGACATCGTTTTTGCCGGCGTGCGGTTTTGTACCGTTTGCCGTTTTTTGAAGGTCTAATTTTTCATCCTTTTCATTTCATTTTCGACCAAAACTATGTGTAACTTTATAAATATTATTCTACTATTATCTAAGATTTTAAGGGGGTGTTTTACAATAATTATTGTTACCACAGGCTGTCTGGTTTATAAACCTTTGGTCGTATTATGCAATTTAATAAATATTCATATTTTTGTCAGCCGTTATCCAATGAGAGAAGACTAATTACCATAGCGCGTACTAATTATCATATTCAGCATACACGGTTGCGTCAAGGCTATCTTCTGCCTCGACTTACTGTACGGCTGTTTGCGGAAGTGAGGGTGGGGCGTACGTACATGCACACAAAGCACACGCAAGGGTCGTTGGGGCTAACGGTACAGTATAACATTGAGTTGCTGCGCGCGCGGTGTGCGGTAGCGGGAACAAGCTCATATGGGAACAAGCTGATAGCCTTGGTCAAGGCTAGTGTGTCGTAGGCTTGCCTGCTGTGGTTAGATGGATTTTACTGTCAGTGTCAACAAACTTTAGTCTAAATACATTGTAATTTTGTAGATGGTAGGGATTATTGAGGTGGACTTTGCACCCATTTTGACATTACAACCAAGTATTAGGCACCTGCTGATCAAAACTGTTATCCAGAATCTGCTTGGTGAGCAGATAAGAATTTTATTTAGTGTCCACTTGTACCACAAGGATGCCAAAGTGCAGCAATCGACAAATATTGTTGCGAAAGTCCTATTTAGAAAATAAAAAAAATTGAAAGAAACTTTTAATATGTACGGATACTACGCATATCAGTTAAATATTAAGAACATAAAGTTTGCTTGGATAGCAAAGTGAAATTAAAAATGAAAGTTTTCTGTTACCTTTTCCCTATAGAATAATAAAAAACAGACAGAAAAAAATATTGTGGCCAAAATACCCCCTCCCTAAAACAAATGGCTGGGTTTAAAATAAAATTAATTTCACAGCTTTGTTTGATCAGAAAGAAGTTTTATCTGCAAAGAAGTAGAAAATTAATCAACTGTTATAAAGTAAGAGATCAAGTTTTTTGGTGAATTGTTTCTTTTGTTTTTGGGTTATGCGCAACTTTTTATTTCAATAAATCTGTGACAAACTAATTAAATTAATGTTTACAACTTTTGTGACTTCTCAGTGAAAAACTAGTGAAGGAAATGGCTGATCGTATGGTTGAGGATGGCTACAAGGATGTTGGGTATGAGTACGTCAATCTGGATGATTGTTGGAGTGATAAGGAACGTGATGCACAGGGGAGATTGCAGGCAGATCCAGACCGATTCCCCAGTGGCATCAAGTCATTGGCTGATTATGTGAGATCTAAGTTAGATCAATGCATATACATTTTTCTCATTTTTGAGCAAGCTTAAATGATATATCATATTTATTCCCAGTGGATGATTCTTTTTAAAAATAATTTGTATTGTTTGTTTTAGTTTTCTCTGGAGATAAATGCTATTGAATTGAATTGAATCGATTTTGTAACTGAAGTTTCTTCTGCTTTTAGATTTAATTCAACTATTTCTGTATTGATTAATGCATACAAATCTGAATTTATAGATAAAACCCTCTAGTTTATAATTACTGCTTATTTCCATAATCATTTCCTACAACAGAAAAATGTGCTAGCATGTAAAGCTTCAATCGTTCAAAAGGTTTTGTTCAGTACTTCTGATATGCATTTCCCTTTCTTGGCTTCAGTGTTTCTAAAACTCTACAAAAGCCGTGTTTATCCCATTTATTATTTGTAAAAAGATTCACAGTCGAGGGTTGAAGATGGGCATCTATGGTGACTACGGCACCAAGACCTGTGCAGGTTACCCAGGCAGCTTGGGACATCTACAGACGGACGCTCAGACATTTGCAGATTGGGGCATTGACATGCTGAAGCTGGATGGATGCAACTCTAATGTCACTACTATGAAGAAAGGTAAACAAACTTGTAAATAATATTCAACAGACTTCTTTGTTTTTTGTTTTTTGTGAGGTATTTGTATTATTTCATTATTCGATATTTTGATTTTCTTGACCAGGTTATCCAGAGATGACCAAGTACCTGAATGCCACCGGTAGACCCATCCTATTCTCCTGCAGCTGGCCTGACTATGAGAGAGCAGCTAAAATACCTGTAGGAACTACTTCATCTTCACTTCATTAAAACAAAAAGACATAAATACAATAGTATGTAGTAGGTGATCCAACCTAAGGAAAGTTCATCTAGGCCCTCTTCCTCAACTTGTCCCAATAATCTTCTTTGGACAGACATTTTCCTCTTGCCAAAGTTACAAAGTACTTTGCAAATTTTTTGGACTTGAATGTGAGACTCAAAGAAAACTAAAGGAATACATATGGAACCATTGCTGTCACTTGCAAAAATATTTTACTTATAAGTGTTGAATAACAATGATATAAATTTGTAGCTTTGATTTGTTTTCTTAGAGTTTCCTTTGTCGTTTTCTCAATGTGCATGTTAAATTGATTTTTGTTTCTGTTAATGATTTGGCAGATCAATTACACGCTGGTAGCAGACAACTGCAACATCTGGCGTAACTATGACGACATCAATGACTCCTGGGGTTCAATCACCGGCATTATTGATTATTACGACAAGACTCAGGATACCCTGGTACCGGCTGCTGGGCCGGGACACTTCAATGATCCAGACATGGTAGGTGGACCACTCCAGACACAAGGACAACAAAATTAAAGTCTGTCACAAGCCAATTCAGGCCAGTCCTATTGGTAATTATCTCCGGTTTTCTTGGCACAAAATGGTTGCGAATATTTCTTTTTCCCCCTGGATGTGATGCTAGTCCATTGCAGGTTACTCCCCAGCTAATGCCGGTACCCATACTCCTGGGTGGGGAGAAGCAAGTTGAGTTCAGTGGCTTGCCCAAGGACACAACATATGGCCAGCAACTGAATTGGAACCCCTGGCCCTCTGTTCAAGAGTCATAAAGTAACCCTAACCCCTAGCAGGCCACACTTCCACACCTAGCAATCAAACCTAAATCCTACCATGTGCAATAAACCAATAGTGCGTCCTTTGAAATTAAACTTTGTGCAAACCATTGTCAATCATTGGTGTATAGGCCCTGCAGCTACTGAACCCTTCAAAGTCAGGCAAAACTGGTGTTTGGTTTTGAAGGAATTTGGTGGTAATAAGGGTTAAAATATAGAACATGTCAGATTTAGTCCTGAACAACCACCACCATTTCATACGACAACTAGTCTTTGAGAGGGGTAGGACCATTAAAATTTGCATTATATTAAAAAAAACAAAACAGAATTGATTATGCTTGTTACAACTTTGAAAAGCTATGTTTGATACAATTTATATCAAATTAATAATGGAGGAATCTATATTTTCAGATTGTTGTCGGTGACCAAGGAATCAATGTGAACCAAGCCAATGCCCAGATGGCCATGTGGTCCATCTTTGCTGCTCCTCTGCTCATGTCTAATGACCTACGCAACATCCAGCCTGTCTACCGTGACATCTTACAGAATAAGGAGGTGATCAGAATCAACCAGGACCCAGCAGGGAAGATGGGGAAGAGGGTGCTGACGGTAGGTTGCATTTCTTGTTGGGATTCTTAACACAATCACCCCAAAGATTCTTAAGGATGACAGATAATAAGATGAAACTTGGATATGGGTGAAACTGCTAAGCCCATCTACTTGGCTTAGCAGCAAGATACAGAAATAAGATAGGCAAAAGAGAAAGTTGAAGGGATTCATTTAGGTCCACATTTTGTCCTCTTTTGCGTAGCTGGGGCCTAAGGTGGACGTTTGGCTGAGACACCTGAATCCATGGGAGACATACGCAATCGTATTCCTCAGTCAGGATACTAGACCTCGCACGGTCTCCCTCAAACTTGAACAGCTGGGACTGACCTACGGATTTGGGTACCAGTTGAGAGATGTGATAAACCACAAGTTCATAGGATACTGGACACCTGGGGAATCTCATAACTACACCATGCCGGCAACTGGAGTGCTGATGATTTATGCTTATGGCAATGAATAAGCAAAAGAAAAAGAAGAATTGGAAAGAACCGTTTCTGAAAGTAGAAGTTTTGAAATCATTCACAAATCATCTAGCAATCAAGTTGAATGCACTCCACAAATATTGCAGAAAGAGATTACTGTTACAAATGGGCCAGTATGCAATAATAGTGCCTCCAACAAACTGACCCTAAAAATTATGATGTACGGCTCCTCTTAACTTGTAATAAAGGTTAAAGTTCATGCATATATACCATGCTAAAAATCTCCTTTGTATGCCTGTGTGCAACATTTTGCAAACACTTCAAATTCCTGCTTATGTTCGGTCATGCTACTTATGTAAATCATAAGCTAACCAGTATTTATCTAGTTTGTATAATCAAAATCTAGTTTTAGAAATTACAATTCTAGAGGATGCCCTTCCCTTTCTGTTTTGCTCCCCCACATAGCGCGGACCCGGTATTGAAGTCTGGTTACGGCCACTCAACCTTTGGGACGAGTGGGGATTGGTTCTTTACAACAGTGCAGCAAAGCCGGGGACAATCTCAATGTCTCTGAAAGAGATTGGATTCACATATGGCTTGGGGTATGAGCTACGAGATATTTTGTCTCACGTTGAGATCGGCCATCGCGAGATTTATCCAGTGTATAACTACACTGTGCCTGCTACTGGTGTGCTTATGTATTATGCATATCCCAGTGAATAAACAGCTCAACACTCTGAGCTTCCAATTGTGTGAGCTGAAATTATTACCATTGCATATTATTAAAATTATTACCACCTAAAATTATTGCCACTTAATCAAAAATAAAAAAATTGTCTTCTTTACAAATTCTTATCAGTTGCCAAATTTTACTTAGTATTTTCCTGCCTGTAAGAATTGATTTTAAGGATACATAGTCCAGCATTTTTGTGTCTGATTTTGTTGAATTCTGTATTTTATATTATATGTGCTTTGATTACTAATTTTAAACCTGTTCCAAATTGAAATATTAGAAATATGTTGTTATCCTTTATGTATTTTTATCAATTTCAATTCGAATATGCAGTTGATATGATCATTATATTATGTATATGAAAACTTACTACAAATATTTTAATGGAAAATATGGTTTAAAATATATATTGGAAATACTTTAAAATAAGAATGACTGCACGCTTTAAAAAAGATACTCAGCTAATGAGCTGTTTTCCATCATTGAAACCAATAATTTAATTTGCCAAAGATCATAAATTAAGTTCCGAGGAAAAAAGGACAAGAAATATCATTGTATTGATAGAAGGGCTGCATAATTGTCAGCTGATTTTGAAAACATTAAAATACACATATATATTCTAAACTCACGAGTGAGATTTATACTGTTATAATACGGAAGAGAAGGAAATGTTTTATTTTTAAATTACAGTATTTGTAATGTTAACTGAGTCAAGAAACAAAGAATTCATGCTTAAAACTTTGAGAATGTAACCATCAGCATTTTATCATAATAAGCAGTCTCTTGTAAACTTAATATCTCTTTTGTACAAAAAATTAAACATCATGATTAAGTGCGATGAATGGTTTCTGTGTTAAAGCGGTATTTGTTGTTTGTGTCACAACTGTCTCTCAAGGCTTCACGTACCAGCTTGGTGCAATATCCATGAAGTACCTGCGACGCTACTATCTGGGCACCGTGGACCTGGTTCAGGTACCAACTACAGGAATATTGATGACGTACTTTCCAATCGGATTCAATAACGCTGCTTAAATAATGGGTTCTCTGGCAATTTACTGTGGAGACTGGAGAACAAATTCTTGCGAAAGAAGAAATAAGATAGAAACGAAGTCTCTGTCAAAAAACGATACTTGAAGTTTTCCTCAATCCAAGATATTAGTCTGTGATATAAATCATGCATAAGCATAAGCAGGAATAAGAAGTGTTGGCAACAGCACAATATACATTTGCAATGAAAAACAGCACTTAAAAGTTTTTATATCCCACAAACCGTTACAAAAAAGGTTGTTTATGTTACAATGTCAGGCTTTCCTTACAATTACTTCAGAAATTTATTATTGGTCAGCCTTTTATAGTTTTTGTTGTACCTTCGAGAAACATTCTACTAGGATTGTAACACCAGGATTCTATTTGTTTGATTTGTCTATGGGTTCTGTTACTTCATTACGAGCAACTCACCCGGTACCCATGTCATCTTTGCTCACAGTTTGGATCCAATGTTGAAGTTTGGCACCGGCCGCTTCATCAGTACCAGGAATGGGCCGTCGTCATTCTGAACAAGGACACTAAACCGCAGACTGTATCCTTCATGTTGAGTCAGCTAGGGTTCACAGCCTGGGGGTATGAGATACGTGAGGTGCTGACACACACTGAGCTTGGTCACTACGGCATTTACCTGCCTGTTAACTTCACCGCACCACCAATGGGTGCAACCATGCTTTATGCTTATACTAGCTCATAAAATATCATAGCCTCTTCATTGGTTTATCTTACACGTAAGGGAAAGGAATTGTAAAAAGATTAACAAATGTTAATATTCACTAGAATCTGACACCAGGCTGGAGCACAAAACAGGGTCTTAAATTATTGTACTTAAAAGTTACACTAAACTTGAGGGAAAGATTTCCATATACGAAGTTCACTCAACACCCTGTGTACAAACCCTATGAGATTGGACTGAAAAATTCTAAGTGTTTTCAAAGAAAATGCTTGTATTTTCTCACTGCTCAAATTGACTTTGATGACATGAAATTGCTATCTGGGGGCTTGTTAGTCAATACAGAGGAAAATTAGTGAACTTCTTATATGGAAATCTTTCCAACTTGAGTAGCAATTTCTATGTGTGAACAAACATAAGCAGGATTTGAGAGGTGCCCAGTCAATGTTGACATTGTTGCACAATTCAATAAACTTTTGCAAACCTTTCAGTTCACCTGATCTTGCAGGACATTTTATCACGATATTTTCCAGTGAAATAAATATTTATCCTTCCGCAACCCTACGTAGGCAAAATTAAGGCGAGCTTTTGTTTCATATTCTATATTCAGGACAATGGCTAAAAACTTCTTAGAGTTTGAGCCTAGACCTTTTCTGCATGTGAGGGTGCTACTGACCTTATTTTATTCTCCTACAGTACAACTCCACCGTTGACATATATGTCCGCACGCTAGCAGGTCCGTTGGAGTTTGCCTTGATGTTTCTGAATACAGCCGCCAAACCCTGCACAGTCACTGTCTCACTACGACAGCTAGGCTTCACCTATCAACCTGGCTTTGAGTTTGAAGATGCATTTGACAATGGTCGATTTGTTGGCGTCTTCAATACGGACCAGATGTACAATTATACCATTAAAGCAACAGGAGCGCTACTGTACAATTTGTATTTTAGTAGCTGAAGTCTAGGTAATTCAGGGCAATTAAACTTGGGTATCTACTCACATTTAGTCCCTTTAAGTAGTCAAATTTGACAAAAGTAATAATTTAAAAAGTGGATTTGAATGTTGTGCTTTCCTTCATACAGCTCTCAAAACTGTGAAGTTTAATTGGAGAAACAACTATGCAATCACATTTGTAGGCATTTTTTTAACCAGAATTTCCTAAAAGATACCACAAAAACAAAACAATAACGTAACAATGATATAATTTTTTTATTAAATTGTACAAGTACTATTAAAAGTTGAAACCAGTGTTTAGAAAAGTATTTCAAGAGGTGAAAATCAATAAAATTACAAGTATTTATCAAAACTTCAAATATTCTGATTGTTTCTTGAACATGTATCATTATACAGGCAGATTTTTAAACAGATAAATCTGCAAGAAATAAATCCAAACGAATATTCTATTCTATTCAATTCTTTTCACTTTCACGATAAAAAAGAATGGCCTATATTATTTTATCGACATTTTTTTCACAGAGTATTATCAAGAATAGATAATACACTTCAAATTTGCCACACAAAAGGCACATACAGCTATAAATGCAAAAATCACAAGTGTTCAATGTTGAACAGCGTGTTCAATATTCCATTCTTAAGCTTGCATTCCAATGCATTGCTTTTTGTCTATCCAAGACAAAGGATGCAACATATAAGAAAATATATGCCTACCAACTATCCAAGTTTACTAAGGGAGAACACATATAGACACACATGTAACTCTAACAACACAAAATTGTACATTACAATTGATTGCAAAGAATATTTACAAACCTCCTTTTAAACCAAAAATCAAAAACCTAAATTTCAGCATAACACAAAATAGAAAATGTGCTAAATCTTCAGCAATTCATTGGAGAGATGTTGACAGCACACAAAATTAGCAATCATTCATGTCATAAAACTTGTTTTTTGATATAAAATTGGCATGAAATATGAACAGGACTCGGTAGTACAACAAGGACATATTGCCCCATTCCCCTCGTACCTAATTTCTCTGCCTCTATATTATATGAACTGAATGTACTGTTTGAGCTGCAGACTTTTGAAAGTAGATTATTAGGCTTATTGTTTCTTACAGGGCTGTGCCACTGCACGGAACCCATTTAAGCCAGTTAGAAATCTGTCAGCATTCAATTTATGGTGTTAACCTTATTATCTCGGCTGAATTTGGGTTGACAGATAAGGGCAATAGATCGTACGGTTTGAATCGTCCTAGCGGTGTACCTTCCCACAATTCCGTCAAGTCGTATCCATCGCTCCTGTACAGACCCATAGCTTGCAGGCTGGTGTTAAATCGGATTGGTTGACGGTCATTCCTGCTGAGGATCACCATGGCATAGGATTGGCTCACGAGAGGCCGGAGCCAGATCTCAATGCCATTTGCCAACTGCCCAAAAGAATACAAAAATAAGCAACACAAAAATTAAGAAAATTCTTTCATTTATCCAATTCATAGCCACTGTTTATTAATACCCTTGCCATAAAGCTGAACTGGAAATTTTAGTTTCACTCTTGTAAAAAGTTAAACCACCATGGCCATCAGACTTTAACAGGAGTAACGTTAGGCCTTGCCAGAATCACTTGGCCATGGCTGGGAATAATGTACGCACCTATGGAAGCCGCTGGCTAGCGGCTCCAGCCACTTCTCATAGACTCGTGTGTTATTACCAGCCGTAGCCACATGATTCAGAAATGGCCTTACACTTGTTGTTTTATCTAATCCATGAATACTTTCCTACTCTTCAAGTTGTTCGTTTTTTTGTTGTCTCAATGAAACCCATCATTACTTTTCCTTTATATTCAAGTTTGAACCCAGTATGAATCTCACCTGTAAGATTCGCTTTCCCATGATGCCTAGCGGGTCCTGGTTGACCTTAATGACCTGCTTGTTCTGTAGGATGTCACGGTAACGCGGGTCAATAGTTCGAAGGTCATTGGACATGAGTAGTGGAGCGGCCATAACAGCCCACATTGCAAACTGCGCTTTAGCTTGGTACAAACTCAATGCAAAGTCACCAAGAATTAACTGTAAAGAAATTGACATTTATGAAAGTAAAACAAGTTTTGTCATCTAATAATGTCAAATAATCTTATTTCCTATACAAACAATCATTCTGTGCCAAGTTGTCATTTCAATCAAAATCAATTAAGTGACTGCTTTCAATAGTTAAGAGCTCCCAGCCTACATAAAGCAGGATTGACTGGCTGTGACTGTTTATGTAACTTGGTACAGCTATGCTTTGACTGTAGGTGATTGATAAGCCAGCTGTGCCCACAACTTGTCTGCTTTTGTCTGTTGATTGAATTTGGCAAGTCACAGTGCTTTCTAGAAATATGATCTGACTGTTGGTGACTAGCCTGTGTAAGAGGCATGGCAGGGAAAGAGGATTGATTTTTTTCCTGGCTGTGGCTGTTCAGATAGCAGGAGGGTTAACCATTTTATTTTCAAAAAGATTTTTATTTGGCTTACCATATCCGGGTCATTGAAGCTACCAGGAGCAGAGACATTGGATAGTACGTCTTGATTCTCGGCGTAATAATCGATGATTTTAAGAACATAGTCCCAGGAGTCTTGTATGTCAATGTAGTTCCTCCAAATGTTGCAGTATTCAGCAACCATGGTGTAGTTAATCTTTTAAAATAACAATAACAAAGTAAAAAACAATTTTACAAAACAATAGTAATTTTATCTTAAGTATAAATGCTAATAAAAAGGGGGAGGAGCAAGTAGACTCCTCCTCTTATTTACCTTTGACCCCACCTATGTGACATATTATGAAGGATCTCATTATTAAACCGTCAGTGATAATAGCGGTACTGCTACTTTCTTGAGCGGTACCGCTATGAGAGCTTTGCCTCTGACAAGTGAATGGAAGTTTCAACTTGTTGAATAACTGAATAATGCATGAGGTCAAACCCTGCGCTGGGAAGTCATTAACACTCCATGGGTAGATGAAAGAAATACGTATTTCTACAGACCAGTGGTTTTTATTGCGCCCCCTCCAGACCTCTGGCCATGGAGGATTCACGCATCATCGGTTTATCAAAGAAACTGGTATTTCAATGGCCAATAGGAATAAGCCGAAGGCAAGTCTAGCCAGGAGGGATTAGCTGGAGGTGGTTGGCTAGAGGGTGGAGGATTATTGTCCCAGTTACTTGGGTCATTTGTCAGGCTGTGGAGCTCGTGGCTTGTGGAGTCTCATGAATAATGCTGTGACGAAACATCTTGTGTGCAGTGATCCATAATGAGCTCAGTATCAGAACCGCTTAGTGGGGAATAGCGGTACCGCTATTATCACCAGCAGTTTAATAATGAGATTCTCTCTTAATATTCATATAAGCAAAGAAATGAAAATTACCGGAATTTTTGCTCCTCGTTCATAGTCGGGCCAACTGCATGAGAATAGTATGGGCCGCCCTGTTGCATTCAGGTAGTTAGACATCTGTGGATAACCTAACCAGAACAAATAAAACAGACAAGTGACAAATATTAATTGCTGCATCCAGAGCACAGGAATTCCATGAATTCATTATGCTGAAATATGTTCCTGTAATATGGTTGTGTAAATTCTTGAATATATTGAGTCTTATTTCCAGTCGCGAATCTGGGGGATGGGTGTTGGGGGGGGGGGGGTTTAGGAAAATCATTAAAAAAGTAGAAGCAAATGCTTGCGGCATACACAACCCCCCCCCCCCCCCCCCCAGACATGCCCCCCTCCCCTCCCTTGAGCCACAGCTGATCCACCCCTGCTTTCTGCCCACCTTTCTTCATCATTGTGACGTTTGAGTAACATCCATCCAGTTTCAGCATATCGACTCCCCAATCAGCGAAGGTCTGAGCGTCAGTCTGTAGATGTCCCAAGCTTCCTGGGTATCCACCACAGGTCTTAGTGCCGTAGTCCTCATAGATTCCAAATCGCAAGCCTTTGCTGTGTATCTGCAAATCAATATTAAAATCATAATGTCAAATTTCTTAATTAAAATTGTTGAAAAACATAAAACCTTTGGTTTTTACTTACCAAGCCAACTCCAGTCTAATGAATTACTAAATCTGTTTCTGGCCAACTATTTTATTGCAAAATAGTTTTATCCTAGTACATCAAAAACAAACAAATCCCAAAATATCATTATTAGTTGCTTTGTTTTACTCACATAATCAGCCAGAGCTTTAATTCCGCTAGGGAAACGCTCAGGGTCGCCCTGCAATCTCCCCTGTGCATCTCGCTCCTTAGCTGGCCAACAATCATCAACGTTGACGTACTCATATCCAACGTCCTTGTAGCCATCAGATACCAGGTGATCTGCCATTACTTTCATCAGATTCTCACTGTATCAAAAAAAATGGAACACATAATGATATTTTGTATTTGTTCACACTGACTGGCTCCAGCCACAGATAGTATGTTTAACTGTTTCTCCAATGCCAACTTATCCATTCCCCAACAAACTCTTTTGTTTACCCCAATTTTACCGAATTCTCCAAATAGCAGCCTCCTATTGGGTCCATTATGAACATGTTTAATAGAATTATAATTACAGCAACTTTTAAAGCACAAATAGCTTGAGTTAGTTCTAAACATAACTTGTTGTTGCCACAGCAACATATACAGCACAAAAAAAAATCATGATATGATTTTAAATGGGCAAAAAAATCTCAAAATTCTCAGAAATATGTGCAACTGAAGCCAACACTGACCAGGGCTATAAATTCACATTGATTTGTCCTATTCTCTTACCTGATACAATTATCAGGATCTTGAGCACAATTGATATTACAGCGGAATCGTTCCCATGTCATCCAACCCATAGGGGGCGTCCTTGCCAGGCCATTGTTCAACGCCTGTGCACTTAACGCACATAACGCCACCAACAAGATTAAGTGCAGCATCTTCGTCATTTCTGTGCAAAAGAAGGTGACATTTAATACTACAATTGCAAAATGCCTGGATTCCTTTTGGAGGAAAATTTCATTATAGATAGGCATGCATTTTAGGAACTTATCTTGTCTTGCATGATTGATAACTGGAAAGATACAGCAGTGTGGCTATAATTTAAAGAAGACCCACACAACTTGAATTTGCCCAAGACGAAGTGTATACATAGCCATGAACCGGTCCCTCATGTTATCTGTTCTTAAGCCGGCAGATTGTATAGCGCCCTTATGCCTAAGTATATTTGTAGGCCTACACTAGATGTTAAAATGCCAGCTAGCACGGAGAAGAGACAAAGATTTGTCATGACCAAAATTTGCAAGTTTTGCATAAAACTGCATAACACTGCAGTTTACATAAAACTGCATGTTCAGTGCCGTGACAATTCAATACCGAAAACAATACGGGACTGGCTCACAGAATCACGGTCAAATAAATATCTACTGCCTAAAGAAAATCCCTCCTTCCTTGAAAGTGCAGCCTCGTAAAATTTATTAGGTCCTAATTCTTATTTAATTAATATGTAAGTAGTCCGAGTAACTTGGACCCATTCTTATCTCCTCGAATGTTAAAATGGTGATAAGTTAGGTCCAAGTTACTCGGACTAAAAAATAATGAGGAAAATGCACTGTGGTGACCTTTCACAAACAAGCTCACGAACATAATAAAAACAACACGGGCAGACGGGTGATTATATTTATAATTTATTAATTAATATCAATGAGCATGAAAAACCCCAAACCCACTGAGCCTACTTGGGTAAAAATCACAATCACGGTGAGAAAAAAAACACTTAGGATTTAGATATCGAAATCAGGAAACACAACTTTTACAGTCACTCACTGTGTAGTGTGTGAGTGTGTGACAGGAAGTCCAGTATTTTGAGGCACATCATTACTCCCAAATCCAATGAATTCTTTACTGTCTAATTCTGACTCATGTAAACTGCTGATTCCGTTTTTAATACAGATTCCATTATATTTACAAAAACAGAAAAACTCTCTGCATAAATTCATCATTTTGACTCACATTTGCCCTTGATCTTGCAGCTTACGTAGCTGGAGGTCCCGCGTGATGCGACAGACTGGTTCCCGTCCCTACTTTTATTGTCCGAAAGACAATGGGGGGATGGAGAACCAGTCTAGTGATGTGCTAAATTGTATTGTCACGTGACCAGTCATGTGCAACGTTTGGCATGTCTAAAATAAAATTACGTTTCAAGGTGTATTGATCTGCTCAAGTTAATATATTGTCCATTTAGATTTTTTTTTACATTTCTCTCAAATGTGAACGTCACCCAGATTCTCTAGCACTTTTAACGGGAAGGCAAGCTCTGGTGTTTTGGCATTCTGTTTTGACAGCACTTTTACATCAAGCATGACTGCACTAGAGGACAAGTTATAGTCGTACTGAAATCTCCCAATTATTTCTGAAAAACAAAAATCACAAAAGAGTAGCTCAAATGAAACAGACTTTTTGAAAAGGCATTGGTGCCGACTATTTAGCTGATTTTTTTTTATTCTTTCCAAACTGAAATTATACACAACTATATCTGTGAGACCACTATACTGCTTTACAATGATCATGGGGGTAGGATACGAAAATGACTGTCTTGCTAGTACTACAAGAATCAGCAGAATCTCAAACCTTGAAAGCCTTAACAGTCTATATATAGGTCAGTGACTGACCTTCTGTACTGCAATAAAATGACAAATGCTGGCACTTTATTACCTTTGTATGCCCTAATTATAGTACTGTACAAAGAAGTGTTTTGACAAATGATGTAGCCTTCAATTCACTCGAATACAAAACAAATAACATGTGAATACTTACACCTGACGTGCACCTAAAAGGGTAAAATACAACCTTTGACATATTACACACGTAATAAAGTTACAAAACAGCACCCAGTGTCTGGGAAAAAAATCACAAGAAAGATCCAGTTTTGTTCTTAAGTGTGAGTCCCTTTTGGTCCTAGAAAAAAAAACCCTGAAGAAATCAGCCTCCATATCCAGCAGCTGTGTACTGAGGAAAATACCTTTCTTGGAGCATCATCAAATTCATTTTTCAAACCGGGTGTTTTAGACTTTTATCATTTCATTTTTTCTAAAAACCTGGTCTTTAAAGGGAATATACAACATTTGCAAACATCGAAAAATAAAACTATCAAGTTTTTGCGAAATACCTTAACAGGATGTTGGTAAATGACAGTCTAAAGCATCCTGTAAAATTATGGCACCTGGTATACTGTCATTTTCAAGAAAAGTGGTATTTTTGTATCAATTTCCAACGCTGATCGGCCGATCAGCGTTGGAAACAACTGGCTTTTTTTTCAAATACTGGCCCCAATTGACCATTGCACTTGTTTGCAATCGATTACAAACCTATAAACGGGTACGAGCCAGCTAGACTGGTTCCCTGACCTTACAATTCCCCCAATGTATGTAAACTGCTCTGTTTCTTCTTATATGGAGTCAGGGAACAAGACTACAGGAAAATGATCGTTTTTCTTGGTTTTTATAGCATTTTCGAACCCAAAACCTCCAAAAAGTTAGTGTAACTATATTTGCTTTATATTTCCAACCCCCCAATTCCACCCATTTCTGAAAATTACAGCAAAAGCAAATGATGTATATTCCCTTTAACAATTTTTAGGCATGTATGATCACAACAATATTAATCAAAAACCTAAGTGCATCTGCCAATGATGCTACAGCACAAAAAAATTTCATTCAAATTCAATCAGAAAGATACTTCACTCAGAACTATTTATATACATTTTTGTAAATAAGACAATATTGCACACTACATGTATAAGGCAACTAGAGAAAAATGTACAAGTTTGAAATTTGACAGGAAAATTTAAAATCTAGTCTATTCACAAGTTAAAAACAATCAATAAAACAGAGGTTTATTTATTCAGTCTATTCACAAGTTTACAATGAATAATTCAGAGGTTTAATTATTTAAGATCACGGGTATAAAATATTTCAGAAGTTTATCAAAACACATGAAGTAGTTTTAAAGGGAATGTACAACATTTGCTTTTGCTGTAAATTTTCAGAAATAAATGGATTTGGAGGATTAGTATGTTATAGAAAATATTGTTAAACTGACTTGTTTCACGTTTTGGGCTTGTAGACGCTGGAAAAACCAAGGAAACCTATCATGTTCTTGTAGTCTGGTTCCCTGACCCCACTTAAAATGAAACAGAGCAATTAATACACTTGTGGAATTGTAGTCTCAGAGAATCAGTTGAGCAGGCTTGTACCACTTCACAGGTGTGTAATCAGTTGCAAAGAAAAGTCAGAATAACTAAATATGAAAATTTAGGGACAGTTTTTGAAAAAAAGCCAGTTTTCTCCAACGCTGGTCGGCTGACCAGCGTTGGAAAAATACAGTTTTTCTTGAAAATGTCAGCAAACCAGGAGCCACGATTTTAAAGGATGATTTGGACTGTCAGTCCCTAACAATTCAGTATGGTATTTCGTGATAATTTGATCATTTTGTTTTTGATGTTTGAAAATGTTGTATCTTCCCTTTAATCAAAGCAACAACTTACAAACTAAAATACATTTGCTGCTGTTGTCTTTTTTGTAGTATTTAAGCCTCGACCAACACAAGTCTAAAGAAATTTAATTAGAAATAGACAAATGATAGAAATAGAAAAACCCTGATCTATGCAGCAATACTTACATACAATTAAAAAAGGACAGAAATATAGAATTTTGTTCTTACAAAAGAAGTATCTTCTTCATAAAAAATAAGGCACATAAATACACTATTCAAACAATTTACAACAAAGAGGATATATTATTTACAATAACATTATAAGTTGGGATACTACATTCCTAGAAAAATATGTTATCCTGTGTATTATATGTAGAGGGTGGATATGCCATATCACGACTGGGCATTTGTGGTGGATAAGCTAAATCTGCAATTTGCCCCTGAGGTGTGTACTGAACATGATCGTTATTAGAATATAACGCTGGATCATTCTGGTAACCGTCTAAACCATAGAGTTGTGCCTGATTTGGTGGCTGGTACCCACTATTATGCAATGCAACATCGTCTGTTGCTGGGGGGTAGGCGGGGTCAAGTTGTGGGGGTGATTCATCGGAATTGCGCTTTTTAAGTTTCTTCTTTTTCTTCTTCTTGGTTTCGTTGGGAAATTTCTCTGGTTGTCCGATATAGGTGGTCCCATCTTCACCATAACTCAATCTGTCAAAACAAGAAATGATGACGTTAATTATGCAAAGCTGGTATTTGAAAAACATCTTATTCATTTTTAATATATCTTCAGTTGTTAGAAATGAGAATCTTGACATTTATTTCTAAGAGTAGCAAACAGAAAGCCAAGAACAAAACTCAAAAACACATCAAGCATCTGCTAAGAGTAATTTGATGACACAAAAACTGCATCAAAATCATAACAAACATTAGAATTCACATTTCAACATCGAATCAGATACAAATTTTTAAACAAATTGTGTTATTTCATGGACACATTCACGGAAAGAATATCACACCAGTAAACTACTGTGAAGGTAAAGCATGAAAGACAACTGCAAAACATGGCCCCACACCAACACCAAAGCAAGCCTTTACCCTACTGAACGCAAATAACTAAATGTAACGTTTCCTCTTAGATTCTCAAAAGCATGAAGACATGTAGTATTACTGTCTGGTACAAACTTAAAGTTTGTACCAGACCAGCAGACAACAATTAAATGCCCGTTTTCATATTGCAAATTCACAAGTGCCGGAAATCATTAGTATTGCAGCAATGGAGGAAATTATCTAGCCGGAAGGCACAGATTGATTAGCATGCAGGATAAAGGATAACGAGTAGACAACATTTGTTTGAATTGAACTTTGCGTACTTTGGTGCCAAGGTGTCCGAATGATCTTGGGTGTGCCCCACTGCACCATCATCCAACTTTCCGAGTTTCTCTTCAACGTCTAGGCTTGTCTTTCTCTCGGCAGTTAAGAACGTATCGTCAGTAATGACTGAGTTAAGGGCAGGGTTGCTGTCGGTGTTTTTCACAGCACAATCGTAATAGTTAAAGGCTTTCAAATCGGGTGCCAAGACCACGTTAGCACCCTCCTTACTTTGGATGGGGCCTTGGGTCTCTGCCTTGTCCATGATCTGAGCAATTTGGTAGCGTTGCTGTGAGTCAGAGGGGAGGGGTAGAGAAGAGGGAGGGGGACAAATGGGAAGGGAGTAGGATGAAGAGGTATTGAGTGAATATTTAGAAGGGTGAAGATAAACAGGATTAGGGAGATGAAAATGATAGTTGGGGATAAGTAGGGTGGGAAATGATGAATTGGGGGGGAAAAAAAGAGAAATATGAAAGTTAATTAACTGCACATTTGGTAAGATTCGTCTTTTATTGTTTTAAAATAAACTATAAGGCACATCTTTCACATGCTATCTTGTATATACAGTAGATTGATTCAACCACAAATTGCAAACTACAATTTCCAATGTATTACTTTTGGAAGTGGAAAGCACAAAAGTTATAAAGCATTCAAAGCAAAACTTCACCGAAATGAAAAATTGCTTTATTACAATAAATCACAAACACACATTTTCTTCCATTGGTATGTCTTAATTTTTTTTTCTGGGTTACAACATCACAATACTCACTCTTCTCTTTGCAAGGGTGATGTCTGAAGGAGTGTCTGGGATGATGTAAGCAATGAAGAACTTGACTGATAGCACAATATGCTGCAAATCAAACACAGAATACAGTCAGTGTAAAAAAGAATATCAACTCAGTAAAAGATAATAACTTATACACATTTTTGCTTTTGTGCAACATGCTTTTTGGCAGATGCCAAAAAAAGTTTAATCCATGCAACTGAGGGTTATTACCTTGATTCCTAAATTTTTGGTTTTTTTGTCAATTTTTTGGTGATCATTCCTGAGAATTCATCTCACTCATTTCTGTTTTACTACCTACAGGTAAAGTTTAAATGAACAGAGATGCCACCAATATATCAATAAAAAGCCTGAAACACTACTATAAAAACCTGAAACTATCCTTACCTCCTTTCAAAAATGTGTTTTCTGGATGTTTCAGACCAAATCCAGCACTTTTAATTTGTCACATTTAAAAAAAAACACACACCTGAATTCAGGTTAAAACTGGAAAAGTGGCATCTCTGAATGAATGGATAAGAATTTGTTTTCTTACCTCAAAGCAAATGACGACCCAGAGTCTGTCAGCTGTAGTGAAGTCCTTTGACCATTGAGCAGTGAAGGCAATCAGGAAAGCATTGGTCACAACGCCGGCAAAGTTGAGGAAATCTAGAATGCTGAACCACATGCCTACAAGGGCAGAGAAAAACATCAGATTTAGAGCTGGCTGCAATACCCCTTAACTAGCTTTTTCTTACTTAAATGCAAAGTCGAAAATACTGACCCCTGAATGACAAAACTAAAAGTATCAGACTTTTATCATTTTGCAAACTCACATCTTCACCCTACATATGTATTCTCACACTCTCATACAGACACAAGATCAACAAGCTGATACTCATTACGTTTTCATAGAGCTGGATGTCTGTTTGGGTGCCTGCTACATAAAGACTGATAACAAACTATACAAATGAAGCTTCGGGGATTTCCCTTGATGGCAGGTAGTTATCAATTAGCTGAGCTCACCTATTCCACCTGCTATGAAGGCAATGGGTCGTCTGTTCATCCACAACATGCGTCGTGCATCCACTCTGATATCCACTAACAATACAAGGATGGCGATGAGTGGAGCCAGGGGTAAGGCACAAGAGAACAGCTGGAATGGAAATAAACAAACATATGAGTGTAGGGGTCCCAAAGTAAATCAAAACCAAATTAACCTATCAGGTAGTTTTTTAACGAAGGATGAAATCAATAAGTTTTGTAAACCAGGATAATCATAACTGCAAATACCGATCATGAGTGTCATTAGGATTTGTGGTAAAGTGTGTTGCTGAAGGACACAACGTACCATGAGGAATCCATATTGGATGGTCTTCTCAGTGAATTCTCCCAGGGTGAAGTTGCCCAGCTGTGGCTTGCTACCCTCCTTCCTTATGAAGTCACTTTTCTCCATCTTGCTGGCTTCAACGTCTGCCACTTTGTTCTTGCCTCCACAGCAGCATTTCTTCAATAGTTTCTTGAGCCAACTGAGTGATACAAAAGAATGATGAACTCACATAAGTTATAACAATTCAGTAAGCCAATACTACACTAGGTCTGGGCAATCTAGCATTACTGCCCACAAGACGGCTTGTACACTCATTTTTATTCAACTAAAGACGCAGTTTCCAAAACAAAATTGCACAAATGACTTACGGTAGGATGACGTCTTTCAGGAATTTGGGAAAAGGCTTGACGATCATCAGGACAAAGACCTGTAGTGATAGCAGCGGCATGCAGACGTTTTCATCGCCACAGCTGTCTTCATATTTCTCACCAAGGTATAAGATACCATCCTTGGCAGTCAACTGCAAAAAAATAATGAGCAGGTATCTCAATCAATACACATCCCTGCAGTATGATTGCTCAATACAAATACATGCATGATCATTTGGACCACTACACTTAAATTACAAATTTGTACAAACAACAAAATTGGAGTGACTCAAGGAATCAAACTGAGACGTTCAAGGAAGGGTGGCTGCAACTCAAAATTTAAATAATGACTGTTGAGTGGCTGAGGATATATCACATGACTTTCTTATTTTAATAATCCGTTTAAGTTTTTTTCTAAGCTAAGTTTAATCCTAAGAATTGTGCAAAAGAGATGTTGTTTCAAACAGCAAGAAATATTGTGGGTTAGACTGTTAGAAACAACAAGACACAGTGTTAATGACAACATTTTCTGCAAGGAGCCACTAAAACAAAATACGTTTCAGGGAATAATTTTCTACTTACTCCTCTGAAGAATGCAATGTAGAAGAGAGAGGCGTAGCTGTTGACAAACTGGAAGGCGAAGAGCTTGAGGATTAGAGCGTCGTCATACTGGCTCTGGGTCCGATGATTCTCTGGTGACGAATCAACCAATAAATGCTTCATTAATTTATGGTATCCAAGATACACAAACTGTTGTGTTCCGAAAATAAATCGCAAGTTTCAAATACGGTGCTGTTCCCCGCATATTTTAAGCGGTCACATTAAGTCCCTTCAGAAATATTTGGAATAAAACTTGACACTCCTAAAGCCGTAACTTCAATTCAACAAGTTCAAGGTGGAAATGTTTAAAGAGTTATCTTAAAGCAACACACTCTCCACTCAGGAAGTGTGAACTTTAAACCATTTCCCCCCCATTTTTAGTGGCTCAAACATATCAATTTGAAAGAAATCAAAATCAAAGACAGATGTCCATTGACTTACCCCAATCTGTCAACTTGTATGCAATGTAATCATACACCTGTAAGAAAAATAAATAAATGGGTAAAAAATTAATGAGCATTTACCATCAACTCTAAGAATACCCCAGTTGTTTATTGAACAATAATGAAGATAAACAATGTCAATCAATCAATCAATCAATCAATCAAATCTTTAATTTTTCCCAACACATACATGTACATATATTACTTAACATTTGAATTATTGTGTATGGATGCATGGAGAAAACAATCACTTACTCTTCCCAAGATCATGATGGAGATGGAGTTAAGGAGTGTGGCTGCTACCGTGGATAATAAGACTCTCTGCAGAGAAGAGGCGTCTGCGAGTAAGGCTCCAATGATGACACGATAGATGATGACACCAAGAACGCTGGCTATGACCAATAGGGCCTAGTCACAAAGATAAGACAGTCATAATAGAAAGATCAGGTAAATCTCTTAATATCAGTGTTGTTATTGTGTCCATCGCAATTCCAAACAAATCCTCGCAAGTCATTCAGTCCCAAGTCAACTCACAAGCTATTCAAATGAATCTTGACAAAGACACCCCTTCCTTACTGTTCATCCACTGTTACTTGTGGCTGGACTTGTCAAGTGATTTAATTGTGACTGGACTTTTGATGGACTTACAATGGACTCAACTTCAACACTGCTTAACATCAATCCCTGATAAACATTCATGGCTGAATGTGGACATTAATGTAAGATTTGGAATGTATTTTATCTGAGCCATGTGATTTTTATGTAGACATAGAGTGGGGTATCTTACCATGAAGATGAGAATGCCGAAAGACGTCATGAACTTGAGGAACTGCTTGTAGAATGGGTAATACCAATCTGGGAGGTCTGAAACAGGATCCTGCGGACAAATCAAAATATCATTTAGCAAAAGTCATAGCCTCGCTCCTTGACAAGAAAGTGATTAAATCAGTTCACCGTAATCTATTGTAGAATGCAAATGTAACCTGGAAAAACGACACACCTGGGGCCACTACTACAACTAAACTAAACTTGGGATCTTTGAAGGGAAAAGTTGCGAGGAGATTGAATTAATAGGGACAAGGGACACAAATTCTAGATTTCGAACAAAAAGGACAAAAAGGATTTATTTACAAGAACTTTCAAAATGACCAGATAATTAAAACCAAGACCACGAAAATCAAGACTAAGAGCAAAGACTAACCCCTAAAACCAACAACTTAAAGAAACATAAAGAAACTTAAACCCTAAAACCAAAACTCAAACCAAAAACCAACACAGTGTGAATGAATGAACCTTTAGAAAATACACTTTGGCAGAAAATCTGTAAACAAGAAAATACAAAAAGAGAAAACATATAAGAAAATGATCTAATGAATATTCAGCACAATAACCATCTCTCTTGTACTAAGGAAGTGGGAGACGCTAATCCCCTAACTCAAGGATTAACATATGTCATAAAATAAGGCCAGTAGCACCATATGAAAGGCCATGTGAGTTAAATGAGAACAAAGAAAATGCTATGAAAAGCTAAAGCACATTGGAAGAATTTAAGAAAATCTCTAAATCTAATACTAAGAAAATGTACAAGAAAAACATGAAAATCTAGAATGCAAATGAACTTTCAACCTTTCTTAGTAATAAAACAAGGCCAAAAAATCTATCCTTAAGTAAAACCAAGGTTAATAAAAATAACAGAACTAACAAAAACTTTTCTCTAAGAACTCAAGAAGCAACTTGTTGAAAAACTAAATCTTTCTCAAAGTAGGATAAACCAACCAACTATTGAACCATCATAAAAGAAGCAAAAACTTATGTTTTCAGCAAAAATAAGGTAAAAAGGACAAGGTATAAACTTCAAAACTGAAACTAAGTGCCAAAGATCTAAACTGACCAGAGTCAACTTTTACTTTAACTATAAAAAACTAGCAAACTTTCAAAAGAAAACTGAAATAAAGTTCTAAAAATAATTATACATGATAAAAAGAGGACACATTTGAGACAATGGAAAACTCACCAAATGACTCGAACAGACAGAGCTCAAACAGGACAGGCTCTCCAGTCAGGAGGAACATAAAATACCGGTATATATACTAAACTATGAAGTTGTCTCTGTTGGTCTGCTGGTTGCCATGGTTGAACTAAAGTGTGGCTGGACCATGTGGCAGCTTATATAGGGGGAACATGTGGGCTAAAGTAAACAACCAGGGGGAAACACTACCAACAAAAAGGGGGGGGGGGATCTTAAGTACAACTAAAATGATTTCTTTTTTTCTAAGGGGAGCTACCCCTATTTAATACACTATAAATACATGAAAAATATACAAGATAAATTTAGCCCTGCCACAAAAGCGGCAGCTTACAATTTCAACTTGAAAATCAAGCAAGTTACTGTTATACCCAACATATCAGAAATTGCTAAAACACTTTTAAAATAAAAATTAATTATTACCTCTCGTTCTTTTGTTCCGTAAAATTCCGGGCGATCTGGCTCGGAAAAATGGTAGGTGTCAACATCCCATTCATAGGCCAAGCGAGCATGCGTCCGCTTCCAGGACTCTTGAAAAATGGTTCCTGATGGAGTAAAATCACAATTCAAGGATAATTGATTGAACAAAGTTACTTACTCGAACTATACACTTACCTCATTTATGATCCTTAGAAGACATATTTTAGAGTGACTCTAAATTTCATCTTTGTAAGTTTCATTCCTTCTTGTGTCTATAAATAAATGTTGCTCAAAAATTGCTTGATCTTGTATTGTCAAGACACTAATTGTGTGTAACTTTGAATTTTGAGCAAAGTGAAGATTTCTACTCACCCCAAAGACATATGACGAGAGCAAAGTACGGTGTGACAGCTGAGTCAAAGGACGTCTGAAAGACTTCTAGAATCTCAAGAGATTTATCTGCAATGCTGGGTGGAAAAGAAATAAGCATTGATTCAACTGATGTCCATTATGGTCTATTGAAAAATTGGACTGTTGAAAGGTTAAGAGGCAATCTGGGATGGGGCCAAGAGGTGTATTAGCTGAAATCATTTAAGAAATACTGAGCAAGGGTAAATAAGACAATGACAAGACTTAAGGGTCTCATAGTGATGCCTTTGAATTGGTGTTGGATATCTTACCCACTAAACAAGGAATCTTCCTCTTGTGCCTCTGCAGTCAGGTTCTGGTAGAGTAACTTATCTTCAGTCCTGTTATACAAGGTGATGTTCTGTCTGAGTTCAGCAATCAAGTCATCTCGCTGCTGGGCCAGATCAGCTAAACCTTCGTTCAATTCTATGTTATCCTTGACGCTACAAAGTACAACCAAACGATCGTTGTTAAATAAACATTCATAGATGTGAGAAATTAAAAGAGGAAAACTTGGATATTTGGATTCCTACAGCAATTAAGAAATTCAAGTTTCTTGACGTAAATTAACACCAAAAAAAATATTTTCAAACCAATCGCTGCACAATAAACTCTCTATTTCTTTCATTGGAAATACCGTTCCGAAGACAATTCTCCAACAAAAATTAATTCTTGAAGGAAGAATATCTAACCTGAGATATAAACCATACGCCCAGATAGCGATGCCTAGTAGCATAGGTAGCCACAGGAGGCTAGCCATCTCACCAGCCCAGCCAAAGTAGAAGGCAATCTTCTCTCCAAAGTAGTTACGAATCTTCCACAGAGGTTGAAATTTCCAGGATCGGCACCAGGTCCTGTGTAATGCCTGCAAGTGGAATGGAGAAGATTCTTGATTTCACTTTCAGTCAAGTCATTAATTTTAAGAAAGACATCTGCTCAAGAAAACAAATAGCGAGAAATCCTGGACAAATTGACAGAAAAGTCCATTTTCAATGGACCACTTACGCTTCTTGCCTCACGGCCCTCATTTGCATACACTATCACTTTCGGTTGAAAAGGTCTATGGTGTGATGAGATAAAGTTGGTCATGAATATTCACAAGATAATTACTTCTATGACATTCATAAGATGACAATGACTTATGTCAGTATTGACGAGGTGACCAATGAATATTCAAGAGATCACTTTCATTATGAATTTTCAAGAGATGACTACCATGAATACTCAAGTATGGTTATTACCATGAATATTCAAGAGATGATAATGAGTTACTGACCTCTCTGGGGTCAGCCGTGGGGTCAAAGTCACCCCTCTCCCTGCTCAGGGTTCTTTGTATCTCTCTCGTCTCATCATCCTCCTCTAGTTCGTAAGGAGACTCCTCATGCATGATGAAGCGGTCTGTGTAAACCTTCTTCATCAGCATGAATGGCAGACCTGTCATGGGATTAAACGTTATATCAGCTTAATTTAAAAATGTACTGACACAGGGGTTGCAGTACCTCATTCAAAATGTTCTTGAGATCAGGCTTGTTTGAACTTTTTATATGAACAAAATTATCAACAATGTTGTTAGCAAAACAGCTATTTAAAAGTCAACCCCCCCAAAACAAAAATTGGAATGAATAAATTTAACAGAAAACAAACACATTATCAAATCATGAACTTAAACAATTCATGTATAAGTACTTTACGACCGTTGTATCTGAACAAACACAAGAAAACATGATTTAGTTGAAACTGTGAACAAGTCAATTGGGTTGAACACCTAGATAAAAACAGGGGAACATTTTAACGGTATTCATTATTAGAACAAAGTCATGCAAATAATAAGAAATATTTTATGAATAAAATTACCATTCTATAATCTTTACACAGCTTGCTGTTAGGCTTTGCATTAGAGGAATCATTTAAAATATGCCTGAAAACAAACATCCTATGAATTCAATTTCAAAACATGTAAAGAACAGAGTTTGTTTTGACAAATGTGCATGCCATATCTACCTCTGCTAAGTCCTGGCCTCAAACGTGATCTTGCTGTCAAAAGTATTCACTTAAATTGTTAGCCTCATAAAATATCTTTTTAATGGAAACGTCACTTTATTTACCAAAGCCCAACTAGTATTCCGTCCAGCTCTTTCAAATCTTGTTCTAAAGTACTCCTTATAGTAGTTATACTTTTCATATTTTTATTATTCTAAGCCACCTTTTGTAAGTAATTCAAATTTAGCACACTGCAGATATCAAGCAGCTTCATTTCACTCGTATGTGAAATGGATGGAGTTAGAACGCTACTTCGTGAACCACGAGCAATTGGGACTCGGTGATGCTTAAACTTCAATAAATGCCGACAAAATATCACTGGGTTGGTTGGCCTCTCCTTGGATAACTACTCATGGTAGCATCTCTTGCTGCTCTGTACAAGACACAAGACAGTTTGCAGATGTTTATCTTGATTACCTTTTCTTCTCATTGAGTCCCTGAAGTCACTGTCTTTGTCTCCCTTCTCTCGCACATCAATGTTGATCAAGATGTTATGAACCTAGGCGAAAAGACAATCAAATGGTTAAGAGCATTGAATTTGAGAACAAAATCTCAACCTTACTTGGGTAGAACACAAATTTCCCCCAAGCGGTGCAAATGTCTTAACTACTAAATCAGCAAAACTGACAAAATTCATTTGTCAGCCACCTCTTCTTCAAAATCTCTGGTTACAGCTTTGTTAGATAGGTAACACCAAAATATGGACTGCTTTATATATATGTATGCATAAACCTACCAGGAGTGAACGTAACGCTGGCGAGAAGAATGTGTCTGGTTTGTCAATTCCTTTGAATACTGCCCTCTTTTGAACCACGAAGGGCGCGCTGATAAAGTCAACTGAAAAGAAAGAGAGGAAAGTGGTAAATATCTACATTTTCTTTGCTCAAAGTTTACACTCTGTCTACAGAATAAAATTTACAATTTTAATCCTCGATCTGTGAAATCAGCAAAATTATCTTTAAGTAACAAAACGTGTTTTGTGGTTTTTGAAATTTGATTGTCGCAGTCATTCCTACCTTCATTATCTGTTATAAACAGTGCCTTGAGTTTGTCAAAACATCCGCTGGGTTCCTTCTTGGGAATTGCAGCCTGTTGGAAAATAATAAGATACATGTACTTATAACGAAATGTTGGAAGAAAACATTCAACAAAATAAGACTAAAACTTCAATCAAAAGAAACTACATACATGTACATGTATTCTCAGAAAAGAGAGTTTCTAATTAGTCAGCCTAAAAGCTGTCTTCATGACGGGCTAGTTTTTGTCTTCTTTCGCAATTTGTAAACAAAAGCATTCCAAATACGGCCTCAATAGACCGTTTCAAGGATACCGCCAACTTCGCAATCATGAGGTTGTTATCCGACAGTCTATTATTATTCTCACCCCTTCAAGAGGCATTTCCAAGTTAACGTCCTCAGCCTCATGGCACATTCTACTGAACGGACAGTGAATCAAGACGTAAATCTTCTCTCCCATGTCTCTCTCACGAATCTCCAGTCCTTCCTGTTCCCTGGCTGCATGATGGAATCTCCGCCTCAGTTCATTCCTTTTCTTAAAATCCTCAATGTCATCATCATCCTTAAAGTCACTTTGGTCCTCCTTGGGGTAGACCAGGATATAGTCGATTCTCTTGGGGATGATGGTTTGCGTCGCTGTGTTGGCTTTGCAGGGTGATTTCTTGTCCTTGCGTTTCTTCTTCCGCTTCTTGGATTTGTGTTCCGATGTGCCGTTCTGGTCAAATGAAGGCAGTGGGCGAAGTTTGAGTGGTTTACCACCGTACGTGTCATCGTAATCTGGATACGATTCATCCATTGTTGGTTACCTGAAGAGAACATGTAGTAAGTATTACTAGTACTAGTAGGAATGTTGTTGTTAATCGTTATTAAAAATGTGTTGTCTATGACTATGGAATAAAGTAATTAGGCCTAATCATTACATGTCATGGAAGAAAGTCAGAATTAAACTTTAAAGACAGAAACCCATGCAATTTTACTGCGTGGAAAAAAACATATCATCAGACCTAAAGCTACGCAGTCCTTTTTCTACGCATTTAGGCTTCAATTTGTATGTGACAATGTATGCGCGTATGCAAGCGTTTAATACCTGCGTAATATTCAATTTGCATTGGACAACGCGCGCGCGTTGCAAGAGTTACTTTAATAGACCGCTTGCAGACACGATCGATAATTGACGCGCGAAGGTGCAAACGCCATGTTGTGGGACAAAATGTGCATGGATAGATATACGCTTGTCCCACAACATGGCGTCGCGCGCCTTCGCGCGTCGATTATCGAACGCGTATGCAAGCGGTCTATACCTGCGCCGCGCCGATTATCATATGGTGACTCGAGTCGAGGAAAAGGGTTTTAGGCCTAAATTGAACATGTTGAACCACAGTCAGTTTACATGGTTTACAAGTACAACTTTACCCCGAAAAAAGCCCAGTTAAAACAAGAGAAGCAATATTTAGGGCACAGGGAAGATAAATGCCAATTAAAAGGTTATCATGCCATCATTAACAATAACATACCTGCTGAAAATCATTTAGCAAATCAATTTATTTACCGTGCAACTATCTGAAGCGCTGTTTTTATTGTAATCATTATGTGACGTTGACATCAAATCTTGTTGCTAGGAGACGGTTAATTGATCTGTTTTATTTTGACAATTTCGTTTACTTGCCTATCATAAAATAAAAAATAAGTTAGATTTTACTAACACGTTTTTTTCATAAATGTAGAAAAAACGTTGTAATTATTATTTAATAAGTAACCAATTAACCCCAACTGTGACAAATTTTAAGTTTATTATTCATATTTACTAAAACCACTAGTCTCGGCGTCGGCTCGTTGGTCTAGCGGTATGATTCTCGCTTCGGGTGCGAGAGGTCCCGGGTTCAATTCCCGGACGGGCCCAGGTTTATTTTTTTCACATTTTTACTTTTTTCCCCTCGGAATATTCATCCATTAACGAACTATCCTGTCAGTGGATTCCATTTTTGTAATTGATGGAAAGATCAAAAGTTTTATTTGTTACAAACCATTCATAAACATTCATTTACATTTTTAAATGACAATCCCGGGCCGCGCCCACACAGTACAGCTGCACATCATTGCAATAGTCGGAGTGTTTGTGTAGCGCGCCCTCTTTAGTAAGAAATAATTGTTGCATGACGATAAAATATGGACTGTCCTTCACACACACTGCAATTTCCTTACATTATATTACATTCATTCTTTGGCGGTTCCTGTCAATTTTCCACAGTTTCGTGTCAAATACCATATTACAGGAAATTTCAATGCAATACAATGTGTTTATCTTGAGTTCCCGTTTTCACAATAACTGTGTTAGCATCTCAAATGGCCAGACAACGGAGCGCGGTGAGCAGTGTTCGTGTTATTATTATTACATTCATTCTTTAGCGGTTCCTGTCAATTTTCCACAGTTTCGTGTCAAATATCATGGCAAAATATTACAGGAAATTTCATTGCAATACAATGTGTTTATCTTGAGTTCCCGTATTCACAATAACTGTGTTAATATCTCAAATGGCCAGACGACGGAGCGCGGTGAGCAGTGTTTGTGTAGCGCGCCCTCTTTTGGAAGAAATTGTTGCATGACGATACAATACAATTTTAAATGATCGTTGCACGGCTCAATGAACAGCGCCCTCTATATCGGTGTAAGTAAATTTGATACTTTTGTAGTGATCATCCCCTGACGTAATAATACAAAAGATGAGGTATTCTAACTGGGAATTGAAAAAAAAAGTCTCACGATAAAAGTATTTCAATTTGCTTTTCATTCGATAATAACGTACATACTTAGAGCAATTTTACCGAAAAAGGTGACCTGATATTTTATTTCTAGAGCTAAAAAGCACCTTTGTGTCGCCTACTCTGATAATTATTTGACCTCCAAGTTCATTTTGAAGTGTGTTACAGGGTGTCTAGTAGAATCTAAAGAGGAGTGGTTGAATCATATGACCGTCACACTCGACCATGAACCCTGCCAGCTCTCATTCATATATCCCGTCAATTAGTGAGGAAGAATTATAGGGGGAGTACACGGCCAGCCAGCAGGAATGCGCGGTCTGGAACGCAACAGGTGATCGAGCCACAAGCACCGCAGGCCGGCCAGGGCTCCGGACTTGTTTAACGGCCCAAGTTTGCGTACATACTTTTCTGCTGTTTTGGCCTTTTTATTAATACCATCCTAGACGCACCCCCTTTGGGGGGGGGGGACCCAATTTGAAGTGCCTTTCACTTTTCAAAGACACAAAATGCAGTCGGTTTTTTTCAGAGATAGGCCTACTTTGCGTAGGTGCACTCTGTACTTAAAGGGAATATACATCATTTGCTTTTGCTGTAATTTTCAGAAATGGGTGGAATTGGGGGGTTGAAAATATATAGCAAATATAGTTACACTGACTTTTTGAGGTTTTGGGTTCGAAAATGCTATAAAAACCAAGAAAAACAATCATTTTCCTGTAGTCTGGTTCCCTGACTCCATTTAAGAAGAAACACAGCAGTTTACATACATTGGGGAATTGTAAGGTCAGGGAACCAGTCTAGCTGGCTTGTACCCGTTCATAGGTGTGTAATCGATTGCAAACAAGTGCGATGGTCAACTTGGGCCAGTATTTGAAAAAAAAGCCAGTTTTTTCCAACGCTGGTCGGCCGATCGGCGTGGGAAATTGATACAAAAATACCACTTTTCTTGAAAATGACAGTATACCAGGTGCCATGATTTTACAGGATGCTTTACACTGTTATTCACTAACAGTCCAGCAAGGTATTTCAAAATGATTTGGTAGTTTTATTTGTTGATGTTTGCAAATGTTGTATTTTCCCTTTAAAATCGTGTTGGCCTAACTTTTTTTTTCTTTAAGTAAAAGGCCAAAAACACGTCACCTGGTTGCAAGGATAGGCCTATCGACGGTGTTTTCACGAAAACCTGCACAATCGATAATTTTTGATTTTGAGTTTTGCTGGCCAATTTATTGCATTAAGTCTTGACAAAAAGAAGAAATATTGTTTACTTTACTTTACTGTAATTATCGTAAACAAACATTTTGACAAAAAGCCTGAAATGCAACAAAACCTGTATAAATTTGTTCAGAAACTCTCCCTTTTGTTGCAGCCAGTGGTGCATTTTGCTCAATTGACTGGGAACCAACGGTTATTTATCCCTCAGTCTTAAGTTCATAAACAAAACATTTGATTTATAAAAGCGAGCCAATCTCCAAAAAGACACCCACATCGTGCTAATGAGAATTCCAGAAAACCTCAGTGGAAAATAGAATCAAAAGCTCAACAGAAAGGCTCCTATTTAGTGAAATTTTCTTGCTGTCGTAAATTACAGAACAGCCTTGGTCACTTTGGAATACAAGCACGGTCGTACCTTCACGTCACCGTGGGCGCGTAGAGCTGCTGGGCGGTGAGACAAGCAGAGGGCGGCGGGCGACGTGACTGTTTCCTGGGCAGAGGCGTCTCTGTTCCTGGGAGGGGAATGCCAACAGTGAAGAAAAAGGCACGGTGAAAAGTTTTGATTAAAAAGAAAGCATTGATAGGCTTTAACGGCTCTTTGCTTTTATAAGTTTAATTATTTGTAGTGATCTGCATGTTTGTTATTTTGTCCAATATGTTTCATGCTTTAGATAATCGTGCAAGCCTTACTTAACCCAAGTAGAGGATTTGCAGTCTTCCCGTCATTTTAGCTTTAATTTTTAGTATAGAGGCCCTAATTAGTTTATTGCTACAAATTTGCTTCTATTTGGATTAAGTTTCTTACTTGTAGTCATTAGTTTTATTGATGATTAAATCAAAGTATATGATAGTAACTCTGGCGCCGACTGACAAAGATACATTTCGTCACTAAGTTGATTTCACTTTTAGCTCAAGCCAAACATTCTTCAGGATAGTTAGTGAATTCCTCACTCCGGACCACCAATAAGACGATGGCCCCTTGTTGACCGATGTTTGGATGACTTATGGATACTAAAAGTACCGCACTATGAGCATCACTTGGAGTGAGTTATAGCATCGAATTAAGCCCAAAGAGTCTGGTAAACAAAACACCATCCAACCAAAAACTATAGTCAGCTCACTTTTCCATGTTTTCCCCCCACTGATTTCCTGTCTTGGCCGGTTTTCCGTGCGTGATGTACCCACCACGAGCCGTGCGCTCCGTGCCGAGGCCTTGAGCCTCGGCGGAGAGGTCGGCGGTAGATGACCGTCAATCACTCGCTAAAAAGATGGATTCTTGCTTGGCACCTTGGTCAATTTGGGAAAAAAGCCCCAAATTTCATGATATGAAATCAACGCCATATATTCGTTGATTTTCTCTTGAAAAACAAAAGCCAACACTACGACCATTAACTTGCAACATATTTTAAAACAATTAACACAAGTTAAGATACCAAAAATGTCGGGTGAGATCTCATATTTTTTTGGGTACAAATCAGGAAGAATGTGCCAGTAGTAGGCCGAAGTAAAAACATAACATGTATCCTAAACAATGCACGTATGCCGAATAGATAGGGAAAATTGTACGTTGTCAAAGAAAAGGAATAATAATTTTTGTAATATCATGTAAAAAGAGTGAATGTCTTCTGTAACTCATCTTGCAATTGTCATTTACTTCAAAAAATCTGATGAAAGTCAGGATATATTAGTTCGTAGAATGTTACCAAATACCATATGCAAACAACCTGCGCCAGTAGTTACTGAAGTACAGGGGTTTATAACAGTCCCAGCGGACACGGTTGCCAAATTGAACGGGGACAACGCGTGAATCTTCCCTGTCCCATGTTACCTATTGAATCCCGGTGGTACCCAATTTCGCGCATGTTCTTTGTCTTACTCGAGTGAAAAATGAATAGAAAGTACAAATATGTTACAATGGTGTCCCAAGAAAGCCATAAATAACATTTGTGAACTTCGAGAATCGCACTTTGTTTTCCCAACAAGAGCTATCGCTTAAAGAATGGTATCATCTTCATCAACTAGTGGTGTCATGGAACAGAGAAACGTCGTGGTGGTTGAAGATTACACCACAAAAAAACAAGGACTTTAAGATAATTTCTTCTATAAGAAGGCCATCTGGATATCTGGATATAAGTTTTTGTACGGCATTGGTCACTAGTGACTATCATCGACTCAGGAAAATAATGCACAGTCTGAGCCTCACAAAAACACCAAATGGCAAATTACTTATCAGTTCAATTAATTATGACATTAAATATCATATAATTCACTTTATACATGCTTATACACGAAAATGTTGCACTATTGAGTGGAAAACGTCAGAAGTCAACGCATACACATTTAACATTTACCTCAAGAAACAAGCCAAACGTGTCAAGATATACGCTGAATTTAAATTTAACAAATGAGTCAAATTAGTCACATTCTGCATAAAGCCTACGGATGCCTTGTGCGACACCTCAAAAATGACTCCACATAAGCTGAAATAACAACTAACAAATTAAATCTATGTATTTGTGAGCTTCCAATAAAATAATGCAGCTACTTTAAACAGAAATAAAAGATTTTTTTTGGGGGGGGGGGGCGGAGGCGCCCCCAAAGGAAATGATGACTTTGCGTTTGGTCTGAAGCAGTCTGACCCTCGATTATAAGTCGCGACAGACGCGGATACGTCTCTACCTGTCATATTCCAAGATTTACGACGCAAGACACAGAATCTGATACCTATCGCTGAGCCCCCAAAAAGAAACGGCTTTAAAGTTTTTAAAAAAGAAGAAAAAGTGACATTTTGTATTGAGTGCGGTAACATACTTTTATATGCCCAAGCCTTAATATTATAGGTCTCCGTTCCTGTCTGAAACTGGGCCTGTATGTTATGCATTATGAATGAACGTGCGTGGTCTGAGCGAAGTAATCGACAAACCATGTTAAAACATCCATGCTAACTCTTCACTCTGAACAATTAAAAGCTAGAGTCTTGAGCCACCAATGAAGACGTTCGTGATTTGATGTCAGGGGTAGTATGGTATGAGAACAGAACCGGCTCGAATGATCAGAGCCTAGCTGCAGTCTGTGTATTCAGAGAGAAGAAAGGACTGGACACTTGACTCACGAAGTTTGTTCAGCGTGACAATGATGCTTTGGTCAAAGCATCAGTTGCTCTTTGCTTTTACGAGACCACCTATGGTCCAAACATGAGGATCTTAAAGACAACAGATGATGTGGTAATCACTCCCTAGGGAGAAGATGTAATTGTCGTCTGTCGCCAGCCCACGGTTCCTCTGTCGTGCCGTCGCCCCTCACCTTACAGCCTTTCATTGGATGGAGTGTGGATCTAAACAGATCAATAGTCCCAGACAGAGAGAATGGGAGGGCCGGGTGATTAAGTCAGGGTATAATTATGGATTAACTGTGTCTTGTTCCTATCTTTTTCAACTGGTGCCTATCCGTCCCCGACCCAGTTGGTTTCCAAAGAAAGGGTTTATTTTATCCGGCGCAAAATAGCTCCCTGGTAAAAACATGGAGGAATTCGTTCTTATTCCTCCGTGGTCATGATGGTTAAAGTTAAGGCAGAAAGGCCCAGCATTAAGTCTTTTAATATACACTTCATATTATCAAACCCACAAATAAAGGCGATTACGTACTATATTAGCTTAAGTATGATTCAAAACAAATCCAACAATTTTGACATGAATCTTAATTTATTTTCTGACCTTAATACTGTACGATATAGTTGCGGGATTTACAAATATAGCTTTATTGTTTTCATATATCGTGCGGGTATCCAACTTTTTGTGGCGGGCCCGGTACCTGTTTAACTTCATGTTAATTTACTCAATGTCCATTCAGTCACCAGCATATCCGTTACTATAGCCACGTTCTCCACAAATTGACACAACAACGTCTGAACTGTGCATGTATACATGACTGTAAGGAGGTGACATGCCTGAACACCGAGCGTCTTAGAATGCACTTCATGAGGACAGGAGTAAGCGAGACATCCTTGAGGCCATGTCGGCCCGTCACCGATCGGTGGGAGGAGCCGGTTGATCGCTCGGTTGAGATTGCATCTCGTCTGTGAACGCCCCAAGTCACATGACAAGTGTCCATTACAGATTACGGCACGAACCCTAAGTTGCCGACAACCACAGGCGACCGATTTGAATTGGTGTCGTCACTCCGTGAAATCTACTTGAAGATGACGGCAATGCGCGAGACTCGCCAGAAGCTGTAGATGTGTCGTCGTGAGCAGATGAAACAATCACATTCAGTCCACCTTGGTGCAGTTTTTCTGCAGCAAAAAGTTTGTCGTGCCGTTGTGAGGTTTTCAATTGCAGGCGAGAACGAGACGCTTTTGTTTTTGTTATCGTTGCACATAACAACACACAAATCAAGCCAGACAACCGTTTGACCTTTGAGGAAGTTACCGACTCGTGCGACGATCATTTCGCTTAATTGGAGGCAGCGATTGCGCGGCGTTATACGCGTATCAGGTTACTCGTAAGGTGAGGATACAGCGAGTGACACGGGGTAAACCACGCTGTTCCACTCGCGCTGTCGAACCAGAGAAGACGTCTAAGCAAACAAGACAGGACTCCTCCGAGAAAGTGGCCACAGCTCAGTGTGCTACTGAACTCGTGAGATGCTGGACACTATGAGCATGCTGAGCGAGTACCCGCCAGTGCCTGTCAGCTTACAACGGCCACAAGATGAACACTTGTACCGCCATCATAACGGCCATGGCAGGTGTCCCTCCATCCCTGAGCACGATAAGGGTTACTACCACGGGCTTCTACTCAGCCCAGCCGTGGCAGCTACCGGTGAGATGCCGCACGAGTACGGTAGTCCAATCCATCACCAGTCATTCTCACCGTGCTCCCAAACTTTCCAAGATCAAATCACCACCGCAGTTAACAACAACTGTGGCAGTCCGAACATCGACTGCCAGTCAGCACCGTTGAATTCCTGCGATGAGCGGAGCAGTCCTCCGGGTCCGCGGCGGTTCGGTAAGCGGCGATGCCCCACTAATAGCAACCGTAAAGAACGGCGAAGGACGCTTAGTATCAACTCGGCATTTGCCGATTTGCGGGAGTGTATACCCAACGTCCCAGCAGACACGAAACTCTCCAAGATTAAGACTTTGAGACTAGCCACCAGTTATATAGCGTACTTGTCGGAGGTTCTGGCTAAAGATGACGGGATTGGACCCGTCGACACGGCTAGTTTCAAGGCGGAACTCCTGAAGATTGAAGACCGGGAGAGACGGAAGAAGGCCGTGGACCGAGAAATGGTAAGAAATCGGGCTGTTTTCTTTAACTGGTTGAATCATTCTGAATAAAATGTACATCAGATTGTCAGCTGTACAACACTACAACTTGAAATCTAACTTTTAAATCTAACTGATATTCCCTGCAGTTAAAAGCGTAAATTTCTCGAAAATCTTGTAAACATGGTAAATGAACCTTTTTAACTTAAAGCGACAACCTGCCTGTGCCGATTCACTGAACAAAGATTTGTTGTCATGGTTGTGCATATTAATTATAAAATTATTAGTTTACATTTGCAATATTGATAAGAATGGAGTGAGAGATTATTGTTTTTATCGTTATAGTAAATTATATGAGCAAAGAATGAGCTAAAATTAATATAAATGGATTTCCTTAAAGCTTCGTAAAAGAATTACAGTTGTACCAAATCGAGACAACTAAACGAGATTGGTCGAAACAATCATTTGTGATATTGCTGACATTAATATGTATCGGTATCATAAATTACATAACACGCCAAAACTCAAAGTGAGCCTCCAATGAATTATGTTATGTCCCTCTTCTTTTATCAAAACGCAGTTGCTGAGCGACTGAGGTTACGTAACTATGTCATGACATATAGGTGATGATTAAAGTCATGAAAATAGAGCTCACATTGGAAAAGATCAATGCTTTTTAACACCGTACATCAGCATAGTAAACACATTCGAAAGTCATGGTGAAAGACCGAGCCTTTTATATTATTACTTACAAATTCAAGCAAACGACTAAAAAAGTTGTTTTTGCGACGATTATTATTTTCATCGACTCTATGTCAATCATATAAACACACGATTTTGGTTTAAAGAGTTTCTGAGTTAGCATCATGGGTTTAACCATTTCGTTATCACCAGACAAGATCAGTGACATGCACAGTCATCGAACTCCCGAATCTATCACTTTGAAGAAACTCTTCCATGAATTATCTTGACATGCCACAGATAGTCCGCATGTGACAGATGATTCCAAATGTCACACAACATTGGAATCTTCTTTTGCTAACCAAAGCAGACCTCGTACACCGCGAGTCATTTCTCGCACATCGAGCATGAGAAATGAATACAGTTGTCCAATGAGTGGACATTTAGAATTTCCTTTTCTCAACTGGCATAACAAACTAGCAGATATGTCTAAGCGTGTATTTCATGAGTCCAATTTGATGACAATACCTTCAGCTGTTGTGTTGGTTATGGTATTTGGATTTAAGAAGGGAATTTCGAAATAATGAACATTTATAACGTCCAAAAAAAAACGGTCAATGCCCGTGTATGCACCTACTTTCCCGTTATTCTAAACTGAAGATTGCAGTAAAAAGTACATCTAGATATTTCTTGGTGTGAAACTATTTGCACGATAAGTTTAAGATCAAATGTAAATCTAGCGCCATTTCATTATTAGAAAATAAAGTAATGTGCGTGATCTTTACTGAAGAAAACCCGTATTTTGAAATAAAGACTTTATCGGTAAGTGTCTTACTGAAAAACCCAATTACCCGACTATCTATAGTGTCATTTAGTTTGTTAAACCAACTAGAATCATATTATTACCTAAATTAATGGCGTGCATGAACGATCAGCTGTGACGTGGCGTATAATGTGGCGTGCACACGCGTATACTTGCATCCATTTTCAAAACAAATTGGAATATAAATCCATCTTTTCCCCAAAATATGCGGAAAAAAGTCACACCGTAGATCAAGCTTTGCCAAAACAAACAGATTGCATTGGTGTTACGCAGCCCAATGCGGCCTAGGGGATCGTTGCCGTTAGATTGTCTCATTTCTCGGCAAACTGCCGGCACACGACGCACGGCTCGCGAGCGCGGGGCTCACAGCGCTCATCCGCCGTATCAACACACCGTCCTACCCGCTAGGGAGGATCGGTTATGATGATACATTACACGCTTCATTATTTTAACCCTCAGGCTGTGAAGCTGTTATTACTAGCGTGTACGGTGGGATTGGCAGTAGGCCTACTTTTCTGATGATTCAACAGGGGCAAATTATATACACTCAATAGTGTGACATCTTTAAAGACTAGAAAAAAGACGTGTTGTTGAAATTTTGGCGATTTCAGTACCATTGTTGGAAATATACAAATCGAAGTTCCATGTTGTCTTGTATGAAAAGAATAAAACCATTCTAACGATGTTGAAACTCGGTGGCATATATTTAAAAAAAAAAAAAAAAAAAAAAAAAAAACATAACAGGGAACAAGACCTATATCATGCCTAACATATGTTACATTACTAGCATGGTGCCGACATGCTCGAGTTGTATTTAGTAATGAGCCCTAACAGTACCGAATTCTTCAATGTTAATATCATTTTCCACACACCCTAGGGGGTTATGGTTGTGTGACGACAATACTATTCAACTTCGCTGCCGCAGATATCAGATGTCAGTGTGTGGGACGTTTCTAATATTTCGCATCTGTGCAACTTGTTAGCTTAGTCGTCCTTTGTGTTTTATGGTAGAGCAAGTTCAAACTGTTGCGAAGAAAACGAACATTATTTAGACTGCCTCCCTGTCTCATGAAGACGTAAATCGCTCAATGAGTTCACAATGCATGCATACGAGCACTGTCCCAGGCCCAGGAATCTCTCTTGTTGTCGTATGATGAATCACACCGGGTCTGTAGGTCTCATGTCGACCGTGTTTACAGTTTACTTTCCAGGCATGGTGTTTGGGCATCATGTGGTTGCGAGAGAGCGTACACCCCAAACATACGCTGTCGGTGCCTCTTTATTCCTTTCTCTCTTTCGCTTTCTCTTTATTTTTACTCTCAAAACACCGAGAAGGTAATATTTATGGCCGGGCCACTCGGAAGCACATGTTGCCATAAAATTTCCGGGGCTTCGTAGCGGGTCCGGTGTGACAAGTTGACCCCGAGCGCATCTCTGTTTCCTCCCATCGCGGTGTGCGCGCCGCGTTGCTCAGGACAGCCACAAGTACGGTGTTTCATCCACACCAAGGCTGCCTTACCTGTCGACCCGGGCCGGGCCACAACAAACCACGGGTCGTGTCAAGGTGGCAATATAAGGCCAGACCTGGTCTTATTTGCTGCCATCATTTGGGAGGTTGTCTTTGTTTACGGTGTTTACCGGGACCTTTGCGGTACGGGCAGAGGGTTCAGAGCGTAATTCTGTCAGCGGCGACCACGGGAGTTTACGCTGAACTTCGCAGCTGGTTCTGTCGGTAGAAAACTTGGCATGATCGGCATTGCGTGTTGTGGTTACTTGCGGTGACAACAAAAATAACTAAACCTAAATCAGGATTCTTGGATAACCATTCAAACTTCCTGCAATGATTATATTACACAAAGAATAATGTTGAACAAAGAGTACTTCAATGAAATGTTTCGCCAAAGATACAGACTTTCCGCGATTTAATCTTTTGAACATAATGGTCGAATTATAAATGTGGCTGTTATGTTAACTTAGCACGACAATATTACATGTTTCTACATGTACATGTACATGTACATGTACATTACAAAACAAATTTGGTCTTACCAAACAGTTTCATGGTCGCTCGTGTTGCTAGTTAAATCATTACGACATTGGCCATTACCTTGGTACAAGATTTCGGAAGCCATCGTTTGCATAGCACTTTCAGAATGGGTCTGGTACCCACCCCATTCGCTTTCAAAATGGGTCTGGTACCCGTTTACCCCATCTGACTCCATTCGCGTTGGTATATTTTGCCTACAAACTTGTCACATCGAAATGTTTGGAACACTGCGATTCCATTGTGTAACAAATAAAATGTATTTTGAAGCTGCTGTTAATTGTACTTCTGTCAATGTCGGAGAAGTTATTTAGAGACTATACGGGTGTATTCTGCCCTCTATTGATGGGCAGACTTAATGAAGAAGGGTTAACATTTGGCACTTATCCTTGAATAAGTAGCTACTTTATTTTGTTTTCAGTCTAGTGGCCCTAAGCTATGAAAATGACTGGTCGACTATCCGCAATACTTGCCTAGATATAGAAAGTAAACACAACTTTTCTGTTTATAAGTTACGATTTTGCGCCCGGTTTTATTTTCTTGTGAAGACTAGAAACAAAAAGAAAATACAACTGAACAGCGCATATTTGTAAAAAGTGACTTAATCTAAGCCTGTAGAAAAGTCACCCAATAGGCCTATATTCCAATGGTGAATTAGATAGCCACAAGCTGTTTTTAGTCGACTAACCTAAACAGCTATTAAGGAATAAAAATAATAACTCAGTACATGGAATTTACGCACCTTACTCCATAATTCGTGGAATAACTGCATTTAATTCCACCACGGTAGCTTGTTGTTCAATGTACCAATGTTCACGACAGATCCTGCCGAAAATCCCTTTTCTGTTGAATAACCTTGCGTACTATACGAGCTACATTGTGCCAGAAAAATAAACATTTATAAGGGCTTTGATTGTGTCAAATAAAACCGATTCTGCGACTTGCCCTGAGGACCAATACCCGCCCCATCAGAGACACAAAAGAGGGAATCTCTTCATGCTTCACGGCAAAACTTGTCATTTTAGTTACCCTTTATTAATTTTGGATTCTTTTCAAAACACCGTCAGTATACTCCGATGGCTGTTTTTAATCGTTTTCGTATACTACACTAATATGTGTAACCAGTGAGCACACGATTAGCACTTCATTAATAGAGGCACTCAAAACGTGTCGGGTCACACAAAATAAATGCAAGAAAAATGTGGGTTTTTTGGGTAGAATAATTCATTGCCGATTGATAACGCAACTTGGATTATTCTCTTGCAGGTTATGATTTGGTACCAGGTATACACCTTTATACAATGACGATTTCACTTAGAAAAAACGTTTCAAACGCCCACGTTTGACCGAAATAAAACATTATATTTTACTTTATTGAAAAGACGAAAGATTGATTCGAAGACTGAATACATATTGCAAAAAGTGTTCTGTCAAATTAGAGTTTTAATTCAAAAAGGACTCGGGGGAGTTGATTAGGGATCAGACCTCTATCGGATCAAGGATAATCCTTATTCAGATCGACTGCATTCATTAAGTAAACCAACGTTCCTAATCCTATCTACATCTTAATAACAAGCAGGTCTAAACAGCAATGTGTTGCCTTAAAATCGGCGCCTATGGGGCACTATTTTAAGCAAGTTACTGGTAACAAGAATAATGCCAGGAAATAAGGTAGAATTGCTTGAAAATGTGGCGTTTTTGTCCTGATATTTTGTGGAAAGTTTCACTTTTTAAATCTCTCTTTTTTTGCATCTTTATATCAGTTGGGATAATATTCAACTCAATCACGAAGATAATCCTCCGCATCAATTTTTGTTCAGTATCCATTGTTTCCTGTCAGTGTCATGCATGAAAACGATCAGTCTTTGAAGCTTTATCAATTTTTGAAATATCTCTGACAAATTATTCAGAGAAAATACAGTGAGTAAATCTGCTGTAACGTTGTGTTGATTCACTTTGAATTACTGACGAGCACCACCGGTGTATGTTAAGACTTTAAATTGTAAAAGAGTTGATCGTAATAACTTGTTGAACTTGAAGACAGTCGTGATACCCACGTGAGTTAATTTCTTCCTAAAATATCATATTTTAAACGATGTTTTTCTGTCATTTTATCAACAGACGGAGACTGCGCATGTTGTGGAGACGAGACGATCCCGCGGACGGACCGGCTGGCCTCAGCACGTATGGGCCCTGGAACTACAGCGCTGAACACCCACGGAAACACTCACCGGCACACGCTACAAATCAACATTTCCACGGAACATTTTTCTGACGACTTAAATGGCAGCGAGGTTGGAGCAGGACAGTCGTGGGGACTTTGGATCGATTTGACGGCAGCAATCCGATGGAGAAGATCGCTGGCAGTTCGAGATCTTCGTTCCTGGAATATGCTACATCCGGACGAACTGATATATCGGTCGAAATCTGACTTGGACGTTTCGAACTGTTTGGATCCTGTTTGAACAGAATATGTCATTGGTTTTTATTTTCTATAGTTACAGAGTGTCTTCGGTTGATCATAAGACAGTAAATAAAACGATGTTTTCTGATTTTTTTTTAAAGTTCAGGTCAGGCTGACTTAAGGGTTATATAATGGTTGAATCAAGTGAGATACTCGTACTAGATACAACTCGTTATATCAAAGTCGTAGCTTGTCTTTTGATAGTCCCACGAGATTTTTACACAAGATATTTTCCTGAATGGCATGTATGCCGTTTTCCCCAACACTCTTTCTTTGTGCACTGCCAAAATATGGCGAAAACTGAGATTGTGTTCGTTTTTAATGTGACCTTAAGTTACCAAGTCTAAACAACACAAATGGTCGATTATTTAAATCCCCTTTTCGCAATGTTTTGTGCCAAATTAGCTTTACAAAATATGGTTTACAGTCCAAAACGACAGCCAAGATTTCACCATTCTTGTTTTAAATAAATGACGTTAATTGTAAATATTGTACATATTAAAGGTTAAACAACGCATTATCAAGCATTATCATTCATTACAGTACACTATGACTTTTCCCAAATACGGCTGTTAATGACATCGTCTTAAACCTACTAAAAAAAGTAAGACGTCTTGAAAATATAGCGCAAGTGAAACAAAGTGTTTGTCTGGTAGTGATTTATTGAAATCTAAGGGCAGGACATTGAAACAGAAAAATGAACGATCTTGAACCTTGATTTGAACAAGGTGAAAACATCCTCTAAACCCTCCTCAATCCTCCAAAATCCTCGCGGCGGTTTGGAGGATTCTGGAGGATTGAGGCTGAACGGCAAAAAAGTGTCCGTTGATTTGGGTAATGCATTGTGCTGAGTTCGTAGGCTGTACCCTACATTGGTCATGGTCAGCCATGCATTATTGAGCCCTGCATTGTGCTCGATATCATCCGCACTGCTTCTGAATGTCGTTAGCACTGCCTCAACCCATTAACAGTGATTGTTGGAGGATTTTGAAGGATTGAGGCAATGGTCATGCACCCCTGAACACATGTTACAGGAAATTAACGGACGAATTGGGAGGATCTGAATCCAATTTTCACATGCTGGCAATCTGAGGATTTTTGCAGGATTGGGGTTTTGGGGATGATTCCTAGCAAAAAGGGCATAGGGGGCTATATGGGTATTATAACAGTGTTCATGGTAATTATCGAGAGAATTAGTGTTTTGTATAGAAAAAGGGATGCTGCCTTTCTCGGTATTTCAGAGAACGGAACAAAGGCATTGTTTGACGGAGGCAATTAATGCAATCTACAACTTTTGTACAAATTACAAACCCCATTTCATAAGGTGCTCAAAACGGTGGCTTCTAAAAGACGAAGCGATACTGCTACAAAATGGAGATGCGTGTGTAGTATTCATTATAAGCTTTGACAATAACCACTTCGCTCCGGGATTATTTTTGCCGAAAATTTTCGGCAACATTTTCCAGCCAACTTCTTATATTCTGTTCTATTTTTCTTTGAGACCAAATGTGACCCGCTCCAAGAAAAGGTGATATAAGTCGCGCTATGCCTTTACGTGTAATGGCCCGCTGAACGTTGAGAGGGTGAAATTTTCCGTCAAAATGCGATTTTCGTTTTTTTGTCTTAAATGACATTTTCAATATCTTAAGTTTAAGGATTCATTCATAGACATTTTTGTTAGGGTTAGGGGACAGTGATTACTTTATCAGTCCTATAGTATCAGCAAAGTTGAGAGGAATTCGGCGCAAGGACGTCTTGGCGTCGATGCTACAGCCAACTTTTGATGAGTCAATTTAGGTTGTAACGCAAGGATCAGTAATCTTGGCAGACGTTCAAAGAGACCGCAACTTGTACCGCTAAGCCCTGGCTTAAGTTTAACGGCACACGAGTGGCATAACATGCAACTGTAAGTCCAAATAAAACAGTAAATCTTCAACAGGAACAGTTAAGTCTACATTTTAGGGTGCTGTTTTTCTCTTATCAGACGCTTCAGATGCTTCGGTCGGCGTCTTCGTATTTTGGATGGTGCCATACGCACGTAGGCATAATACCGTATTCGTGACAAAATGGGAGAATAAATGTATGGTGCCGAGTTTCAGTTCACTATAAAGTCAGCGTAGATTTCTTGAAGGTGGACAATTCCTGCTAATAACATTATCCCAAAGTTAAAAAATACCCCCCCCCTCCCTTTTTCCTATTGTCTTAATAATAACTAGCCATTCACCTGTGACTTTCACAAGCATAAATTTCAAAAGAGATGAAATATATAAGCATTTAAACCCTTCTCCGCGAATCTCGTGCAAATCTCAGTCCACGCCCCATTGCTAAACTCATCGCCCGTTTCACACCATACCAGTCAACACGTGCATCGCTCCATTTCATCCTCCCCCAGCAACTGCCCATGCCAGTCTCGCCTGCGATCCCGCCAGCCAGCCAGTAATCTCGCAACCTTGTGAGGAGGTGTTCAATTTTATTGCGGAATTTTCAATTTGGCTGAATTTTCTCTATCTCGCCGGACAAGTGAAAATTGATGTAATTTATGTGGTGGCTGGCTGACGGGCCGGTATCGCAGCGGTCAGTCACTCGGCGGACCGTTAATGAGAGGTGCTGGCCGGTGCGAGCAGGCGGAGACAGCCCAAGGAAATGATATTACCAACCGGCTAATGTGATTGATGTCTGATCACAAAGATGTGCAAGATGTTTACAGTTTCTCAGGTTATTTTACGATTGTGTATATGCAGGTAGTTAAGGCATTAGTTTAAGTAAGAGGAAGAGAGGCGAGAGGTGTTCAAGCGAGGTATTTCTGATTTGTATTAGTGAGTGCGTCTTTTTCTGCCTAGCTGATGAAAGAACTATCAAAGATGAGAGCACTGCATGCAAGTGATCACAATCAACCGCAGCAAAGACTTGAAGGTTTGTTATTAATATTCAGCAAGAGTTACAGGTGTTCTTTTCCGCTTACAAGTTGACATGTTGCTTGCTCAGGTTTTGATTAAATCGTGTGGGGAAAAATGAACCAAACCCGATTTCTTGGTGCAAATAATTACCAGACATCTGTCTACAATGAAGGTTGGTGTTTTTTTTAAGTTGAAAAGAACTTGCTGAAGTTGATCAGCTTTTTAAAAGTTTATTTATTGTGTAAAAGGAAAAACTATGAACAAACCAATTGGCAAGTTAACTGATTTCAGCCATTTACAATCAAACGGTAACTAGGGGACAGGTGTGTTATTAGGCCAGTCATGAAGCACCAATTCTGTGGCAAATATTGCCAAAAATGATATCTGAATGAACTGTTAGCATCTTCATCACTGACATACTTAGCTGGCCCTTTAAAGTGAATGCATTATAAGCAAGTGCGGGCATCTTTTCGACACTACACACACAGCGTACGTGAAACTCGGCACTCGATATGCGACAGCTAAGGGTCAGAGGTCAAGTTCAAGTCTTTCTCTGGTGTAACCTCTACTACCAACATTAGCACTGAGATGTCAGCACGTATCGTAATTCATGGCTATAATAAGGGTCTAACAACCGGCAATTATAGCGGGAAAACACCGCACCAAAATATCCCCAATAATTCCTGAATCGGTCATTGGAGACTCTGACACTGACATCAAAGGGATTCTTCAGTTTTTGGATTCCAGATAGGGGGTAAAGACCCCAGGTTTGCGGTATCGTTTTACTGAATTTTCGTCTGGCTCGTAAACAGAGAGAGCGAGCACCATGAGAAATGACCGGCTATGTACGGGCTGCGTAAATCACCGATGTGTTTACCGGTTTACGACGGTGTCTAGTGTACCCAGGGGAGTCCCTCAACCTCCCTTGCACCCCTTCACTCCGTCCTGGATCCCGCTACCACATAATTCCCGGAGGGACGGTGGAAAGTTTACGAAAACGCCACAAGGGCATAGAAAAGTTAGGGAAAAGGTTCAGTTTTATTAATGTTACCGACAGGGTTGTAATAACTCATGTTCAAGTGAAAAAAAATATAACATAACTTGAAGAAAATGGTTCCTTTGAGATTAGTCAGAGGCGTTAAGATGCTTTGCTCACTGCGTTAACCTTTGACCTTTGGGGTCAGAGCACAGATGATCCAGGTACTGACTCTAATCCGTAATGTAGGGATTAGCTTTACGGTTTAATATCACCTGTTCCTGTCCATACATCCCGGACACCCACGAAGTTTACTCATGAAATTAATGGTCCAGCCCCGCCCCTCCCACACACACACAAGCTCTAAATTTGCAAATGTTCCTTGCTCTATTTATGTCTATACGAACTGCACAGTAAGCTAAAAGTAAAAGGGTCTTTGCACAACCATAAGAAGATTGAAAAAAATAAACATAGAATATTATTGCAATCGATGTTCAGAAAGAAACGTCATGGCTGCCAATTTTCATATAATTCATGACCTGTTTGGCAAAGATAGGGTTTTTGCTCTGTTTGGTACGCACCCATGCAACAAACAACCAACGGATCTTCTTAAGAATATCAGGGTCACAACATCCAAGGAGTGAAAAGACGCATCAGAGAAAAACCAACATCGGGTGTCACTACTTTTGTCCGGTAAGAGAAACAACATCTTTGTGGTGAGGTATGGCACCGAGAGGGGCAGAAACTCGCCCATTCCACCGACAAAGGGAGTGATTCTAGCCTGGATAAATACTGTTAACGATCTGACAAGTTAGGACAGGAGAGATGAAGTGGGATTTAAGTGTTATCCCTAGTCAGGGCTTGTTGCTCCGTCTTCAAGGCCGTGCAGAGTCCGTAAGATGAGGGGTAAATATGTGGGGTGGAGGGAACAAAGTATCTCGGAGCCTCGAGCGATAAACACATTAAGTTCAGTTTCAGCTCAATTTACTTCATGGTTGCCGCAGGTCAATGGTTCATACTCCTGATCAAGAAAAGTAAATGATGTCAGTAGCTTAACATTACATTATTGTTAATGGTGCAAAGTTAGTTCAACGTGCGTTACTGGCTAATTGGTACTTTACTGCAGCTATAGAATTGCATAACTTCTGCAATATTTTTAAGTGCACGAAATGTGTATGATTGAATTTTATCAATCATAAATCTTCAGTGTGTCGTTCAATTTGATATGTTTTCACCGAACTTAAAATCTGACACAGGTTAATTGTCTTTCTCTGTCATCAATCTTTGATTGAACAGCAATGACAAACAAATTTGGTTGAATACGTCACGGCAAACGTTTGAACAATGGTTCCAAATAACTGCACACGATCGCAATCCGTGCACGAACGTTTGAGAGCTACGGGCGAATGAAATACATGTATGTCGATAACAAAATTAATCACAAAACTGCATGAGTTCGTTTTGATGGTGACAGAAATCATGGAGCTAGGAACACATACAGGAGGAAATAGATTTCTACTCAATCTTCACTGAGTGAAAATATAACCAGCCATTGTTGATAGCTGGATAGCAAGCTAATGGGGAGGGAACGACTCTACTCACTCAAGATATGAAACCTTATTCCCTTGTCTGACTTTCCCGCCAGAGACCCATGACGAGTTACGCCAGGTTGCGCACGGTGGGCTCTATTGGCGCGACTTCCTTATACCACAGGGATATAAGCATGCCGAGTGATCCAATTAAGATTGGATAGAGATTGTACATCAGA